CTCAGCTAGTTTCGACTAAGCTGTATGCATTCTCTAGTAGTGTTTTTCTTCCAATTCCAAGGTGCCTCAGTATGTGACTAGGTAAGTGTTTCTGATAAAAGTAGCCTTGAGTTACGGTTTAGAGTATCCGCAGCCTGGTTATCTCACGTTTCCAGCTATTGTATGTATACATATGAGCGTGTCTAATAGTGCTTAGTCATCCCTGGTTACTGGTAGACCAGCCAATCAATTCCGACCAGGTTGCTACGCAGGACCACTTTCGACAAAGGTATACAGCGCTCCTGTGCTTGTGTGTGTGTGTGCGAAAGTGCTGATAAGCAACTTTCGGAAACCTAAAATACTTATGCATACAGTTTTTATACGAAATTTTCTTAAATGCTATATATATATATATATATATATATATATATATATATATATATACACCTATATATATATTCGTTCGTAATCCTTCTTTGTGAAAATGAGACTCTGCGTTCAGTAGCTTGTTTCTTCTATAATATAGTTTTATATAATTATATATATATATAATATATATAATTATAGTTGATAAATATTGACAACATATATTGCATAGCCACATATGTTATCACAGCAGCTTAAGCATACTAGATAGTCCAGCAAATAAATCTATGAACAACACATATCGAACTTTAACTTTATAAAAATAAGAACTTTCGTTATTTGTTTACGTATATCTACAACATTTGGCGTAGTAATGTTCCATGTTTCTTTGAAGATGATTCAATTCTACGAACAACATTAACACTTGTATTCTAATCTATTATACATTTTTCTATTTACCTATTACATGCATTTTTTAGATTAATTAATGCCCAAGTCTACTTGGGCAAGATATTTAACCTAATCCGTTTACAGAGAGTTTAGTCACCTAATGTGTCGCAGGGACGTAATGACTAACAAATAGGCTATGACTAATGTGTAGACAAGTTAGAATTAGCTAGTCCATGGGCCCGCCCAGCAGCAGTGGAATGGGCGAAAACCACTATGATCACAACCAGCCAGCCAGTTATTGTAGTAACACGTTTACAGCACTATAGAAAGGGCACTATGGTAAGGGAATATTAGATTAGCTCGGAACAGGAATATTAGATGAAAGCGTACTACTACTGGCTGAGCCAACAAACGAAAAAGAGGGTTATCGTGTACTGTGTGGGTTTTTTTTTATTTCGCTTTGAAACTCGATAGGTGGCGCCACGTTACGATTCAGCGGTTTGTTGCAGTTCAAGCGTCAGACTTCCCAAATAGGCATCTGGTGAGCGGAGCACGAAGCTACGTGGAACAAGTGAGTTAATGTGTTCACTATTTGCGTACGACAGATACGAACGTAAGTTAAGAGAAACATGCATTGTGATGCAGTAATTAGATGTTTCGACTGGATGTTCGAAAATTCTTATGAATAAGCGGAAAAACATGTTCTTTATTCTTTATGTATGTATGTAGCCGTAAAGAAGGTACTAGCAGCTGTAATCGGCTGATTGGCTTATGCCTCTATTTCTCTAACTGGGAAGTATAGCTATCTGGCTTCTTGAAGTTAATAACTGAGGCTTATCTATTACAATTGACACTACAAGCAGACTCACGTTTGGTACAACCAAGTGTGGTGCTCGTTTCCGTATAATCAAAGTCTGTGTGTAGTTAACCCTAGCGTCACTTTAAGCGAATGGCGTCCTGCGTGGGTCGTAAATTATAACATCTGCATTTCCAAATTGTGTTTGTGACAAAATACTCGGCTAAGGATATGATTAGTTTTACGTTAGGTAAAGCTAGACTTCGAGGGGGCAGTGGAACAGGGAGCAGTGGAATTTTTTGAGTGGCTCATTTATAAGATGGGTGTCAACAGCTGTAGCTCGTTTGACTTGTATTAGGCTTAAAAGGAACACATCGAAGGCTTAAAAGGAACACATCGATACTCTTCCAACGTTCCTTATTAGCGTGACCATGTAAAGACATGGCCGTTGCTTTATTGAGGATATAAGCTGATGGCGTCTGTGTTTTTCCATTTCAAAATTCATCTTTCGTATCGATACTTGTGTTCGTAGATCAGTCCTGTTCCAGCAATTCGAATGGCTGCGTCAATCGTAGCTGGTTCCAACAAATATCCGCAAATACGAAGTACTGTGTAAATAGATTTAGATCTTGTTAATGATAAACCCCGTTACAGACCTCTGTCAGATAACTATTTTTGTCTGACAGTATGTATAGCTGGTGGATCCCACAGTTCTCTTGGAACAACTGTATTACGCCTTATTGATAGCGTTACCATTAAAAACAAATACTGACGTTATTGGTCGATTTTCTCCTTTTACAGACAAAATGGCAAACGGCAGAGGTGGTGGTAGAGGCGGCGGTGATTTTCACAATGGCCAACGAGGAGGAGGAAGAGGAGGAGGAGGAGGAAGAGGAGGGGGAGGAGGAGCAAGCGGAGGAGGAAGAGGAGGGGGAGGAGGGAATAGCCGTGGGCGCGGGCGTGGGCGCGAAATGGCTCCGAGGCAAATGCGCCAACCGCAAGAACCTTCTGAAATATGGGCAGGCCCCAAAATGCCCAAAACACCGCCTGTTATCGAGCCTTTGGCTGAACCTTCTCCAAGACTACCGTCAAGCAATGAACTACAGTTGGAAATTCAGAAACCGAAAAGCCCAGGACAAGTAAATTGTGCACAAATCACGTGTTTAACTAATTGTTTTCAGCTCAGTTTGGGCTCTAACATTAGATCAGCGTTTTTTTACACGGTACAGATCGAGCAAATGAGTAAGTCGAAAAAAGCAGGTAACCAGAAAGGTTCGGCGAAAAAGAAGCCTGCTTCTATAACACAAGAACCCTCGACGGGCCCGAAAAAGCAGCGCAGACTTAGTCTTAAATTAAACAGGTCTATCTTCTCAAAAATACCACCAAGCGCATTTGATAACCAGATGCTTGCTTATGATAGCAAGCAGCGTGCGTGCGGCCTTAAAAGGCTACCCAATGACAGCCTGGTTTATCAGGTAGAGTGTGATGACAGGTTTTGGCAGGTGACGCTTACCTATGAAAAAGCGGTAAATCTAGCCGGACTTAAACCGGGTAAAAACTTTTCCATGGGTGAAGAGTTTGAAGAGTCAATGACAGCGTTAATGTACATGCTGAATTATATGCCATCACTGCATTTGACGCCACTTGGCAGAGGGTTTTATGGATTACCTGATGAGCAACCCACAGTAATTTCAGGTGGGTTTGAAGTTTGGAGTGGCTATAGAGCCCATATTTTAGCAGCAGAAGACAAATTGATTTTGAATACTAACCGCGCCATTACCGCGTTCATAAGACCCGGCTACCTTGTAGAGCGTATGGCCGATCTTTTAGGTGTTGCGAGAAATGACGTTCCCACAGCTCTGCATAGAAAACAAATTTTAGAACTGTCCAAAAAGCTTTCACGGTGCAAAGCAGAGCTTACGCATCTCAAAAGACCTAAACATATTACCATACAAAAAATTACCCTTGAGCCTGCAAGCAAAATTTCATTCAGAGATCATGAGAACAACCCTATCCTTGTGACAGATTACTTCAGCAAAACCTATGGTTGCTTGAAATATCCAAACTGGCCTTGTGCGGAGGTCGGTGTTCGAGAACCTAGATATTACCCGCTAGAGGTTTTGAAAATACTGAGCGGTAATTCCTACCACGGAGAACAATCACGTGATATGGTGCGCGACATAATACGTTTGGCGGCCATTCCTCCGCGCAATAGGCTGGAAGAAATTAAATTCACCACGCGCTCGTTGATAAGTCACAAAGAGATAAAGGATGAGTTCGGTATGCATATTGAACCTATCGAAATGACGATTCCTGGAAGAATTTTGCCCACACCGATACTTACAGCAGGAAACAAGAAAATTGTCGGAGTTAACCCTGGGGTTATCGATTTCAGAGACAGTATGTTCTTTAAAACATCCAAGATTGATCGGTGGACAGTAATTAACACCGATGAAAGGCAGACACAGGATACGTTGCAGTGCTTTGCCAGAGCATTTCAGAACCAAGGAAAAAAAAGCGGCGTACTGCTTGCAAATCCTGTGCAGCACAACAACGAATTTCCAACCATAAGCGACCGTCAGGTGCTGAAAAACATCATACAACAGATCATTAAGATGGGTGAGATTTGTGCATGGGTTCTCGATCTTAAGATAATTAATCTTAAAATATTGCAGTATTTAGAAATAAAACAATATAAATAAAACGGCACTGTACAGCTTTGCTCTTCAGTCAAATCAATACATTTAATTAGATATAGATTATTTTATGAGATATCGATTATGTAATCTAACCTTTCCATCTGATATTAGTTATTTATTGCCATCGTACTAACTTCTGTTCTCGCTTTTTAAGTTACTGTGAACAAGCTTGACTTCATCATATTTGTGATCAGTAATTACACTGGCGTTCACGCTGCGATCAAATCTACATGCGATGTTACCCTCGGGGTGTCATCTAAATGCGTAAAATCAGATACGATCGAAAAAATCATCAGAAATGATCGCCCTGGCCCTAACCAATGTCTGGTTAACATCCTTTATGGATTGAACCCCAAGTTTGAGGGTGAAAACGTCGTCGGGATCAACACAGAGTTCGCGTTCAAGATGCTGACGAGCACTCCGACGATCATAATTGGTGTGTGATATATGAACATTTGGATTCCACTATGCAGTACAATTATGGCAATGGCGTAATTTTACGATCCAATGATACTTAATCTACGTCTACGTGTATTCTACTAATGTCTAGAATTCTAAATCAATTGACCGTAAAGGTGAAGTACTGCTACATCGCAATAAGCACTATTTACTAGTTGGCAAACAAGATCTACAGACGTGTACAACCACGCATTGATTTGGATGTACGATGACCATTTGGGAGAAACAAAAGAATAAATTCTGGTATTGTTTTGCAGGCCTTGACGTTAACCATGGACAAACAAGAGTATGCGATGGATTACCGAAGCTACCATCCACGATTGGCATTGTTGGAACGCGCAACGTTAATGCCACTTTGTACACGGCTGTAATGTCTGCGCAGAAAAAGCCAGAGGGAACCAGAGATCGGGAAATCATTCAATCCGCAAATTTGAAACCTGCAATTAAACGATTATTTATATCCTTCTATCAAAAAACTGGCCGCAAACCGCAGAAAGTCATCATTTATCGTGACGGTGTGTCCAATGGCCAATTTAAGTCCATTTTATCTGTAGAGCTGAGGGCAATAATTGAGACCTTGGAAGAAATGAGTGACGACAATGGTGGCAAATATAGGCCAGCAATGACATTCGTTACTGTCCAGAAACGCCACGATGTGCGTTTATTCCCAAAACAGGTAACTGTTGATAACAAAGGTAGGGAAAAACAGAACCCCATACCAGGTACAGTTGTTGATAGCGTTCTGCCTTCGCGGCGCTGGTGGAACTTTTATCTTAATAGCCATGAGGGTATCCAAGGAACGAGCAAACCCGCGCACTACATTGTGCTTTTCGACGAGAACAATTTCACAAACGACCAGATGCAGTCGTTGTCGTACTACCTTTGTTACTTATATGGCAAGTGCCCTCGTGCCGTATCCATCCCAGCACCCATATATTACGCACATTTGGTGGCGTTCCGCGCCGCTGAAGTCGGTGCGTTCCAGCTGCACAGTAGCCCAGAGTATAGCCCGTTTGATGCCCGTAATTCTGCTGGCGCATCCGGAATTGGAGCCATACAAAGACAGGAACAGAAAATATTAGAACTATATCAGAATTCGATTGATGTTAAGCAAGGTTACGCTCAAAAAATGTTTTTCCTTTAAGTATGAGAAGAGAAAAGTATTGTTTCTAGAATCGACGAAGCAGTCGCGCGTGCAACAGGTACGTTGATGCGGTCATCTTTTGGCCACCTAAATTTATCTATATACATACCAACTTTTATTATGATTAGTCCGTTTCATACTAAGAATAGCTATTGCTTGCCATGTTCTATTCACATTGTGCATGCTGAAATATTCATATTTAATGGCAACTTGCTTGACATATATGGCAAACACATTAGGTATAGTTGAAGGAGCAAAGCAAAAACAAAAGAAAAGAAACAGATTAACATTTACGGTATTTTTAAACTAAAAGAAAAAAAAATTACCGGCGTAACCAATGCACTCTTGAATAGCATAAGGCCATTAAAGATAACAATTCTACAAAATCATGTGAATTATCTATAAAACTTATATGGCATAGGTCAACCGATTGTTGTCTTTCTCTGTTATTTTTAGCGGCCAATTTAGATTGCTACCTTAAAAAATACGCTAAAAAATAAGTAGCACCATAAAACTTTCAGGTAAAATAGCTTAATACACACATGCTATCGCCGCAAAGTTCGTTTCCGTGTAAAGAAGTTATCAAAAAATAATAAGGTGAACTTGTTTTTGTGTTACATCATTTACAGTAGTAGATCCACAACTAACCACCGCTAACAAATGAGTGAAAGAAATATAATAAAATATTTGCTGCGTACAGTTAACGCAAAATCGTGTGAAACTGACTTTTCTCGCCAATGAAAATAGTCTATCACTTCGACTATAGCCCTTTTTATACTACTCATATAAATATATAGTAGTTATAATAATGGGACAAACAGAAAAAATAATATTCAAGGGACCCGTGGAGGAGATAGTTGATAACAGCTCATAAACAAACGTAATGACGAAATTTTTCTAAATTATGCTAGAGGGTAATAGGTTATAGACTGTTGGTGATTTCGACTTTGGGGTAGCAGTTGGTAACGGACATAAGAGGGTAAAGTGCATGAGCAACGTATGAGAACGTAGGGGGTAAACCGTAAGCTTAGGAGCAGAAACGTTGTCTACAGTAATGGGGATATCGGGAAGAGTATGCAGGGATCCGCAAGGGGGGACAAGACACGCACAGGTAACTTTAAAGATGGCATGTAGGGTATCGTTTCGTGGAACTTAAATGGTTTGCTTCATTTCACAGCTATGGTTCCACGCCCACATGGTTACGTAGTACGAAATAAAAGGAACAACCAAGTAGTTCTAAATTAGGGCTAGTATTTTGAAGGACAGCGTAAATTAGTATTTTCAAGAACAGCGTAAGTTACAATGGGTTTTGAACATCTTGCTAATTACATAATATAGGCTAATTTTAGATCGCGGATCGTTTGCCAACGCCTTATTACATCAAATATTTGAGTCAAATATTGAACGTCTGGTCGAGGAGAAACGCTGCATCTTGTGAAGAATGATATCCAGTGTCTGAATCTAAACGCTGATGGTGAAACGTTGGGTATTCATAATCTTACGAACTCTTCAATACCGACATTTGATTAGAAAGGAGTGAATGTTTTGCCTAAGTTTCATGGTTTGCCTGCGGCGTTGACCGCAGTAGGTACTTCAGACAGCATTAATTTGATTGACATCAATATGCAGCCCATAATTATTACGATTTTCTAACGAAAATTGTTCAAAGAACCTATAATTTTAATGCGTTTGCCGAAAGTTTCCTTACTCAATAATACATGATCCAACTTATAAAAAACTTCGAGTTAGTTTTAGCGTTTTATTCTGATATTAGTTCTAAGTCGAAGTTATAATTTTCGACGTTGTAATCGCAGTACACGTGAAATTTTTAATAAACAAAACTTCTACCATTTATTTTATACGAACAGATAAAATTCGTATTCGCTTAGTAAGTTATCTGAAGTATCCTTTTAGCCGGTTTGGTCCTAAATTGATTACCAATGCACTTGAAATATCATTGTAACAGAATTTAGCGATTTAATCATGAGAAGATGATAACGAATATTAAGATGACTGAAAAAAAACCGCAGTCGCGTTGTAAGTCTTGAAAAAGGTCATATTCATCCTCTAGCCCAACTTAAAGTTGATAGCCAACCTATAGCGCTTGGAATCATTTATCAAATATAAATTTAAAGACTCTCTGTAGTTGCACTTGTTAATAAAGAGAGCTTACGCTTGGAAGTAAGTTTCTAATTATTATAGCGGCGCAGAATCGTAAATTGCGTGTATCGTTTTCGAAAAACTCTTGATTATACATTTTGTCATTTAGCAACGAATAGACTCTTAGGCTGAAGTGTACCAATCTATTCGCAAAGGGCAAGTATTGAGCGACGCAGTAGATTACTAGGGTTTCGAAATGAACTTATAATCAATAGAAACCTTCGACTATATGTTGATTCTAGCGAAGTGCTTGACATAATGGGTTCGTTGGTTTCAGTGGAGAGTGCAACGGCATTAAATGTTCACTGGATAAAAAAATTTAACAAGTCAATTTTTTGGCAAAAGAAATGGGCTCGTTGAAAAAAATCTATGCGGAATTCCATCTGAGATTTTTCTGGAACCCCATTTTGGGCTCTACTATTGTTTGCATGTTATTCAAGAGATAAAGTCGATAATAATTGGAAGCGATTAAAGCTCTAAATGCAGGTCAAAGATACAACGACGGTTTAAAACCATTGTAGCAAGCGATCCATGGAGTCCAAGGTGGGGTATTACTTATATTAATTCTAGGATGCTTCGATTGAAAATCCTGAGTTAAAATGAATTTGATATATTCTTTTACATTTCAAACAAAAAGCAATTTCCTGTTTATTTAGTATATATAGATATTTAGGAACCGAGATGTAGCTTAAAGTTGACTTTTGCTCGCGTATAAGAAATTATCTGCATTTAACATCAATTATAATCGACAGGGCCTTTAAAAATAAATGGCCTTATGTTTACGACCAGTCCTACAGAATATTAGTCCCATTAAAATTGGTTCATTAATTTCAGACACTTTGACTTAGTGAATCGTTTAACGTTTTAAGAAAACGGGGCAGTATTGAACAGGATCAACTGGAAGTCAGTTCTGATGACGAACTCTATCTTTGGAATATCTTTAAGTTTTGCATAGTGTATTCGGTTTGAAGTTAACAAATGCTATCGCAGTGGATAAGCTTTCAAATCACTACAGATTGCCAGTATAGACAGGGTAAATATACCTGTAATAGATTTCCTTCGAGAACAGGTATAGGCTATGATAAAATTTAAGCTAGATTGTGTACCGTACCACATGTATCTAATCGTCAGCCGGAACAAATGGCGTTATACCGCAGTATTACACAGCAAAGCAGATCATGCCTAGTTTTAGTTTTTCAAGTAACCTATATATGTTAATATACGCGGAAAGAAGTGATTATGTATATAGTCCGAATCTCTAAATATATGCTATAATAATTGTACATGACTGACTTCATGATCAAAATGTACCTCTACAAAATAAAGACTGTGAAGTCAACCGAAGTTCTCCGGGAAAACCCAAACCAAAAATATTTTTGAGCGTTATGAAAAAATCTTCCCTGATATTTACCTAATGAAGATTGAACGAAGTATTCTTATTATAGACATCATGTAGTCATAACAAAAACAGCACTTAATCTAATGGTTATTTTTGTGCTAATTAGCCGATTTCTCTTAACCTTTTCCTTAAATAATTAGTGATATAACGATTCGATTTGGCATTTGCTTACCTTGAAATAGTGTAAAAAATTAAATCATAAAATAAAATTAATTTTTAAATTGGATTAGAAGACAATTCCAAATACAGTTTTACGGCTTTAGCGCTGGAATAGCTGCTGAGTCGTATAGGCAATATGGAATATAAACCGGCTTAACTAAATAGGTTTTTAATGAGACCCCAAAATATCAATTAACAGTGAATCAATGAATAATGTACTGATATAGATAAATTGCCACTCATATAACCCAATCTAAGTCAGTTACGATAAAGATAATAAGGGACGACAGTGGATGGTTCGATACATAGCTTAACTTTTCGTCTTTTTTTTTGACACAGCGAACGCTTGAATTTATAACTTTATTTCTAGCAATAACAGTTATTTTGTGTAGTTACTGCCATGAAACGCTTCGTCTTACACAAGTTCTCGACTGAGCTCGATTTTGTTACCCTAGCATCATAGTCCAGTTAGATAAACTAATTAACAGTTCGCCGCTGCCCTACTTTAGTATGATGATCTAATTTTTTTATGGCCTATGAGGTATCTACCTTTTCGCAGATGCCCTTCAGCAAAAACCGCTCGTGTATATTGCTTCACATAGGGCTTCCTCGTGCGCTCTATCACTATGTGTAACCGAGCCCCTGGAAAATAGACGACCGAAAATATATACAGTTCATCCATTCGATTATTGAAGCCATGAAATTCAATGAAAGGCTCAGTAACGCCGATCGCCGTAGAATTACAAGTAATTGAACCATTATTCATTTCGAAAATATGACTTTATGGAGTAATTTATTATGACAACCTTTAAGTGCCTTACTGCGATATTATAAGTTTATGAATGCAGTATATTTGCACCGACATATAATTAATTTTAATCGAATTTGCTCACGTCTCTTGGGTCTTAACGCTTACCACATTATCTCTATAATAGCAACCCTATTCTTCTAGAAAAGGATAAACTGTTTTTGAACGTAGCTTACGCTTGCACGAGGTTTGTGCCTGAATTCATAGGCGTGGACCAGCAACCCCAGTTTACGGGTCGTACACAAATCAAGCAGTTCGAAAGAAACGCTCTCTCGCCGCAAAGTGGAAATGACCCTTCTAAACATGTGTAAATATATCAATATTCTGTGCCTCACAGACGAACCAGCAGTCAAAATTGTCATCAGCCGCAACAATTAAAGAATCTTTGTACCAAAAGGTTTCAGTGACACATACGGGATGCTAAAATACTTCACTTAGTTATAGGCAGAGGTTAGTGCGGAGAACCTATTTGAAGCTGTAGAAATCTTAAAGGGCAACCTAAATCGTCGAGAGCAGATTCATCAGTTAGTATCTGGCATTGTTAGATTAGCAGCTGTTTATCGGAATATATTGAACGATATAGGGTTGGCTATGAAAGCTCGAAATCATCAGAAAAATCTTTACGATGAGTTTGACGTAAAGATCTATTCAAAAGAACTAACAAATCTTACTAGAACATTTCCATGCCCAAAGCTAAGAGCGAGTAGAGACAATACCGTTTAAGTGATTCTCGACATCATAGATTTTCGGATTAAAATGTTCTTTTGGAACTCCTAGATTAGTCGATAGATTGACAAACATTAACGTCAAAAGTTATCACAGTGCAAAGATCTTTCAGCTTCACGAAATCAAAACAATTCAAGAGGAATCTCCAACAATGAATGGCAAATTATCTATGAAGATAGTTGAGGAGCAGATTATAGAAATGGGTGATTCTTGCATGGGGCTATCATATGACTGACAGTTTCTTTACACAGTCGACTGATGTTATGAAAACAACATTTTTTACGAATACTTCTTTCTAGAATTAATTTCCATTGTACTTCTTTAATATATACTTGTAACTTGTAACTATCGACTACAGACAAGTAGGTCGGTTACATTTTTACAAATGGACTCGTTATTTCTGTGCAGTTTCTTTAAATATGGATGCACGAAGTGTCTTACTTTACTTTACGTTTGAGGTACATGTGACGTTTATTTTGAAATACATTGTCCAGGTTGATTGTCAATTTTGGGGGCGAATGTGGCTGACTTCAAAGCGGAATCCGCTTTGCGACGCTCATCTAAATTTCGAGTCTTGTCATTGGTACTCGGTATTCGAATTTGGTTCTTCCGAGTTCGCGGATCATCTTGTGCATAAAAAAAAATAATGATGTTGAACTTACGTGCCGTCATGTCGTTACCTTTCATCAGAATGCAATGAGCTTTGAGTACAATGGTGGCGCTAATTACGTGATATTATTTACTTTACTCTTCAGGGAGACACGTAAATAGTGGGCAGGAAACGCCTATGCAAAAATGTTGTCAACTATCGGCATTGCAGGTACCCGTAATTTAAACATAACTTCTTGCACTGTTTGTGAATGTGGACCACAAAACGATCCAGACTTTAGTTCAAAAGTTAATTGTTGGACAGCTGTTAAAATGATTTTTCGTAGAAAAGGATGATCGTATACCGTGTCGAAAGGTCAATTCAATGCCGTACCAGCAAATGAAATAAAAACCACCACCGAGGTCTGTGAAAGTTTGTTCCGCGATAGCACTGATATGGATCTATACCTGATATACGATCACATTCATAATAAATTAGAATTGCCATGATACGAGCCTATTTCTGAAACAAGTAACTGTCAATAGCCGAGAACCTGTAAGCAAAACCCAATGGCAGTTCTAAAGTAGATCCTGTTTCTTGGCGGCTGAGGCGAGGCCTTTACACGGTAGAAATTACCACGTCTAGGGGTCCACGTTCTAAAGAAATATTGGACAATGAAAGTAGCATAGGTAGCCATGAGAGTTGGCGCAAGCGCATGTCGCCTGGAAATAGCTCCGCTCAGTGGCTATAAGCCACTGCTAGATTGTTTTTATCTGTTAGTGCGGTGCATGCTTGATTAATGGAGAACAGGTGGGCGAACGAGAATGCAGATTTCATGTGATGGTGTCTTTGCCGAAAACGTCACACGCCATAAAGTAAGTGGCTGGCTGACCAGAACCTTCTAATGTCTTTGTATTCATACAATCGTGCTAAACTGAAAATGGGACAGATACCACAAAACTATTATGCTAATTTCAATATTGTTGTATATATACACAAGTTTATGTGTACATAAAGAATGAAAAATTGTCCACCAAAGCCTGATGTACCCCCAAAACAGAACAGTTTGGTATCGAATCACGTTGCGTACAAGAGTCATGTTTTGTTTCGCACACATACACACAATAGAGTATGCTGTATTTAAGAATGCACGTTTCGGAGGTCTTTTGTATGTTATTGTATGGGTTTTCTTAATGTAAAAGTATAACGGACTTTTGAGGGCATGATCAGCAGAATTCACCTATAAATAATCAAACACACTAATCTTTATTTCAGAAAAAAAAACAGCGAAAATAATCGGAAACAAGCCTACAAAGTAATCGATTGGCAACCATTTATAAGCGTTGTGATTGAATCTTCTCAATACCAGAATCTGTAAAATATTTATTCTTATCGAAAGGCCCATTTATTTAATATGATGAGACGCAACCGTGTTCGCTTACTCGAATTGTTTCACTAGCTGATCTAATTGGTTCTCAAAGCGGACTACAACCGTCTACATTCGTTTAACGATAGCATCGCGAACTACAAACACTTTGGGGTTTCGAGAGAACGTCGTCAATGTGGTTTACTGTAGTCCTAAGGTTAGATTAGGCTAGATTAGAGAAGTCTTCGTAGCTGGCGCAAGGAGGGATTTGTGATGAATGTAGCCAACCGACTCTGCCTATCTCAAATGGAGTTCGCAAGACCAACTAGCTCAAAATCGGATCTTCAGTTGAAAGAACACTTAGCCTAGTACGTTCTCTTGACAATCTATGCATTTTTTCTTCCTCAATAGCAAGTCGCTTCAAACGAAGAACACGTAAAGCCATGAAGAAGTATGTAATACAAATTAAGTAGTACGACAGTATGTGGTTCTTGATATGAGATCGATTACATAGCACTTACGTCTAAGTATGCTAGAAGCAATAACTCTTAGGAACTTTACGACGAAATTTACTGATTACTAAGCACGAGTTTACAGTAAATCAACACGACTTATCTAATAGATGTTTTACAAACACCGTAATTTTTGCTAGTAACTATTTTGAATCGTTGACGTGTTTGTTGTCTCTAAGCTTACTTAACTTCGATTTCTTCTTTAGACATTCGATTACAGAGGACGATATAGGACAAAAAAGTTTCTATTTATAACAATAATTCACATAATAATAACAAGAAGCCAGCGTAAAAATGTTAGGCAAATCTGGTAAAGGTTTGAGATCAAATTGGTCCAAATTTATTATAACGAGCCGTTCTCTCTCTCTCTCTCTCTCTCTCTCTCACCCTCTCATAATTCTATTCACTCTATAAACATTTACTAACAGAGTGTTTCCGATAATCTTGAATGTAGAATGTAGCTTAATCCCATTAAGATGTTTTTGGGTTCATCTGATTCGGAGATGTACATTTTTGGCAAACCTATTTTCTAAAAAGCTCACAATTTAAGTCTTTGTCATGTTATGATGTTTTATTGTACCTTAAAGTACATGCATATTTTTAAAACAAGGCATTTAATAACATCAACAGGATTATAGCAACGTGTAAGATCACATTAAATCCTTAAGTGTTCCATTTGTTTAACATTTCATTAATACAATTTTCTGTATGCTTCAGACTTGCGGTATTGATTTTTTCTAAATTTATAAATAGAGAAAATTAAATTTCTCACGTTTTCTTATATGCACATTTACGGTATTTGTCTATCTAAAAATATAAAAGCTGCTGTATTTTGCTACTTGTTTAAAATAAGTTATTCAACAGTAGACACTATTTTCTCTGCATAAATGTATGCGCGTGGTCGTATAGTCTATCGAGCTTCGATTTTTCTCACGTCTAGTCTATCCAAAGCACGTAACGATACGTCTAGTATCGTCCGAATAGAAAATACGAGTTCACCACTAAATAGAGTATCACATCGTCTGCTTGAAGTAATGATTACTTGCGTGCATACATAACATGTATTTGATATGATCGTTTAGCCAAACGAACGTCGCGCGCATCTATCAGAGTTATCATATGACATATGAATGTCTGCTCTACACGCTTACAAAGGCGTGAAACAACTTCGGTAATCATAAGTTTCTCATACAGTTTCTGCTACTACGCTGAGAAGAGATATCGATGTTTGAATTCATTACTCAATTACTAATAATCCCTCGATGTTTCGCGCCCTCCTACACGTTCGACTCATACAAAATAGCCACTTCATCGTCCATTAGGCATGGTGAATTGCAGACAACAACAACATTTTCAATTCACCCACATCTGCAACAGCGGCTGCCGTATGGTGTCGTCGTTCAATGACCTTTGTAATGGTCAGCTAGTGGACGCAAGATCTGCCTTCGTCCGCCGGGGTATATGTGTGCACTTCTATAAGTATGCCTGAATATGTGCAAATGTTGTTGACACCTAGTATTCGACTTGTCGAATAGAGAGGGAACGAACTGAGCCAGCTCCCTTAGAGGCACAGAGTCGGTGTACCGGTGTCTTCCTATCGATCACTGCTTCCCTGAGAACACCGCGCATGTAAGTTTTCTCATTGTCTGTCGTCTGACTCCATTGCGTAAGTAGTATGCAAATATTTTTGATACGTTTTTATTTTGCCTGTCATTATCAAACAACCCAATATGGCTGTTATTACCGATTTTTTTTTTTACCAGTGCGTAAATCCCGTGCTTTGGTCTATTCGCTTGCTATAGCTTGATTTCACCTGTGTACGTCTGAGCAGCTGACGGCACTTTCTGACGAGTCACCGCTACGATTTATCCATTCGGATTATAGTTTCTCTAGCCGAAAAGTCATGATTCAGTGATAGGAAACTTTAGAAAAGGCTTGCCAGCGAATTTTCACGAATATCAAAAGGAATACAACCTAAAAGCGAACGTGATTTCTCTCTTTAGATCAATGTGTTTTATGGAGACAACTATCTCCACATTAAAGACTCCGTGACAGTCTAAATTTACTAGACGTTGACCATTGTGTCTCGATCCATGCGTACGGCAATATGTGTATTCAAGGATAGATAGGTCCTAAATGACTATGGCTGTTCAGGTCCTTTTTGTTCCACCTAGTTTCTTGAGTTCGTTGGATCACCTTTGTAGGGTCCATCTTTGTTGTTACAAGGTAAGCAGGCAATAACAGAAGTATGTCATGGAAAATTTACATATAGAATTCAAAATCATTGGCTTAATTTTATAAGAATCCTCTATAAATATAGCTTAGTGTCGTTTACTTTTGTGCGACGCAACGTTTGTATTCGGCTAGGAGAGTGACGAACTTTACTTACTATTATAGACGAATTTTTTGAAAATAATTTCGACTTTAGAGACACGTTGGTTCCGAAGAGCGCTTGATTCCATGATCGTCATCCAAATTACGGCCAAAACGCAGTAAAGTTGCCTTTAATTCCCTAAAGATACCGGAAATATCCTAGCTTAGGAAAGTGTCATTGTCATAGAGCTCGAATATTTGAGGTACTTACACTTATTTCTTTTATCGTAGACACCCTCAATTTTGCTGTGTAGGAGAAAATGTGTGACAACTCATTGTCTCGCCGATTTAATAATCTCTATTAATTTGATTGGCGATGAAATAGCATATCTTACACTCAAACAATTTTTACCTTTAACTTACAGAGAAGCCTTATTTGAGTTCACAATAAACTACCCGACTCTTTTTTTATGTTCGCGCATGTACACGTTTTATGGCACATGCTGCCAACGTGTCAATTACATGAGTGACTAACATTGTATATACAGTACATGAGTATCATGACAGGTTTGCACACACAAGACCATAGTTAATCCGAATTTGCACCACCATTAAGTACAACGCTTCAAAATGCATTACCGTAAACGAGTATCCATGACAAGAGTCCGCTGCTTTTCCAAGCCTACATCATGATATAGTTTTGATAGTAGTATCTCGTAACTGGGCAGTTATAGTAAGCTGGTAATATAAATGGTTGTGTTTATCCTACTGTGTGACTGCTATGAATATCAAAGTATTTTCATTACCACGAGTGGTCACGGGTTGTTTCAACATAAGAATTAAATTTTCTCATAATTAACATTCCTAACAAACCAACAAATACAGTGAAACTGAAGGCTAGAACCTCATGCCCTTAGGAGGATCTTCAACGTTATATTGGAACAATGTCGAATTCAGACACGGACGTGTGCTGTCGCCAAAATACTGATTACTCCGTCGTGTTGATTGCTGGCTAGGTGCGTGTTGTTATAAAATGCATTTGATGCTAAGCAATTGAGCAGACTCGCCTGCTGGGCCTGTATGCTATACGAATATAGGTACTTTTATTAAGTCAAGGTCGAAAAAACAACGAGCAAACATACTATTTACTTTCTAATGGGGACACTTTTGAAAAAGTAATCTTGCAAGTCAGAGTAGATTTAGCATGTTGTAATATTATCACAGATACAAATATAACAACTTTTTTATGTGTATGCGGATGTTCACATGGCGCGTATGTGGGTACATCTCAAAGCTTTGTTGCTTGATTTAGGCTATGTCCATTATTATGGAGGACAATGACGCGAACTTCTCTACTAACGGAAACGATGTAACCCCCTTTTTATCAGGTATAGGACAGTACCAGTTTTAGGGTCAGATGTCCCGTGATCAAATCGTAGCGTCAAAAGAACGCCACGGATCACACAATGGAGTAATGCCACACAATGGTCACCACTACACGAACCAAGGACATCACGGCATCAGTCACCATTCTCATTACAACAATAACAACCAGCATTCTAACAACGATATGAACGGCCACGGAAACCATCACAACGGAAATAGTAACAACAGGTAACAAACTACGAGCTCACCTATGCTTATTAGAAATTTTCCATTATCTACCACGGTCATTCCGTGCGAAATAGAATAGGAAACCGCGGACTGCGTCTCGTCGATAATATGCAGCACAGAATCAACCACCAGTCTCTTGATCGAAACACAACTGATTCTCGGCTTCTGAACTGAGAAGCTACAGGCTTGATATTGGGCAGTCGCCAAGGTTAGCCTTTCTAAGTGTGTGATGTATAACTACTACATGTGTAGATGACGTACGAACGAATCGCTTTGATTGTGGCCAACAGGCGTGCTTCCTCTTTCCAACAGGTCGCAGCTTAATTTAACTTTCACACAACTTCACACAGAAATAAGCGGGTTACATGCTTACACTAAACCCGCATTGCGTTATTTATTTATTTAAGGCTTTTTTTTTATCTTAGGTAGCTCGTTTTATGTTTATATTTGGTTTGACACTATATACAATGCTGTTCCTCGACGCGATAAAGCTTCCCTACTTCCAGAAATGAACTAGTGAAGGCCATACATAGCCGATTATTTTTCCGAACATAAGCCTCCAACTGGAAACAGGTCTGAGGATTTGAGGAAACGGAAAGCGGAGTGCACGTATTTCGGGTGATACGATTGAAGAGATGCGCCTTGATCTTTGTAAAGTAAAAAGATTCGAGTCGGAGTTGAGCTCGGCAGTGCAACTGCGACGTAATCCTTCCTGTTTCGTGTGAATTTTAGCATGGTCGACGAATAAAAGGTCCAAAGTGCTATTTCGGAAAATTAGCTGCCGTTAGACTCAATCGTTGTTGCATTATTAACACTACAAGTGAGGTCAGTGTTACTTGATCGGTTTCAGAAATCAGGCATGGGGTTTCAGAGCCCGGGGGGCCAATCGGCCCCGTCCTGATAACATTGGCTCGACGCAGAATATTTACCAATATCCTCACTGCGTTGCGCGTTTCGGTGGACTGCCATGGAAAAAACCAGAAAGACAATACAAACCTGGAGTTGAAGGGTATGTTATTTTTTGATAAAATTGTCAAACGAAATGTTAACCGTCCAGTTCGTTTCAAGGAAATTATTTCATGAAGCACTAATCCGACCTACTATCCCGGTCAAGTGTCTAGAGCTTAATTTAATATACAATTTTTAACATTGGCTCTAAAATCGTGTGTCCTTTCGTTTGTGCGTTTTCTAATATGCTCTCGCACCGTGTGACAATTACGGGCAGATAAATCGCTGTAATTAGACGAATGGAGCAGAAAAGAGTTTACTAGAAATCCTAATTGGTATTGCTCGCATGCTTAGTAAAAGCTAGAAATAGGCGCAGATTTGTATTCGAACCTAGACTACCTCACATATTCCGTAGGTTAGCAGGCAAACACTTCGACGTTTCTTTAAGAAGCATGACAAAGGTAGACCTATAGTACCAAGTGTTCAGTAAACTATATTGTGACTGCGTATACGAAAATATCGAGCATTGTGATCGATGCTTCTCAGGTATGATGAAATTAAGTGACGGATTTTAAGTGATCTTTTTTTTTCGTTTAATTCGCAGACTAACAGAAGAAATAGAAGACTTTTTCAAGTACATAACTCCCACTAGCGAAGAGCACGCAGCACGAGAGTCCATTGTCAATCAATTAAAGGAACTTATAACGGCGAAATGGCCAGAGGCGGAGCTTCATGTGTTCGGCAGTTTCCGGACAAATCTTTATTTGCCAACGGGGGACATCGATTTGGTTAGTATAATAGCTGGCAGTTGTGATAAGATGCTGTAGAGTCATATTCTAATACTGACCTGATAATAATAATAAATCATACGCAATAAATATCGATAAAAAAAATTCACTAGGACTAACATGAAATTAGAAATTCCTTTCTGCATCACTTTGTAATCGAGTAGGAAATATATATTATGCTGTTGAGAGCTATCGTATATAACTAGTCCAAGCACTAAACCAAGTATTAAATCATTTAAGTTAAAACAATGATTTTCCATATATTCCTCTCCTTATATCAAAGATAAGAAAGAGTAGACCTAGGGTCGGTGACCATAGGATGCAAAACATTGGACTTCATTTTCGGACTTTTTTTACAAGCATAATCCGGAATGCTAGACTCAATAGTGTCTTATTTTGATACCATGTTAAGATTTGAGCATTTTTCCTGTTGCCGAGATTTTGAAAAAAAAGACATTTACTAAGATGATTGTCTGCTGAGCAGTCAAAAATCTTCAGCTTCAGCTTCGGAATTTTTGCCACCGTAATTTTTGTAGCATAATGTCGGACGCTGTCGTGTGCTATTAGTTTTGTTCACTAAGCCTGGTTACCTGATGAAAGGTTTGTACATCATCTCCTACAACTGTTAGCAGATCATTTCAGCCGTACTCGACGAATGAAGACTGATAGACTCACAATTTTAGTATTATGGCGGATAAAACCTGTATTAAAGCACTAAACAGAGATCATAAGTCTGCTGTATCGTTCATTTTGCATTCGCTCGTAAATGTGATGACCGTTTGCGATAATCCTAAAAAAATCAATATTTCATGTTGAGAATTTGACACAGGTATGTGTCACTAACTTAAGAGCAAACAGAGGTGCAAGCAAGCATCTCTAAGTCTTTATTTCTTAGCTCGCTCGAATCATGTGGCGCCTAGTAGTCCCATAGTCTTACGTTAATACTCTGACCGAGCTGAACTGGTATAGCATTTTTACATATAGCAAAATTAAATGTTAATACTACAGCTCTAAAAATTTTCCATAGGGCCTTTTACGAATTTTATTTCAGTTTGTGGAAGATTTTTTTCCTCACATGTTTTGAACCAACGGCTCACGATGCTTTTAGGTAAATCCTTCATCTTATAGAAAGACTATATGGTGAACTCTTCCTTCCGGTGTAGTTCTGAAATGGAATATTTGTAAATTGCTCGAATTTGCTGATTATCCGTAGCTTACTGTAGTCTGTGAAAAAGCTAAGTGACCGTATTCACTCAGTCTCAGATTCCATGAAGTTCAGGTGTTTCGAAAACAAGGTATCGTGAGTATGGCGCCATTGTAAAACAACACCATTTAAAATATGAGATTGATATTTCATTAAGTTCGTGCACACCGACCTAATATACTCAATTATTGTTTGCTATTACCACACATGTGCTTATAGTATCTAATATAAATGTTTCTGCGATTTCTACGATAACTAACAAGAATTGGTAACAAGTTACTATTGTAAAGTTATTTGCTACAATTTTTTTTCGGTTAAGTGGAAAAATGGTGACTTTTGGCTTAAGTGGTTCATAGTAATAAAATATCCACCGTATCCTCGACATATGAATCATAGTCTCCGATTGTGTAAATACTTTTTTAAAATTCAAGAATAGCTCCTTGCTTCCATAAAGGGGTGTAATGTTAGTATGAGTAACTTATAGAAGGATTGATGGAATATGAATTAACTAGGCGTTCGATCGGATGAATATCCATTTAAGGACTAATTTTAATGAAGAATTGAGATATGAGGAGATATTTAAATCACAAAAACGTTTCAACAGGAGATGAGAATAGGAGATTTCAACGGAAATGATTGCTGAAGAGCGTAGGTTAAGATGCATGTACAAGTAAAAGATTTTTTCTTTTTGGATTTACAGTGGACAATTTTAAAATTAAGTTCAGTTTTTTTTTTTTAATAACAGATTACACGTTACTGTATTCCCTAGAACCTAATAAGGAGCTTGCTTGAGCATATATCCTAGCCAACATCTGGAACAGAGTAATAGAGTAAACGATTGACTAGATCATTGAATATATGTGATTGCTGTATTTAGATAAGCGCAGCAGGCCACGTTGGACATGACACGAATCATAGAATACGCCAATACGATAACTGCAGCATGATGGTAGAACTGTTGGACCGTTCCAATATGAGAACGGAATGATTATAATAGACTGTAACTTTGTCTTCCGTCAGGTCATCCAGGGTAGTTGGGGTGATATCCCGCCGCTGTTTGACCTCGAACGCTTCTTGGTGGAGCAAGGATTTTGCGAACGTTCTACTCTCCGAGTACTTGACAAGGCCACTGTACCACTGATCAAGTTCCGGGATAGAAAAACAGATATTGCCGTAGACATCTCCTTAAATCAGGTAAGTAATGGTCTCGTGGTATGCAAGTTCTGTTCCCAAAAACAACTTCAACGATTTTTCTTTTTTTTTTGGGGGGGGGGGGGGGGGTCTCTAAGCCCAAAAATACGGACTAAACGCCGAGGACTAGAGAAGAGAACATAACTATTGTTTAAAACTTGGACATGATCAAGCCGCTCTTCACGAATTCGATACCTCCTCGTGCCCCGCTAATAATCAGGAACAATGACATACATGACTTTGCAAATATCAGTCTATTAAGCTGGGCCATAAGTAATATCGCTGTCAGCTTAATTAATAATCCAAGAGGGCGCTTTTTCTTCTGTAAGTGTTCAATGTATGACATAGTATTGTACAGTATGTCATATTGTACAGCCTACGTCGAACTCAAGCTATAAAAATGCATTTCCTGTAAAAATGTACATTTCCGACATTTGTTTCTTTTTTTTTTTTCGCTTTTTGTCGGAGTCAAGCAGCTGCCGGTATGGCCCGGCATGTTTGTCCTCTGTGCGCTAGCAATTGCAGGTTAGTTTGCACATCTCAATAATGGCATCTTAAAAAAACAGATTGAACAGACAGCGCAAATCATCGTCATCCACGACAATGCCTGCAGAGGTCGCACATGGCAAAGGCCGTGAACCGTCGTGCAAACGGCGACGAATCACCACTACCTTTTCCAATCACTGGCCAGTTACATTAGCAATGGTACACTGTAATAGTAGAGCTTGCATTAATTCTAGCGGGCTAACTAACTTCCAGAACAATATAGTAAAATAACTGCAGCATGGCAATAGTATATTTTACGAGAAGAAGTCTCTAAAAATTGATCGATTTCTCCACGTCAGACCGCAGGATTCCAGCCGACAGTTCAAATAATGGGAAAAGGTCCTAAAAAGTAATAACGAATGCTCGGTAAATTAATTTGATGGTAAAAGTTAGATGGAATGCTGTCTTTTTTATTGAAGGGAAGACTACGTTGTGTATATTCTTTATATGTTACGGAACAAAGTGCATGCTGAGCTACGAAGTTTCAGCTTGATCAGATCGATCGATTTCCAGCTCAGTCATGACAACAACGCATCGTCTCTAACTGCAGGTTGTATAATCAACTATTCCACACAAATTGAGTTTATGATTCTATGTTGTACTGTATTGTTAACATTTTAGGTGAACTGTATTAAGGCGGCGGATTACATCTTGGATTCCACCAAACGCTTCCCTTGCCTTTCGCCGCTCACAATGGTGCTAAAACAATTTTTGAGTGAGCGTAACCTGAATGAAGTGTTCTTTGGCGGATTGTCAAGCTATAGCCTGGTCCTTATGATTGTGCGTAACTTAACAAATTATATTATACAAACGGACGAAGCTCACGGTTCTTTCGTCTATTAGAGGTTCTAACGTGTATAGAGTCGACGTATGTTACTTTATAGTTGGCATTTTGCCCTCTACCTTACAGTTGTAACTCTGTGTAGTGTAAAGTGCCAAGTCAGATCAAATTAATTCGCTTATCTCTCCGCAGTTTTACATACCCCCTTCTGCTATTTTTATAGCATTGCTTTCTTAGAAGGAAAACACCTTACCAATTGGCACTATGTTGGTTGTTTAAGAGTACTGTATTGTTCATTTATTCTTCGATTTTTTGTCAGATAACCTTCCTTCAAATTCACGAAAAGCAGGAGATGGTGACAAGTGAAAAACCTAATCTCGGCCAGCTTCTGTTGGACTTCCTATATTTTTTCGGCATAAAATTTGAATATGAGATCTTTGGTAAGTATTCTACTGAATGTAAAGTATATAAATATAGGCAAAATAAATATTCTTAGGCAGATTATATTTCATACATTTAGTCCTCACAATAATTCACCATGCGAAAACGCTGGCTTGGTTTGCCGCGATAATGGGAATTATCGAATTTAATCTAAAGTGTGTTAATATTTTAAAGCCAAAAATCACAATGATATATATAGTACGCGACAAATAAACTTATGTCTCAATCATAACGTCTTTTACTGCCGTTAAGCATTAGTGCGCGAGAACTACGATTAAATAAGAGAGACATCCAAGAAACAGCATACAGGGTTTATGCGAGAGAATCTTTCCAAACTGATAGAAACGATCGTTGCTAACGAAAAATTGCAGCTCAGAAAATAGTTAACGTTTTTTTTTATTGTGTGATAAAATAAGTTTAATATTGTTATAAGTAATTTTTTTTTAATTACGAAATACGTATTACTAAAGTAGTCCGGGTATTAGACTTAATTTGCAATCCTTTTGTTTTGTTTCACTGTAAAAGAAATCAGCCTTTATATCACGAACTCCACGATGCACTTGATCTCGATGTTTCGAAAAAACCTAATCAGCTTAATAGGACATATCACTTTTCAATCTTTTTAAATGACGGCCTATACATTGCCAGAATGGAAGAGGTTTGTCACTGGAAGCGGGAACAGCTTCCTGCTTGCAGGCAAGCGCGTTTATCTATACAGAAGATTGTGCATTCTCAATAATATTACGGATGTACGGGCATAATTTTCACACGTAGAGTGTACTTCCAATGACCTCTCTTAGCTGAAAATTTTTGAAGAGTTTTCGATCGTGCTGCATGGAATTTCATTTGAAATATTTAGTTCAACGTCCGAAGATTCAATTTGTCACATTGATTTTTAATCTTAGACTCTGAGATATAATCCACAAAGACAACGAACGGTGCTGTCCAAAATTCAATTGACGTATTCGTATCATTGACGAAACTAAGGAATCGCACCTGAATTACCTGGTTACGGAATCCTCTATAATTTGCTCCTGAACCTTACTTTAATTGGTACCGTTGTACTTGATTTTACTAGACGTATATGGAGTTTCGGAGCATTGCTTATTTACTCTTAAGTCTGAGCTCCTTCTTAAATTGAATGAATTTTTAAATTTTATCGACATGTGCGAATGTAACTCAGTCAGGAAAAAGGGACTGTACTTGGCTTCAAAGTCTACGGAACGGCTCATTCTAGCCTGCCAACGGTATAAATACGTCTCAATAAAAAATCATTCATTACAGGCTCTTTTTTATTTACTTAGCCGAACATCTATGTCCCTTATCAAATCAACTGAAAATATTGAATGAAATGTTTGACTCAAAAGTGTTCTTGCTAAAGAATTATGCTCGCTAAACTGCTGCTGAAGACCTACTGTAGGTTAACTTTCTCGACAATATAAGTATATGAATGCTTATGTTATTGACAAAAACACCCTTTTAGCTGATGCTTAAGGCATCGTCGGAAAGGCCTGTGCTAAAAACTTGACTCTGAAGCAGGCATCCTCGCGGACACAAGGTAACTTCAACAAAGTTTCCTAATCGGACATTTTTTTTGTTCCCTGTTTAGGTTACTTAATGGAAAAGTCTCAGCTACGTAACGGCAATAAAACGAAATTTCCAAAAACAGACTGACCTACAACGGAAGATATCTCTATGATATATTTTCATGGCTCCTTATCTTCATGTTGCTTGGCACAAATGTTGCGCTCTAAATAAGGCCTATCTTGAAAATGATCAAAATTATTTGGATGTTCAGACCAATATTTTGTTTTGTTTGCTACAGAAGTTCACGAAATGTGCAGTAAAATATTTCCGCACGATATTTGCCATACGCGCATTACATTTCAGGCCTTCGAGTTAAGCAAGGCGGTAAACTGGTCAAAAAGGAGGATCTGCGTCGTGACATGGTCTACGCTTTGGCTGGTGCGATAAACCCAGCTCAAGTGGGCATTAATCCCTCTCCGCAATGCATGCTCACCATTGAAGATCCTGTAACGCCTGGAAACGATGTCGCCAGAGCCTCGTACTCAGTAGGCACAATCAAAGAGGAGTTTAGGCTTGCTTATAATTATCTCCAGAAAGGCGTTATTGAAGAGCGGGACCCCACTCATAGGTACTCTTGGTGTTATCAGATATATTCTAACAGACCTGCTCATCAACCTCAAATGTATAGAAGATAGATAGACACCCTAGGTATAAAAGTCCGTAGGTTTTATATCCTAATAAATACATCTATACATTCGTAATTTCAAATAAATGTTTTTCGAGTTTTACGTTCGTTGTTGCCGTTAAGCGCTGTTCTATTTGTAGATCCAAACTGCTATAATCAATTTTATATGTAGAAGCCTCTCGCCAAAAACCAATAATATTTCTCATTTGCCATAGCTCGCACTTGGTCATCTATCACTGACCCTTAAAGGGTAGGAAGCTGGATCTTGTCTTTCACCAGGCCGGCGAATCATGGTCCGTCCCCCGTGTTCCTATACCAGGATGTTGCGCATGCTGTCAAAATGTACACAAATATTTTTTAGGCACACGAGATTAATATATAATAAATATATAGAAAACATCACCCAATTATACATAATGGAATGAATAGAACTTTCCGTGAGGTGTGAGAGAAATCCAAAAGCTTTGAAAAATTATGAATTTCTCCTCTGCAGGCGCCTACTTTATTGTACCTCGTGCTTTCTTAGTATTATTAATTACGCTCTGCAACTTGGCGTTACAGCATACTGGGTCGTATTATCCGAGTGACGGACCCGGTGGTATACCAGCGTCTTCGTATACGGCACTGCCAACGCAACCCTGACTTGCGCGCAGCAGCCAATAACAACAACAACGGCAACAACAACAACAGCTTCAATCAAGAAATAAAGGATATGAGTCTCACATACGATAACAATATTGCCACAGTGACAACCAGTAATAACGCTTACAGCAGGATGAACAGTACAGGTAATCATAAAAATGGTGGAAACAACAGATCGAATGGAGTGCATAATGGATGTTCGCCAGGGCGGAAATCTGGGGTAGGCCCAAATAAAAGACGAAATAACAGTGAAGTGGCACGCGAATCAAGTTCATCGGCAGTGATATCACCGCATGATAACATTGCAGCTGGTGGCGATAGCCATTCCACCGTCTGTTCGCCGTCCGGTACCTATCGCCGTCCCGCTACGCCAACGTGTGGCCCTAAGGACATCGCTTTGGCTACTAGTCACCATCACAGCAGGCAGAAAAATAAGGATCAAAATAAAAATCTGTCAAAAAACCACGCTGTCAGCGAAGATAGTGATCAAACCCAGGACGGTGCATCAGTAGTAGAACGGGCAAATGAGCGATTTACATCCGATTCAGCATTTGCCACAGAAGATTCGTCGAAAACAGCCTCGGCAGCTTCTGGGCCAACCACTAATAAAAAGACAAGCAAAGACCTTAGCAGCATTGGCAGTTTCGATATTCAAAACGGATGCGCTAACGAAAAAAAAAATGAAAAACGTTCATCTCACTCCGCCAGTAACAACAACGACAAGCAAAATATCTGCGCTTTCGCATCTTCAAACCAAACGGCTTTTGACAGTTTAACTTCTGATTCGTCATTAAATTGGATAAATGAGAGCACCGTCGCGACTGGCTGCGACTGTGACGGTAGTAGTATTACTATTACTGCTACTGGCGGGGTTAGTGAAAGCGTCAACAGAACCAATCACCACGCAGCATCAGGCGTCGACCATCAGTTATCCACAGGTCTTATACAACATTTGCAGCATCCGGTGGAAACCATCCGGCGTACGCAAGAAAATCACTTAGAAGAACAAGAGGTATGCATCAGCGATATATATGAACACATAGTACATTCACGACTTTCAAGGCTCACACATCCTTAATACAAATTAGAATTTATGTTTAATATTACTAAAATCTGTATATATGCTGTATTTAGGAAAAAATGATAACCAGCTGATATATGCAACAATTTATATATATAACAACATAACAACAAAAATACAACAACTTCACTGATTGCATTACACTTGGCCTAGCGGGGTAACTACATGTAGTTTCCTGTTCCCAATGGCCAAGTACGTAATACTGCTATAAGCGAACGTTTAATTTTTATATTGTCTGTGTCTGCGTGTTTCAGATCTTTGACAGAATTATTCTCGGCGATGTAGATGAGCCATAAGTAGTTTTGTGCCAGAAATCTGTGAACATTTCGCTCCGATGTGGCAGTTAAAATGACCTGAGTTTCTTTGTTCGTCTTTGCCGAGACATCGTCTGCCCTGCTTCCTGGTGATAACTTGTATATATGCTGTATATAGGACCTAGAAGGAACGCGTGATAAGGAAACCAGAATTGTTGTTCGGAATTCTCGACCTTTAAACTGAGATTATTCTAGTAGGCCTTACGGGGCACACGGTTCACGAGATGAACAAGAACTCTATTATTATTATTATTATTTGAATATTTTAGTACCTTGTTGCTGGGTAACGTTCTCTATTGATCTAACAATATTATACTATTAGGGACTATAAATGAGGACAAAAAAGGAAAAAAAAATAGAACCTAATACAGAATACGACCAAATATTGCAGACACATTTAGCTAGCGTACATAAATTGTGCCATTTATCTATGATAGGGATTTCTCCCGGAGGCACACAGACATTCGAAAAATAGGAGGTGAAGTGTAAAATGGTTCACTGGCCTCAAAAAAATAGATTTATTATATATTATATATTATTATGTGTGAAAAGCGCCGCTTCGATAAAGAGGTTGATTGCCTGCAGTGATACCCATGACATGTTCGTATTAGTGCATATGCACACATATAATACAAACAGATAATAGTAATACTAACGGAAACGAATCGTGCTTCAACAGAGATAGTTCTGAAGTGCTGACATAAGTTTACCAACACAAAAATAACGATTCCAAGTACAAACAAAAAAAAAAAGTAGAAAACGTCCTAAAACTCGTTTGACTCATTTTCGTATTGATATTTTTGATCTATTAATTACTTAGTTTCTTTCGAGAGTGTTCGAAGTACCCGTCGTTGTAAATTACAATATTCTGCTCCTAATTCACCTTAATGACCGTGCTTCTAGAGCAGAAAGTGTTCTGTAAGGAACTAAAGAGACGGTAAAATAATCGCGAAAGGTGATAGGTCGTACCGCCTAAAACAAAAACGTCCCCCAGTTACCCAGAACATCACCTCTATAAAAAGACATGTCTATATAAAGACGATTTACCCAACCGAAGAGATGAAAGATGTATCGAATGAGATACCCATGCTTCTATATTACGTCATGATTACCTCGATATTATTATTATTACTATTGTTATTTTTTCATGATAGGTTTGCAAAACAGATATATAGAACATACTTGGCTGGCGTACATAACACAAACGCGCAAAGGAACGAATCCTAATATTTTCAAACGGCGTCTGAACATAGACAACATGTCATTTGTCAGCTTCTCCTTTTCGCGCTTCTGTCAATAAAGACCGAGATTTATAAGCGGTTAAATGTTATTGCCGAATGGCAATTAGATGCATATATTAGATACCTCTGGCGGATCCCCCCTTTGAAGGTCATCGTCAGCAGTAAATGTACACTAAACAGGAAACGTATGCAGGGCTTATTGTTTGAATTGTCCAATAAGTGTATGGAAACCCGATGAATTTTTGGCTATATGCAGAGGTAGCTAGGAACAATTTTGCCATTCATCCACAAGCGACCTGTTAAAGTTATTATTGTTGTTGTTTCGTAATTCAGAGGTTGTGGACGAAGCTGAAAGGAGTTGGCCACAGCGAGCATGCTCGATACACAATTGGTGACAGCAAACACGGTGGTGACAATCATCTACCGATCTATGTAGCAGACTGTAAGGATAAATGTAATGAAACAACAATAGGCATAATAATTCTAACGCAAATGATAAAATTCGACGTGGCGGGACAAAAAGGAAGCAACACAGAATTCGAGCATTGGATATACGAACAACGACAAAGCACAGAGACTAAGCTTAAGCAGACATCGCTTTGTTGCTTTTATGCAACAACAATTAATACCCAGACATAAATATTATATGAAAAGTACACAGTCTTATTTATATAGTCAACATAAATGTATTGCTAGATAGAAAATATAAACAAATCTGAATAAGGTCAAAAGTAGTTCATCTGTAAGTTGTTATAATGAAAATCACAAGCGTTCGTCTAATGCTGGATGTACACGCTAAGAAACCCTGTCTTCCGAAAAGTTAGGATAAAGGCTCAACAACACTACTATCGCTCAATTAAATGATCCATTGTGCATCGAGAAATGTGTGCATTGAAACGTAATGCAAAACGCAGACGGCGCTTATATTCAGGTTAACTAGTGAACCATCATAATATTAACAGAGATTAACTCTCAGAGGTAACGTTCGAATACGACCACATCTAACAAAAATATAATGGCAATTCCATTAAAGCTATATGCATAATGATTTTCATACACTGTAACCACATACAATATAGTATCCGTGTCCTGTCTCTGGTGCACATGGGAAACAAACACGTCGTCGTAAACACGAATTTAACTATGGGTAGGCATAGCTTGAAATTAATGGCCGGTTAGCTGTGTGTAGATGGTGCGTGGTGATCTAACCGAACAACTCTAATCAACGTAAAACGAAAAAAACAGATACGCAGTCAGCGACACGAGTAATACCATATGCGCACACAATATTATATGGTTTCAATACTCTGTTGTTTAGCGAATAAAATACTGTTAGAGTGTGTAATGATCACAACAGGATTCGGAAAAGAGCGAACAAAATGTGGTGTTTGACGCGAATTTTCAGTCAAAGGTTTTCTGCGGATTTCATTAAAACAATTCCCCCATCCGCAGTTTTTCCTTACCTAATGAGTCCATCTTGCGAGAGCACAAAGCTAAGAGCAAACAGGAACAGGAAACGAATAAAACGGAACATAACTAGCACCAAGACACTTTGGGAGCAGTAGAGCTATAAGAAAATGCACTTGGTTGTGATTAAGTTGAAAGTGAAATAGAAACAGAAAGAACAGAGGTGAGGGATGTTAAAAACTACATGACGAGCTGCAATAAAATATCATCGGCAGATTTCATCGTAGATATCGTGCTTTTCTTTTGTCAAGTCGTTTGCTGTGTAGTTATTGAATTTATAAGATAATATTTATAAATTTTGTGCTCAGAGAGTTGCTTGTGAAGCACGGAATACTTGTTCAGTGTATTTCTGTACTAAATAAGCGTGTCATCAAGGTCAAACTTTGCATTTCTTTCTTAAGATCTCCTTCATTCTGGAAACTCTCCTCGAAGATAGGACAGATATTTTATGTATAAACACAGGGTAGCCGCACAAAATTCGGGTTTTTTTTTCGGGTGGTTTTCTGAGGTTTCGCGAATTAGTTCAGCTAAAGCATATGCCATGGGATGAAAATTCGTTACAAGGAAGATGTAAACTAACTCGCAGCTGTAATGAAAAACATGCGTTATTTTTGACATCTGAGCAAAGACCGGCTACAATCCACTCCCTGGACGCTGGGCAAACCCCAGCAGGATTATGTTTTTGCAAACGCGTGTGGCACCGCATATGAGTATGCGATTGCAAAGGAGTAGGAGCAGGTTCTGACACAGTTCAACGAGAAATCTATGATACATAAAATATATCGCGAATCCACGGTTAATCGATGTTGTCCAAAAGTGAATTTCTGATAACCTTTTCTGTTTCGGTCAGATCGCTGGCTAAGAATTTTTATCTCGGTACCATTACCATTGCTTCCTACAATAAAATACTCAATTCTTTCTGAATTATCGACAGTAATTATTTATTGCATATCCTATTGCACTAATTTGTTCACCAGTTTCTTGCACAACTTTCCGCACTCTGCGCACTGTTTCGCGCGCTCTTTTTTTCCTGACCAGTCACGTAGCGTCTGCTTGTTGCGGACAAATTTTACAAGGATCACTCGACACGGTGTAGTGAGAAATCTGGCGCGTAATTTAAAGCTGACGATACACACCATCTCTACCAAAAGACCAAAACCCCCATATAATTTTCTCCTTTTTTGTCTCCGGAATGAAGCACGGCCACTGCCACCGTTTCGTGAGGACCTGTAATGCAGTAAAGGTTCTGTCAGTCTTTCTGCTAATGACCTAATTTGATTGTTTTTAAGAGATGGAAGAAACAGTCCTGTCGTTCCACAACCCTCTGGAGCAATATATTGTGATTAAATCAGGAGAAAATCTTCATCCTAGAAGGATAATGCGAAAATCACTTAGGTTAATATTAATAATCATGATATAACGTAACCATAAAACTATAAGCAATAGCATTGCAAGAATTCTTTACGATTTGAACAATTCTTTACGAGTAAAGAATTGTTCAAAATGTGCACTGAACAGATTGGGGACAAAAAGTGGAAAATGATACGGGTTTTGGTCTCCTAGTAGAGATGGTGTGTATTGTCAGCTTTAAATTACGCGCCAGATTTCTCACCACACCATGTCGAGTGATCTTTGTAAAACTTGTCCGCGACAAGCAGACGCTACGTGACAGGTCAGGAAAAGAGGAGCGCGCGGAGCAGTGCGCAGAGTGCGGAATTTGTGCAAGAAACTGGTGAACAAATTAGTGCAATAGGATATGCAATAAATAATTACTGTCGATAATTCAGAAAGAATTGAGTATTTTATTGTAGGAAGCAATGGTAATGGTACCGAGATAAAAATTCTTAGCCAGCGAACTGACCGAAACAGAAAAGATTATCAGAAATTCACTTTTGGACAACATGGATTAACCGTGGATTCGCGATATATTTTATATATCATAGATTTCTCGTTGAACTGTGTCAGAACCTGCTCCTGCTCCTTTTGCAATCGCATACTCATATGCGGTGCCACACGCGTTTGCAAAAACATAATCCTGGTGGGGGTTGCCCAGCTTCCAGAGAGTGGATGGTAACCGGTCTTTGCTCACATGTCAAAAATAACGTATGTTTTTCATTACAGCTGCGAGTTTGTTTACATCTTCCTTGGAACGAGTTTTCATACCATGGCATCTGCTTTAGATGAACTAATTCGTGAAACCGCAGAAAACCACCCAAAAAAAAACCCAAATTTAGTGCGGCTACCTTGTATTTATACATAAAATATCTGTTCTAATCTTCGAAGAGGGTTTCCAGAACGAAGGAGATCTTAAGAAAGAAATGCAAAGTTTCATCTTGATGACACGTTTATTTAGTACAGAAATAAACTGAACATGCATTCCGTGCTTCACAAGCAACTCTCTTAGCGCAAAATTTATAAATATTATCTTATAAATTCAATGACTACACAGAAAACCACTCAACAAAACAAAAGCACGATATCTACGATGAAATCTGCCGGTGATATTTCATTGCAGCTCGTCATGTAGTTTTTAACATCCCTCACCTCCGTTCTTTCTGTTTCTATTTCACTTTCAATTTATTCACAACCAAGTGCATTTTCTTGTAGCTCTACTGCTCCCAAGGCGTCTTGGTGCTAGTTATGTTCCGTTTTATTCGTTTCCTGTTCCTGTTTGCCCTTAGCTTTGTGCTCTCGCAAGATTGACTCATTAGGTAAGGAAAAATTGCGGATGGGGGAATTGTTTTAATGAAATCCGCAGAAAACCTTTGACTGAAAAGTCTCGTCAAACACCACATTTTATTCGCTCTTTTCCGAATCCTTTTGTGATCATTACACACTCTAACAGTATTTTATTCGCTAAGCAACAGAATATTGAAACAATATAATATTGTGTGCGCATATGGTATCACTCGTGTCGCTGACTGCGTATCTGTTTTTTTCGTTTTACGTTGATTAGAGTTGTTCGGTTAGATCACCACGCACCATCTACACACGGCTAACCGGCCATTAATTTCAAGCTATGCCTACCCATAGTTAAATTCGTGTTTACGACGACGTGTTTGTTTCCCATGTGCACCAGACACAGGACACGGATACTATATTGTATGTGGTTACAGTGTATGAAAATCATTATGCATATAGCTTTAATGGAATTGCCATTATATTTTTGTTAGATGTGGTCGTATTCGAACGTTACCTCTGAGAGTTAATCTCTGTTAATATTATGATGGTTCACTAGTTAACCTGAATATAAGCGTCGTCTGCGTTTTGCATTACGTTTCAATGCACACATTTCTCGATGCACAATGGATCATTTAATTGAGCGATAGTAGTGTTGTTGAGCCTTTATCCTAACCTTTCGGAAGACAGGGTTTCCTAGGGTATACATCCAGCATTAGAGAACGCTTGTGATTTTCATTATAACAACTTACAGATGAACTACTTTTGACTTTATTGAGAATAAATCTATGTTGTCTATATAAATAAGGCCGTGTACTTTTCATATAGTATTTATGTCTGGATATTAATTGTTGCTGCATAAAGCAACAAAAGCGATGTCTGCTTAAGCATAGTCTCTGTGCTTTGTCGTTGTTCGTATATCCAATGTTCGAATTTTGTGTTGCTTCCTTTTTTGTCCCGTCACGTCGAATTTTATCATTTGCGTTAGAATTATTATGCCTATTGCTGTTTCATTACATTTATCCTTAAAAGTCTGCTTAGATCGATAGATGATTGTCACCCCCGTGTTTGCCGTCACCAACTGCGCACCGAGCATGCTCGCTGTGGCCAACTCCTTTCAGCTTCGTCCACAACCTATGAATTACGAAACAACAACAGTAATTACTTTAATAGGTCACTTATGGATGAATGGCAAAACTGTTCCTAGCTACCTCTGCATATAGCCAAAAATTCATCGAGTTTCCATACACTTATTGGTCAATTCAAGCAATAAGCACTGCATACGTTTCCTGTTCAGTGTACATTTACTGCTGACGATAACCTTCAAAGGGGGGATCCGCCAGAGGTATCTAATATATGCATCTAATTGCCATTCGGCAACAACATTTAACCGCCTATAAATCTCAGTCTTTATTGACAGAAGCGCAAAAAGGAGAAGCTGACAAATGACATGTACTCTATGTTCAGACGCCGTTTGAAAATATTAGGATTCATTCCTTCGCGCGTTTGTATTATGTACGCCAGCCAAGTATGTTCTATATATCTGTTTTGCAAACCTATCATGAAAAAATAACAATAGTAATAATAATAATATCGAGGTAATCATGACGTAATATAGAAGCATGGGTATCTCATTCGACACATTTTTTATCTCTTCGCGTGGGTAAATCGTCCTTATATAGACATGTCTTTTTATAGAGGTGAAGGTGATGTTCTGGGTAACTGGGGGACGTTTTTTTAGGCGTTACGACCTGTCACCTTTCGCGATTATTTTGCCGTCTCTTTAGTTCCTTACAGAACACTTTCTGCTCTAGAAGCACGGCCATTAAGGTGAATTAGGAGCAGAGTATTGGAATTTACAACGACGGGCACTTCGAACACTCTCGAAAGGAACTAAGTAATTAATAGATCAAAAATTTCAATACGAAAATGGGTCAAACGAGTTTTAGGACGTTTTCTACTTTTTTTTTTGTTTGTACTTGGAATCGTTATTTTTGTGTTGGTAATCTCAGTGCTTTAGAGCCTTTTCCTTTACCTAATAAATCCATAAGGAAGCAAGAATAGAGAAATAACACGAATAAAACGGAAACATAACTAACATCAAAACACTTGAATAAATTGAAAACAAAATAGAAACAGGAAGAAAAAAGGTAAGAGATCTTACAAGCCTTATGACGAGCTGCAATAAAATATCATCGCTAGATTTCGTGGTACATATCATGTTTTTCTTTTATTGAGTCGTGTCCTATGTAGTTATTAAATTTATAAAAAAAAAAGCATAAACTTTGCGCTAAGGGAGTTGATTGCCACAGATACTTTTTTTAATTTAAAGTACTTTTTCTCAATCTACTTTTACACGAAATAAATGGGTCGTGAAGGCCAAACTTTTCTTTCCTAAAATATCTTTCATTCTGGAAACCTTTTTCAAAGACTAAGAAAGATCTTTTGTGTATATACGCAGGGTAGCCGCACTGAATTCGCGTTTTTTTTTTTTGGCTGGGCCCTTACGGTTTCATGAATTGGTTCATCTGAAATTGGTATCCCTGAGTAAAATTCGTTCCAAGGAGGATGTAGATAACCTCGTAGGCGTGGTGGGAAATAGTGCGGCGTTTTTTGAATTTGAGCGAAGACCAGTCATCGTCAATTCTGGACCCCGAGTTAACCTTCACCAAGATTATAAAGATAGGGCTGCTCCAAATCGAACGTGTATGGCACTGCATATGAGTAGATGGTACCGAAAAAGCATAGGCGAGTTCCAGCACAACTATTAAAAATTTACGATAGACAAAAATTCGTACGAACCCCGATTTAATCGACGCCATCCGAAAATGGGTTTGAAAAAGAGGTTTATCTGACGTGAACTGGTGAATGTGAATTTTAACTTAAACAGGTAGATTACATTGCGCCGAGACCGGTGCCCAGTAGTTCTCAATTCTTTCCTCATACTTTATTTTCACCATCCGACTTTTCAATTAACAGTAAATCTAGGAACGTTAGATTTTTATTCTTCTGTATAAACTTGTCTACTATTTTCAACACAAGGTCTTCTTCTTAAGGATTCTTCTCGAAAATTCGAGGCAAGCATACTGTTCTATTTTGTCCTGATTCGCGGGTGACTAAAACGGCGCGGATTGGTGGCGCCATCTATCGAGCCGGCCAACGACTATCGCAGCACAACAAGCAAGATGGCGGTATCGTGCGGGTGAATGAACAAGAGAACACGACTATGCACACGACTGTTAGCAGCCGGCGGAGCGGGTGGAAGAATAGCAGTAGCACCATCACCAGCTTTCAGTGAATGAGTAAACTAGTGATTTAGCAAAAAGTGGTTGGCAAGGGCTGCTGCTTAAGCACCGCTAGTAAGAGGGAATTGAGAGATGTATATAAACATCATAGAGAAAGAAGTCCGCGGAAGCGGCTGAAGCAGAACAAAGTGAAGTGGGAAGGAAGAGGGCGATACTATTGCTGCTAATGCTGAGTGCCTGAATGACGGCTGACTTGCTCGCTAAGTGAGTGAGTGATTCGCGACGACGACGACGACGGTGGCGGCGGCGGCGGAAGGATGACGATGGGATCTGCTCCTACTGCTGCTGCTGCTGCTGGTTCAATTACCACGGCTTCTGTAGCTCTAGCTGTTGTACTTCAGGCCGCTATCGCTCTATATGCTACTGTTGTTTCCGTCGCAGGAGCGACGTTGTTGGGCTCAACCGCCAGCATCACCATCAGGAGCCCCACTGGAGCCGTCGGAGCCTCGGTCGGCCCCACCACTGCTGCTGCCACAACCGTCACGTTGCTGTGACACCAGCCGACCAAAAGAACAGCGACAGGCAAGAAGCAAATTACCCCACCACGGGCATCTCGAACTGACTCGAGGTCCACCACGAGCACGAGCGCAAGCAGCACCGCTGCCGGCGTATTCAGTATATCTTCGTAGTAAGAAAAGCGATTTCAATAGCGTGAAGTAGTGCTGGTGTTGTTAGAGAGTGTCTGCGTGAATGCGTGTACGTGTGGGTGTGCATGTGAGTGGTATCGAGCTGCAGAAGGTAAAGAAGTGCTTTTAGCTAATCGTTGAATGTTCGCCGTCGTCTTTTAAGTATGTGAGTTACAAACGCCGCTTTTTCTACCCGTCGTGGGGAACGGCCATAGTCGACGGCAGCATACAGCAGCGGCGGAGGTGAAGGCAGCAGCATCAATCAGTGGAGATTAATGATACTAATAATAATAACAATAATAACAATATTGATATCGCTACCAAAAAAAGGACTAGTAGCTGTAGGCCCCATAGGAACAGAAGCAGCAACAGAAACGATTGTTGTTGTTGTTGTTGTTGTTGTTGTTGTTGTAGTTGTAGTAGTAGTAGTAGTAGTAGTAGTTCCCTTCTTCTTATGTGCTACGCGCTATCGCTGCCACTGCGTGTGGCGGCATCCTTACCCCCTCCCGCTGCTGCTGCTGCTGCTTCCGCCGCCGTTGCTCCGTTGTGCTCTATGCCGTTGCCGTCGCTGTTCAAAACAAAGTCGAGTCATAAAATTAGTCAAAACTCGCCTCAACTTGTGATATTGGTGGGGTTCGTCGATCTCGTGGTGGAGTTCACCTCGGTGTGCAGGAATGACCGTGAGGGATGTGTAGATGAACGGGTCGTCGATGCAGATGGGACTCATAGAAGTAGCTGTGATGCCAACTATAGGCACGAAACTTACGGTGACAATTATGATGAAGACGAAGACGATGGTGAAGGTGGCGATGTTGTTGTTGTTGATGAGTGGCTTCAGTAGTGAAAATGATGATGTTGATAGAGGTGTGATGATGCGGAAGTGTGCACAACGGTGGTGTGTGCATGGTTGATGGGTCAAAACGGGAGGCGGCCGGGGAAAAAGAGTGCTCCTGTTGCTGCTGCTGGATAGGCGAAGACCGGCCAGCCGGACGAAGGACAGAATCGGCCTCTGGCCTGGAAGGCTCGACCGGTGTGCGCTTTCTTGGATGGTTGGTGCTGATGCGTGGTGACTACCACAGAGTGCTCTTCGCTTAAAGGAGCAGGTATGTCGTGATGGTGTTTATAGCCATAATTATAATACTGATTAGTGAAAGAGAGGACTAGTTTAGATTCCAATCGGATGAAAATCAGATCACGAGGTAATTTAAAGTTATCATAACGCCATATAAGAGGTGGGACCTATATCAGAAGCTGGTAAGATGCTGATCAAATTCTTCGTTTCCACCATAAGCTTACTTAACCGTTTTAGGGTAGTGAGCTATGTTAAGACGTTCCGGTCAAACAGATATAGCAACTATACCTAATATGTTTAAAAATACGTTCAATAAACACTGAACTGCTTTTTGCCTAGTCGATAGGACAAGGTAAACAGTGACAAGTTTTCTCTGCGCTTCTTTGAACGTTAGTCTACTATGGTGATACATTATTGATCGAATTGAATTGTCGTTGTTTGTTTGATGTTGCGGTAATCATGGCGTGCCAAACAATGGAGACCCCAGTACCGGCAATCACGTTCGATTGCAACGCTATATTTATAGCATACGCCGTTTACTGCTGAAGCATATTAAATATCTCGAATATTTCACCTGACTTTAAACAAAGGTTAATTATTGTTGGTTGTTTGATAGCCAGAAAAACGTTGACATTGACCATTCCAATTCGACGACAGTTTTTCTACTTTCCGAATCTATTCGTGCTTGAATTCGAGGTTCGCTTGCTAACGTTAGATGCGTTCAAAATATACTACTTTGTACGCCCTGGTTCAACGTCTCAACTCTTTAACTCGCTCACCCAGTCAGCGACGATGAACAACAACAACAGCAACATTCAATTAAAGGGCAGCATCGGCAGAGTTAATTGGTGCAATACCCGGTCAATGACATTGTTTGCGCCGTAAAGCTGGCTAGCTCCGTCACCTCTTTACGCGCTGACTGCCTCCCTGGTGACCGGGTTTGCCCACAACAAAGCAGCATACGATGAAATGCAAGTAGAAATTTTTTATTCAATAACGTTGACCCCATCGCCGTGTTCTTTTCGTCCCTGTTTTTACGATATTATATATATAGTTTCCAAACATGGCTTGCTGTTACGATTGTTTTAGTATTATTCCAATTTCTCTAATGCCGCTGCTGTATTTAGTGCTATTAGTGTACTGTAAAAATATGTATTTTTGTTCCTGTATGTGTGTGTGTGTGTATACTTGCATTGTTTGCCGTTCGCAGACAAACTCTTCGGTTCTTTGTGGCAGTTGTTGTTAAACTTCTGAGACATTGTTGTTGGTTTGCTGCTAACGCTGTTCTTTCAATCTTTTTGTGTGTCGAGAATAAAAACGGAAGAAACCTTGCCTGGGTACCGCTAAAAGAAAACGCGTCGATGGTACTCCATTACGCCTCGGTGGTTGCGAAAAAATTCTCTTGCTGGCCGGCAGCAATTTTCGGCTCTTTTCCTTTATCGTGTTGATGAAGGGCCGTGGATCTTAGCGAATATGCTGCTAAGATCAAAGTAATTTCAAACTGCGGATTGTCGGCTCAAACTGATAAGAATACAGCTATCTTTTCAATTATTACTTGAGCGTGTTATTACTGGTCTGCTATTGATTTCATGGATTATTAAGTTGCTTGATACACTGAGTTTGATGACGTTTGAACCATACGAGAAACTATCTCTTCTTTTGTCTATTGTGCTTTCATCTCGCGTTATCAGTCCGCACACTTACTATCTATATTAAATTACACATTTACAGATACATTTACTTTACTATTTCTTTCGATTTTTTGAGAAATCCTTCATACGTCATTTATCTGTTGATTATTAATTTCTGCGAACTATATTCCCGACCACATGGAATGCCACATGCTTCTCTATAAATCTTTTCTAAAAAATTGTTCCCCATCATGATTTCCTGAAGAAATTTGCATATATTACTGTTAATCAAGTACCGGGAAAAAAAGTACCTGATTTACTTTTTGACAACTTTTCCTCAGTTCAGAGTTCTACCTTAGGGCTTATAACATTTGTGAAAATCAGTTTGCGATACAATGAAATAATCAGGCACCGCAATCGCCCGCCGTGTATTGAAATTTCTGGCGTTGCATTCATGCCGTTTATGATATGTATTGCATCTATGCGATTCTGAGTTTTAAAACGGAAAAACCATTCGGATTGATGAAATGGCTCAACGCTAGTGAATTGCTGGTGCTGAGAATTGGGATTTTTGTAGGTCTTTCTAGAAGAAAAATTTTCGAGGTAATCTTTAAGGTTAAGCCGATCCACGGTTAGGACAGAATTTCGAGATCCAGCTGGCTCGTGCTTTCAAATGATCTAAGCCCTCATTAAAAGAACGTAGTTTGTAGCAACGATAATATAGTAATAATAGCAAATGAATAATAATAATAGTAACAGTATAGCAGGTAAGAGCACTTTGCTTGCACGCAGTCTACTGATAGCTGCCACTGTCCAACTCAACTGATTTGCTTGATTCTATGTCTCTTTTTTGTTGGAATAATTGGTTTGTCTCCTCACTAGAACAGAGATAACTTAAAAGGCTTTTGATAAATGAGATGCTTTATAGATATGTACAAATGAAGGCTAAAAAAAATTATAATGCGCTTTAGTAGTTGTCAACTGATCAAGATAGCTGTGGTTTTTTAATAGTCAAACTATAACTACACGTCCATATATCTGTGCATATAACATTCATCGAAGTGGTAGTTATGGCAGCTACTAAGATTGGTTTTGTTGCTTTGCCAACTTAGTTGTATTGCGTTAGGTTTTATTAGCGTGACTTTAACGGTTACTGTCTAATGTCACTGACTAGAGTCTCGGCGGCTGAGGTTGCCACGGCCAGAAGGACTGAGCAAAAGGCTGATTGCTGCCGCCGCTTTTGCTGCTAATGTTATCATCGATGCCGCCGCTGTCTTCATAAGCTCCCGCGTGTATAGATGTTCGCCTGTGTACGTGCGTTGTGTCTGTGTGACTGCGATCACTTTTGCGGAGTACTGGCAACCGCTGCGACGGCCGTTGACCCTTTGCAGCGGCTTAGTAGTGGTTGTCCTGTTTACTATTTCATACAAAGCAAACCAGCCAGCGAACGACCGGCAGTTACCTCTGCCGTCAGCAACGGCTGCCGCTCTACTGTTGCGACTATCATTACTACTGCTGGACAATATTATTAGTATAGGTAGCACTAGTTCTACAATTCTTCGCGCTACTATTGTCTGCCATAGTGGGCCAGAACCAGCAGTACAGAACGAACAACGATGTCCGCGTTAACAAACCGGCAAGAACTGTATTAATAGATTGTCAAGCTGAAAATAACTAAATCCGGTGGAATTTCCTTGAGTGCATCAATGCAATCAATAATAGTTAAACTTGTTAAATCATCTGCAACAGCAACACTTCCATGAAGTGGTTGACAGTTCGCCACTGATGTGAGTTCGTAAAATATAGTTCGTATGTATAGTAAAGGTGGCTTGGTGAGTGAGCTATTACGATAAGTGCTAATAAGGGAATAGAACGGAACAAAACGAGAGAACTTACATTGTCAGAACAAGCCCAACGTGCGTGTAAAGAGAGAGCAAAAGAAAATATTGATGACGATGTGAGTGTCACAGTTGACATCACACACGATGCTTGGCAACATAGATCACCGCTGTTCTTTGACAACAATAAACTAAGGATAGAATAAATAAAACAAAAAAATTGAAAGAAAGTGTTAGGTGAGCGGAGTGTAATGAATCCTTACGTTCTCTCTTAAACATTCCCACTTTCAAAGCAAAATAATACTCTTATATTCATTGCCTTGATTTTTCCGATTCTGATAATTATACATTGGCAGCGGCACAGTCACAAGAGTTTTTGCTTCCATTTTTATGGCTGGTGTAAAAATGTATAGCTTAGAAAGCTCATATTTAATGCATTTACTCACAAAGATACTTGAAATAAACCTAGATATATATTACTCAAAATAAGTTTTAATTATTTCAAGACTTAATAATGCTATTTTTCTTTCCATATTTGTTAGGAGACTTGTCAATTTTTAACCTGTTGTTATACCATACATCTTCAGTCCTTGGAATACATTGGGTTTTCAGAAGAGTGTTGACCATTTTAAATTGAAGAAAAATTTTTTTTGAAGAAAAAAGATTTAAAAGCCCAAATTCAAGAGAATGTTGTTTATATTTTAAAATAATATTACTAAACTAAATATGCGCCACATTGATCGATGACCTTCTTTATTTTTTTGGTAACACCATAATGTCAAGCTCCTGTGGAGTCCGCGCGAAAAAATGACAAATTATTTTTGTATTTCTACATTAAAATAGAATTAAGGCCGTAAGAAGGTAAATAGAATCAACCGGGCGACAGAAATTCACAATACGCGCTTCCGGTCTAACTAAACTCACAGAATCACCTTCTTTGACGTCAGTCTGGGTTTTGCCGCAGATTACGAAGCAGATTTTTCTTTTTTTTCTTATTTGCACATTATTGCCGCCTGTGATCCACTTTTCATCACCCTTGATAAACCAACTTAGAAATTACTCGATTTCATTGCATTTATTTAGAGCTTCACAAATGGAGTTATGATCGAGTAAATTCGTTTGCATCGATCCGTGTGGCATTCAAACATACTTTTACATGTAGCCAGCTTTCTTTAAATCGTTTAAAATTGTTATGTGGTGGATGTTTAGTTCCTTGGCGATACCATGGCTACTAAGTCTCGCCTAACTTCCGTAATAATTTTATCAACTTTTCTGTACTTGGTCGACCACTACGAGAGGCGCATTTCACAACGAAAGTTCGGACGAAATATCGTAGGAATTTAAGGAGTTCATCTAGGACACGCTGCGATATTCAGTAGGTTGTGATAACGGGAGAGCTCGATTAAGGGTCGAGGTCAATGAAAGTTTATTTCGTCCTGTTAAGATGAATGAATGCATTGCTATCTGCTATACATGAAGAAGCATTGTGCTAAAACTTTGCTTAGCATAATTTCTTGGCATAGTCAGGTTATTTTACTTGGATAGTATTACTTAGCAATTTACATTCTCTTTCCGCCTGTGCCAGATGTTCAACCCACACTCCCATTTCCACTTCACATTACAGCTTGTTCTGCTGAGCAGTGCCTTAAGGACTTTGCTTATTGGGGAAGTTTCCAGAAACGTCGTACCAGTAACTAACACGATCTTATTATAAGATCGTGTTAGTTACACAACATCATAGCAGTGCTATATAAGTAAGGTATAAGGAGCCTTTAATGAATATTTGCAATAAAGTTCAAAGTTATATGCCAGATGTGGGCTTTCGTTTCCTTTTGTATGCTGATATTCATCTTTATAAAAAGAGAGCTAGTATAAAGACTCTGTATAGTAAAAATAACTTAAAAGTACTATATAGGATTATTCGGCATCAAGATTGTTTTCATGCCGTTGAGCGGTGAGGAGATAGCTGAATACGAAGTGAAAGTCCTAGTAAGGATCCGTAATGTGCATTTAGTTAAGTACTGTCAGCGTCAACATAAAGTAAACATTTTCTTTAGAAAAACGGATTTCTGACATATTTGATCACTTTTCATTTACCAGACATATCAAGACATAAATGAGTAGCACTTTTTATCAAAATGAATAAATGTTTCGAGTTTTACGCCTGGCACCGTCATTAAGCGCTTCATCAGAGGGCCGCTTTCTAGCATACAACGAAGCGTGTTTACGACCGGATTCAAACCTCACTAAAATTAGCGCTGATTATAATAAGCTTGCTTGTGCACCGTCTTCTAAATATCCTTTAAAGATGGTTGTTATAGCAGTCAAGACTGAAATTGGTTTCGTATTAAGACTTCGTTGGATTGCATTAGACAAGAGTTGTATCTCTGTTTAGCGAGAGCTACGACTACTCCGATTAAATGGAATGATAAGAAGTTTTCATAAAAATTATGATTTTTTTCAAAATATAAGATGGTTGGTATAGGTAGGTTTTTGGTGGGCATGAAACAAACGACTGAGCCTGCTCGGTTATTTCTGCTCGCCATTAATTAGGAATGACATCCATTTAGGTGGCGCTAGAGCATCGGGTTCTGTAGATTTGGATTTATGAAGAAATCGGGGAATAACTAACATGACAGGTTGAAGTCTGTTGAAGCTGAATACACCTAAACTATAGTACAATGCATTAAAGTTAAGAGAATGATCAAGATGAGTAGTGTTATAGAGGCTAAACTCATGCAGTGCGATTATCTTGATTCTGTCATAGCAAATACTTGCACATGTATTGAGACAGCTACGTCGCCTCTGAGAGTTAAATTATTTTCGTGGTGAAATCTTTATGAAAATGGCCTTTGGCTTACGAGATTTAATTAATTTTTATCTTGGTTCATCTTTCGGAAAAGATCACAGAAGGAAATTTTATCAACAAGGTACCTTTTGCGGGAACTAACAAATAACTCCATAAGCTATTCAACGACGAAGGCAGTCACACAAGAAAAAAGGGACTATCGTAATTGAACAGGCGTCATAATCCATTATACCGTCATAATCAACCGATTTTCGGTAAAGCACTCGGTTCTCTAGTTGAACATAGCAAATATGTTTATCACAACATACCTCGCTGTAATCGAGGTTGATAAAAATCAATCGGTTCTTTTTTAAATGACTTTGTTGGTAATAATAAGGACAACGATGCTCCGATCTTTATTTTCAGTCAGAGTCAATTTCAAATCTGACTGGTCCGATTCACATTGGTGCTGTAAGTACTACGCTCACTATACTTATTCAGGCTCCCCGGGATAAAAGTTACATAGTTCATAATGAAGTCTCTATGTTCCCATTAAACTGGCGTGGTTTTGAGTACCAGATAGAGGAAGTATTTATTTCAATGCCGGTAGTGTTACAAACAATCCTTGAAGCATTTGGCAGGTATATCAGTATCCATAGCTTTCAGCCCAAAAATCTAAATATGTCTAAAAAGAACCGATTTATACATTTATAAATACAGTATATTGAGTTCACATATGGAACACCACTAGTAATTTTTTATATACACGAACTGCTACGTCGCTTCAGGTGTGGCCCACGACGCCAGATATTAAGAATGTCGATGGGGAGTTTGGGCAGTCGGGGTGCCGCTTTCCTCAAGGCTGCATTGGCGGCCGCGGGAGCAGGAGGCGGCAAAGGTAGCTCCGCAGGGGCATCTCGGTCGTCATCTGGACTAGAGCAAGGTCTTGTACCCGTCAAAGGTGGAAGCGCGCCGACAGGCAAGAGAAAACGCGGCCGGCCTCCAAATGCTGTGATCAATGGAACATCGCAACGAAGAGGTAGCCTTCACTCAAAGAACTCTATCACTACGGACAGTCCACGTAGTGAGAGCACCAAAAATTCGGATAGCGGTAGCGCTACGGAAGAAGACACGTGGTATGTTGATTTTTCTGTGCATCTATTCTAAATTTTTGGTTAAACCTGGAAATCGAATTTATTTTTATTTATTCGGCCACACTTAGTTTACTGGGCGCATTCAACTTCATTTGAAATAATTTTTAAGTGGCGCAAAGGGCTTTAATTGTTATCGCCTAAATTAAACCTTTTATTATAAAAACACTAATTGATCTTTTCGCTCTCACGTTGGATACTAGCTTTACCCTTCGTTTGGTGTTGCCCTGTTCGGCGTGCGGAGAATCATCAGTGGATGGGTCACAGCACGAGTCTTCACCATCTATTGTGGTAGTTTGCTGCGAGTGTCGTAAGGGCTTCCATCAAACATGTCACTTACCACGGATTCCCCAAGTATTCATTGACGACTCGAGCCGGCTTTGGAGGTGTAGGAGTTGTGTGCCTCAAGGATCCGTCAGGGTATATTATTACACTTTATCACATTTAATTATCATATTTAATCTAATATATTAGTTTCGTTAAGTTAATTAACAAAGGCTGTTAACACCAGTACATCGTTTAGAGTTACAGAAATGAACATTTTCTGCAATCAATCGAAGAGGATGTGTAATTATCTACGTGCTCTCTGCTGTTTATCATTTCAACAGAAAAGTGCTAAGAATTTTCGGGCAATCACTCGTGCTTTGTATCAGACTAGTCTGCCGTACTCGCCTTCGAAGTTAGGTTGGGATCCCGAACATACTCACAACACAAATAATCGATATTGCTACTGCGGGAAAGACGGCGTATGGAAAGAGAAGATGCTCCAATGCAGAACTTGCCTTCAATGGTTTCACCAAGGTAATGTAATTCTGTAAAAAAGAATAGAATCGTTTCTTGTATAGGAATGTTTTTTTAGCTATCTTTAGGAATTTTTGTATTTATTCTGGAGATTTCCTTCAGCTCTTCTTTATATTGTAGAATAAATACCATTTTGTTATAATCACTTCTAGGATAAGGATTATTTGAAGGAAAAGTGTTGTTCGCTCGGTGTAAAATTATACCACTTTCAACCAATATCAGTAATATGGGTTTCGGAAAATACGGTTCTTTATGGGGGCTGTACAGCAGAGTTTAGGGTTGTACCACGTGTAACTGTTATTATGTGCAGTGTATGTATAGTGAATAGAGGTGCGCACAGGATGAATGTCGGAGTTCGTTGTTTTTTTTTATCGACAGAGTGTGTTCGGTGCCTTGAGTGGCCACTGCTGCGCGGTGATCTCTTCTATAACTATCGTTGCTCGATCTGTACTCGTGGGCCCGAGTACTTACGACGACTGAGACTCTCCTGGGTAGACGTTGCGGATCTACTCATGTACCAGCTTCACCTTACTCAGCCAAACAAGGAGTTCTTTCAAACGCGGTCCGAAATTTTTCCATATCTCGATTCAATATGGAGTTTACTGCAGGTCCCTCATGAGGTGCGTCCGCTGGAACAAAACTATAACTTCATGACCTTGGCAAAATATGGCTGTACACGTATAAAAAATGTTTTATACATACCAATTGCGTAAAGCTGCTTCTAGAGGTCGAGCTGAATCGCAAAGTCTTGTATTGTCATAATTCTCTACCTCATGATAAATCCAATCGAATAGTTGACGTAGAAGGGTTTATGTGGAATTCTTGTTTCATTTACAGTTAGATGCGTGCAGTACGGAGGAACGCCATAGTCACGTGCTTTACTGTCTTCGTCACGTCCGCCAGAGGTTTCGTCCCGTGGCATTAGGAAACGGTGAAGGTCATGGTGGACCGGCGTTTGCATTAATTGACCCGCAAAGATTGCCCTCGTTATCCGCACAACATTGGCAGGTCATCCGGCAAAGTTTGTAAGTGCGAAAATAAATTGCTAGCTGAGGTTTTAATTTACATACTCATTTTTCTTGCACGTAAAGGTATTTCCAAGCGGTGAATTTTTTTCGATCACAGATGCGCTAGTGCAACTTACTGACAATGTAAACCTAGACATAACTGAGTGCATTTGCAAAGTTATATGATCGATATTTTCTGATACGTGTACGCTGCTATAAACTGTAGTAAAGGTATGTTTAATTGAAACTAAGCGGAAAAGCAGGATTTCTTAGTGTTCCGTGACTGAAACAACGCTACATTTAGTCAAGCGGATACTCTAATCACGTAAATATCCTGAGTAGGTCCATTCGCTGGTGCTGTAAAAGTGTATGCATTAAGAAAGGGCTATATCGCATAAAACTCACGTAAGAAACGATGAATGAAAATAAGTGCATCATTCCTAATGTCTGAAAAATTTGATCAAACTCACCCGTAGTAGTTCGGTTGGAATTAATTTTGTATTGATCTTTTTTATTGCAGACGCTATAGTCAACCTTCAGTGTTGGACAAAAGTGGGTCACCATCACGAGGGGCTCGCTCCGGACGTTCATCTCAAATGGATGATGAGATCTCGCTTTCGTCGACAATCACTTCGTCTTCAGCTACATCGATTGCTTCCAAAACAAACTTTGATGATCTCTTCGATAGCCTCACAAGACCGCAACAACGTGAAAGCCAAGAGCAGCAACAAGCGACACAAACGCACCAAACATTAAAACATGAAGACGATAACGACGGCGATGATGATGAACGCGATGAGGACGAGGATGAACCTGATGAGGATAGGCGACGCTGCGCGCGAAATAACACGTCTGTTACCCTAGGTGGCGACGACAATGATGATGACGATGATTACTATTCTGACGCTAATGAACCTGATCATTCAGCTGTCAATCTGGAGCACTGCCAAACGGAGGCGAATAATCTAAAACGAGAAATGATACTACCTGCAGAGGACTATGAATGTCGTAGCAGGATGGTGGATGTTCAGAGAGAAATGGGTGATAGCGGTGATCAGCCTGAAGAAGCTGAGGGGCTTGACGACGAGCCGATTCGGAATAAGCTCCGGCCACGAACTGCAGTACAAGAACAGAAGAAAAAGCGAAAACGACGGGGGAAAAAATTACAAACTGGGCCAGATGAGGTTTGTCGAAATTACGTCTTTCTTTACTTGAAGTGATTGTGGATTTATTAAAGTGATTTTTTCACCACCAAGCGCTACAACATTATCACTAATACTGTACTACAGGTCCCTGAGTGATGGAAAACTACAGCATTTAAAAATCGTCTATTTCTTCAGATAACTCCAGAATTGTTGGACGAGAAGGTGGAAGAGCTGGTAGTAACGGCCTCTCTAGCGCGGATACCTATACCTGAAAGTTTCTCAGGCATAAATAATCCTTTTTATGAAGATCCTGGAGGAACGTCGAGTCTTGGGTCTTTTGGTTTGCTTCACACTGAGCCCGGTCCTAGAACAACGGTCAAAAAAAGGGTGCTACAAGCAAGAGATCTGGTAAGTTCAGTTACAGAACCCTTACTCTATTACGGGTCGAAAGTACCTCGATTGGCAAAGCTATTTACAGTGTCTTGTACTTGAGTTTGATTGCCTTGGAAGTCACTATACCGTATCTGCAGCACATATCTAAGTGGATGTTATGATATTCTTGGAAATTCGAAAGATGAGAACTTTGTTTTGAAATCATGCTAGCAAAACTTTTTGAGAATATGACACGTTGCGAAAATGTTGCATGTGCTAAGAGATCATAGCAATTTTAAACCTAAATCCATTAGAACTCGTAAGCAATACAAATACACCAGTGTTTTTAGCAGAACTCTTCTAATCTCGCGGTTATGTTTCTGACTGCGCTCTATATTATTTATGTAGGTGATCACCAAGGATGGAAAAATTCGCTGCAAACGTCTCCGACGTAGACATTCAGCAAAACTGGCGCTCCTGAATGCTTCAGCGGCTGTCGCCGATATAAGCGAATCGTCGAATTCAAACTCAATATCAAATCCGTCTCTTAATATGGAAGCATCAGCACTGAACTCTGGGCCAGACACGACAATCGTACTTGAGACAGAAGCTGGGAACGTCGAAGAGATGACGAGCGTGTTCGCTTTCAAAAGCTCTATGGAACAACAACGGGAAACACCGACCAGAAGCAGTGGAAGGTCTGCTGCATTAAGTGAAACAGGAAGAAGTATTACAATGGATATGTACGAAGGCGAAGCTGATGGTGAGAATGAACACTGCCGAAGAGTGGTTGCTTTTGCGGGGGACACAAGTCTTATAAAAATAGCATTTGGCGAAGCGGTCCTTGCCTCTCGGGTGTTGAGGGGTGGCGTAATGGAGTTGCTCCTAAGACGATGAAGCTGAAGAATATAATTGTGCCGACTAAATAGCTGTTAATGGGATGGTGTTGAGTACCTGCATGGGCAGAAGCAAGGCCCAGAGTATCGATTTCTCTAAGAGACCAGGCGCCAAAGTGGTAACATGGTACAGCATTTTTGCTGACGTAAGTCTAAAGTAGTAATTAAAGGCGTAAAGTCAGACAAGCGCAGGTTAAGGCAATGAGTAACAATTTTAGTGGAAAATAATCTAAACAGTTTCTCTACGTTAGGCGCGACTAATGAACATAATTGTTTGGTTTCCTATAACTTCGAGATTAGGCTAACTAACTGGGTTATATATAGTCGCTCAAGTGGGTCCGGGTTATCAAATATATTGAAGAAACCGAAATTTTGGCTTCTATCAACAGCAAAATCGGGCAGAAAACTCGGGAGTGTTCTCGTTGTACCCAAACAAGGTCAAATGACTAATGCAAAGACAATGCAATTTAAAATATCCCTTCAAGTACTTTATTTGGTACTCTTTCTATCAAGATATTTTGTCCAGGTTTCGCATTTTGATCCCAATCTCTTCAATATTTAATTAATGGAAAAACGATATTACTCAAAGAGTAACTCATATTGAAACTGTCGATCGTCAACAATCCTGTTACGAACGTAATACATAAAAAGTTTACTTTAGCACCATGGGACAACAAAGTCATATGAATACTGCGTATTGATAGATCTTTTGAACATCGTCTCCAAATGCATTAACTTTATACGAGATGGCTTACCACTAGCACGAAACAAGCGCACCTATTGCAAGACATTTTATATGTATGTTGCAAAGTCCTGTTAGTAAATCCGTTGCACCAAACACTAAATCGTCGCGAAGTGTGGTTCTAGTTAAAGCCATGGAACTACAGCCTCTTTCTTTGTACCTCTGGCCTATTGTGGCCCAGCAACCATATTGGCTATATTTTCTTTCCGCAAATTTTTGCCTAAGGTGCTGCTAACAATACCACCACAATCCCGGCAACCATGGGAAGGAACACAGCATACTGTCTATGCTCAAATGTACCTAATGTGAACTATAATAGCTGTCTACTGGATATTTCGGCTGAATTTGGTTGAGCCAAGTTGTCCCCGAGAATAATACCTAACCGACTGCCTAGACGAATTTAATTAATTCCGCAAATGGGTTGTGAGCGTACCTCAAAGTGCACTCACTTTTTCCTGAAACGATCAGCTGGATACAATGACAAAAAAAAAATGAGAATGTATTCCGTAAGCTGCCTCGCATACCTTGCTTGTTGTGTACGAGGAACATAAGCGCAACCAATGTCTGTTGGATATATAGCAGCACAATATTGACTGATAGCCTGAATCGCTGCCACAACTTATCGAGATTATCGACATCTTATTGAATCACAAACATTTATAAATGTATGTATCTATATGGATAATATAGACTAAGTGGCAATTCAAACTAGAAATATATTTAGAACAGAGTGAATAGGGTGCCGTAACCCCTGTGCTGTCTTGCTTATAATGATGATATAACTATAAGATGAAACAGATTTAAAACAATATAAACTACAAGTGTTTTTTGTTGGGCAAAAAGAAGTCTTGTGTGGCTTAGAGATCACGAAGAGCAGCATATTTACGCGGACTATATTATTATATTATACATGAGGGTCAAATGCAACGTAATTATTTAGTACTTTTAAACTGAATCGCGCCAATCACTGACAATTTGTGATCTCAGTGAAGTTGCGCTCAAGAAAAGTACGCGAATAAAGCAGAGCCTAACGTGCTGTATTTATTTGTAAAATTTTACATAAATATATATAAAGTTTATGATGCAATCCACGTATTAGTATAATCATTTTTATGAACAACACTGCCATTCCGCATTGTATGCGACGACAACAACTACAACAACAACAAGCAGACTATAAAGGAAACATTGTCTACGATGCTTAGATCAGCCTGAGGTAGTCGAGAAGGTAGCAACGTGGACACTTACTCAACTATATATGATGTATGTACAATGAACAAGTCTTACAGAGCACATGAATGAAAACGGGGGAGGGCAGAAAAATATAGGAATGTTAACATTACCTGTATGATAAATGAACAACATGTATTAAATAATAATATTGAGTTACGTGTGCGTGCATGTTCGCGTATACGTCTGCGCTGCTTATTGGATGTGTATGTACGTATCTTGATGCATTTTCAAAATGTCGAAAAGTCGTCGGCACCATCCAAGTTTTTTGACAATAAGAATACGTTACAGTGTTTACTGTGGCGCGATTCTACTTTTTTCATTCAAAAGCTGATCGAATATAGATTGAAAATAGTTTCACATTAAAGGTAATTTTTGACCAACTGAAAACATTTACACGAAGTAGTGATTGATTTTAAATAATAGAGTTAAGGGTCTTGTTCAATGTGTAAATCAAGCGAAACTAACGTTATTACTTGACCTTCCGCAAACAGTGAAACGAAGTGGAGTCTAGTTGCCCATAGCTGCATACCGTACTAATGTAGCTATAATTTGAACTACATTGTAGCAGGTCTAGGCGGGCGTTACATAAGTACATGCACGTGTATTATTATCATTATTATTATTAGAAACCAATCTGTTGATGATTAAAGGAACGGCTTTTAACGATTTGAAAGTTAAGAGTTTTTGCTGGAGTTTACTAACCACGTATTCGTCCTGATCATGTGTGTTTATGTAAATACTGAAACAGATGAAAATATCCAGTATAAATATTAATTACACAAATATAAATATCTAAAAATATGTAATAGTAGTATGAAATGATTGGTCGAAATGAATGAATAAATAAATGATTGAAGAAGAACCTCTCAATGATGAAATATCGACGACATGAGCTAGAAAACAAAATGAAAAATGTGTCTCGCCCCCTCTCATTTTGAACAGATAAGAAGTTTCGTTCTGTGATCTCCGCTGAAGCGGTTCTATAAATTCACTTCCCTACAATAGATACTCCCCGAATATTGAATATTTTCCTGTGACCCAAACATACTTTTTTGTATTCCAGTTATTCTTTCTCCGGTTATAGAGACGGAACAACTTTGTATCAAATAAATTGAACGCGTTTTAGTTTTTCAAACTGTGTGAAATACTGCTCCGATTATTGACTTGACCTCGACCTAAATCTGCTACAGTTGACATTTTTCTTATACATGAAAAAGAAATTTTGACGACAGTTTATGGCATTTAGAATGATGGGAAAAAGTTGATGAGACTGCAACATGTTGCTGTGTACGAGTAGACGTTGACAGTGTGTGTATGAGCTACGTAATATAACTAGTGTAAAAAAAAAACTGGGAACTGATGTTTTGTACGACAATAAAAATGGCTGGTATAAGTTTATTTAACTGTTTTTCAATTTTGGATCAAGTATACTTTATACGGTTTAAACAATATAACATTAAAATTGTGTGAGTTATTAATATCAGGAGTTACCTCTAAATATGATTATTTCCTTTCCCTGTTAAAATCATATATTGAAAATATTACTCACAACGCACTAAGCCTTTAGGGAAAATAGAGATTTAAGCCTGTACAAAAAAAATAAAAAAGAAAAATGTCAGCAGATTTTCATAGAGCACTTTCACATATGAGAAATATATTTTTATATATATGCGCGAAGGTAAGTAAAGTACGCGGTTTATATATTTTAAATAAAATTATATTTAAAGTAATTGGTGAACTGGGTGTGTCCACTGGAGTCGCAAAAAGAGATAAAATTACCAATACATATCGGTGGCTAGTGGCTGGTGTAAAGTTGGGAACTTCAAACTAACTACACTGGTTTAGCGGTCACAGACGTTGCTCTTATTGTAATGGAACACTGCTCTGAAGTTTAAACAAACTGCTCAAATGTTCCCGGCTTCATATATTGATCATTAATGAAACTTACGATTACCTTTAATCGCTTCACATGAAAGAAAATTCGAAATATAAAAAATATCAATATCAATCTCAGCTTGAAAGAAACTGAAAGTTGGTCAATGTTCACTTTGAATCCCTGTGTCTCGTTGCGTCACTACTCTTAGTACATATATATATTTAGAATCTAAATAAATAGATTATATGCAAGGTAACAAATTCAAGCACAAGAAAATAAGGCCTTGTTCTTCTTCTTATTATTATTAGCGTTTAATTCCAGACTTTACATCTAAATATATTGATTAGCTTATGAATCTTATGCTGTTGAGATGCCTTCAATGATTCAACCGTTAATTTCTACTTCATTTTTGTAGCCCAGGGTGCTTGAGGCTTTGGCAAGTTATCTTTGGGCGTACCTCCGTAAATTAAATTTCTAATTATCGCATATCTGTTAAAGGAACGTCATAGTCGCCAGCGGCAGCAGCGAAATTGCAACAATGGATGGCGAGAAAACCAACAACGACACTGATTACAAAAAACTCAAGACATACTCCTATGAGTCTCTTTGCTGAATCAGAACACACCAAAAAAATCCTAAGTGGGATCGTACAACAGACATTGAATTTTACTAGTTTCCTAGCTCATCCTAGACTAGTAATAGCGTTAAAAATTAACTCTGCTGCATTAATCACGAAAGTTTACAAGTCATGATGGTAACCCAGTACTTTTAAAGTTAAAAAATCTAGGGCCCCGATTAACCAGCGGATAATTTAATGATTGTTTCTATTTTCATTTTCTTTAACTTAATCTTTAAAGCTTGTTGCCGAGTTTTATAACAGAAAAAGGATACATTTGTGAGTGAGACTCTAAAGATGGCCCGCTGTCTTACACTTCTGTCTTAACCCCATTATCTTAAACATGCAATTTGACCTGTTGAACATAATTTCGTTGTGAAAAGTGTGGCAGTAGAAAATTAGACTGTAAGTCTTCGTTAGTAGGAGTGCTTTATGTAAGCAATCATGGACTGATAGTGTAATACGTATGATTCCAGTATCGTTAGATCGTAGGACTTCTGTCTTTTCAGAAAGTTTGCCGTACGTGTTTGGATAATAAGTAATTTAGTTGAAAGAATTATTTAACAGATCTCTCCTTACTGCTCACGATATAAGCTGGTGGTTTAAAAATTATAAAGAGTATCTATAGTAATAATAAAGATTTAGAAAAGCTTAATAATGATAAATCTATATCACACAATACCATGAATATTTGATATATAACTGTTATTTTATTCATGAATATTAAGTGTTTTATATGATAATATCTTTATGTAAGTGTAGATGGATTTAAAAATTCAATTAAAAAAGTAATATGCTTATTGAAAGATTTTTTTATAAGTTCCTGCAACCTTTACATAATATAATAAATAATCACGACTCTGTACAAATTAGTATAATACCTTATTGTCATCATCCTTATTCATGATTGATTTACCTTTTCTTTCTATTTATCAGTCTGACGTTAATTCAATAACTTTATTAAAATATTCAATTACAATATAAATTTCTGCAATCTTGATAAATAATCATAAATCTATATTTATTCTTTACAAATAATACTTTAAAATGATATATATATATATAACATAAAAATCTAATGGCTATAAAAATATTACTTCTTACCGTGTATAATGTAGCACTATAACATCGTATTCGTACGAAACTTCCTTCTTACCTAATTTTCAAATGGGTCAAAAGGACCGAATATGTAAGGGTTACCTAATAATCATAACTATGGGTAAATATGTTAAATGAGTTACCATTTATGAACATCTTATTTCGATATCTATAAGTTAATTTGATTAGAAACATACAACACTTATTTGAGTAAAATAGTATTTATAAGTAAATATGATGGTATCATATTTACTTATTATTATTTATCTATCAAGTTATCTAATCATTATATATTCACCATGGCATCGTCCGATATGGTCTAGTGGTTAGGATTCCTGGTTTTCACCCAGGCGGCCCGGGTTCAATTCCCGGTATCGGAGATTTTGTATTTTAGGGTGTATTTGCCAACATGTCGAAATTCGGGTTTACCAGTAAAATCTCGACAGAAGAAGAATGCAAATAACCGCAACCTTCACAAAAAGCGGGTTGCTTATCGTACCTCTCGCGTATTTTCAGTTTGGTTTGAGGCTGGGTATCCACTTTATGATTAACGTTTAACTAAAAATTATAATATTATCAATACGCGCTGCGCGCATCTTTGCGTTACTTGGCACTAAGCCTAGGTATTACTAAGGCTTAAGGGCGTCAGCAATCTGATGGAATGCCTAACGGCAATACCCGGACCTAAAAATCGGTACATAGAGGTTTAAGTCCTACCATAATTAATTATGAGTTTTTTTCAGGCTATATTTAAACAAACACAGGTATCCCAACATAATGTTTTTGCATATACTAAAGTCTCATTCTTGAGGACCATGTTTATTCAATGTGATCTATGTTCACCTCAATATATATTCAGTTATTAACAAAATTGAAGAGAAACTGATCTTCTATGAAACGCTGCAATTAGAGCTAAATGATCGTTAACTTGCAAGATATTATTATCGATTATTACGATTCGCCTACGGAAGGTCTATATAAAGTTCCATTGGATCGTAGCGAACCTTATGGGCCTCTTTTTCACCTAATTTACAAATGATTCCATAAAATAATATAAGGGTCATCCAATAGTCCTAAGTATTAGTAAATATGTTAAATGACTTACCATTTACTAAAAGCCTAATCTCCATAAGTTGGTAAGTAAAACTTTATTTTTTTAGAAACGTACAACAGTTCATATAAGTAAAACAGGTTTAACGATAAATTTAGAGCCTACGTACGTTATCTACTACCGGAGTAACCCCTAGATCAACGTCCGATATGGTCTAGTGGCTAGGATTCCTGGTTTTCACCCAGGCGGCCCGGGTTCAATTCCCGGTATCGGAGATTTTTACGTTTCATGACATATTTGGTAACAAATTCCAATTTAGTAATGAAGTCTCAGCGAACCTCAACTTTCCCATTGATTTATCGAAAATGAATACCGAATATACCTTACGAAAAGTTCGAGGCAGAGTGGGGCAAATGAGGCCTCAGAGACAACGATGCGGGATACCCGATGCAGTGGTTCGGGTGACCACCCCGAAGCATTGTGATCATTATATCGATATAGCGAAATAAGCCGTGAGATAAAAGGTCCGAGAAAGAGTTAACGTACCACTAAAGCTTGAGAAGAACCTCTCAAGGTTAGCAACACATATCATAAAGCGATTTAGAGCACTGAGGTGGTTACCGGACAACTTGTCGTGGACATAAGATACCTGCCGTGTATTCTATAGGTAACCTCCCATATTCGATATCTGCTGTTACAAGTGCGGTATTATATTGCTACACTGGAATACAAAAATGAACGTTATGGATGAAATTGTTGGAAACACTGGTATACTGTGATTTCCGATGGGATTGCCAGGGCTTTCGATTCCCTTTTATGAAAGCCATAGGACGGCGTTATTCACCTTATAAGTATTGTAACTATACTAAATATTATCTAGCAAATACTTCAGTGAATCAGCTGAGAACACCGTTATGCGATTGATTAGTAACCTAGAAAATATAGCAACATTTACGACCGGTTTTAAACATTTCTATGTATATTTTATCGGACAAACTGTATCAGAGAACCCTAGATTTACTTTTGTTATAATTTTAGTATCTGTTAGTATTTACTATTACGGTAGTATGTGATAATCCAACCAATTTGTACTCGTTTTTATCACGAAACTGGAGACTTGTTATTGAAGTATAACAAGTTCGTACATGAACAACACGTTCACAAGGTTAACACGATTGGCTGTTCAAGAATTGAGTGCATTAGGAACTTCACTGCACAATATGAAGCGTAAATACCGAAAGCATTCACGTGTCTTATACACTTAAGGAAATACTCGTCAGATCAATTGCTAAGTATATGCTTGCTTGTTTTCATTAAAGATGTATACTATTAATACTATACAACTATAAATAAATATACTATGTATGCTAATAAACATGGGCCAAGACTGTTGCTTCGATCCTTGTAGCGCGCCTTCTCGAAAAAAAAAAACATGCGAAAGAAAGAACAGAGACGGCTGAGTCCAGTGTTCTCCACGTAGTAAATTGAGAGAAAGATATTGCACAAATGTGTACACTAGAATGGCCTTGGGATTGTTTTCTTTATCCCTTTTCTTTATCGGCCCTGATACCAGCTTTTAGCAATATATATGAGCAGATAAATTTAAAAGACGATTTATAAATAATGTACTTACTTAAAAAGCCATTTTCTGGAAACATTTCTAAATAACACCAGCAAAACGACTTAAAGTCTTATTACATATGGTCGGTCGTATTTGCTACGCCTGCGTTGGTGGCCCGGCACGTTAGTTGTGACTTTTTGTCGCGAGAGTATCTACTCACTACGAAATAAACTGTGGAGTACTAGGTTTTCGTGCCGACCTGAAGTATTGTTATCAGATGCTAAGCTACTAACAGGGAGAAGTCATCGAAAAATGGCTTACTTGGGCTCAACGACGAAGTAGTTTCGTGCCTACAACTCCTACAGGACAATACATGATCTTGCACGATTATACTATTTTAATATGATTTAAACGTCTAACGTACTGGACAGATAGCTTCAGTTATTCTTAAAAACATCTTGCGATTTTCTAAAGAGGTGATTATAACAAAAGAGTACTGTATTATGTAAACTATATGTATAAACGAAATGGAGTGCAGCTGACTCTCTCGGTTTAATGTGCGCTCTACGTTCCTGCCGTGGGCGAACAAACAAATACAAAAATAATACGGTAGCAGTAATAGTGCTAAGGAAATTATGAATTGTATAATTAGGGTTTGTTCTGAAGTGTATTTGTATTTTGCTCGATTTGCTTTCGGCGATTTGTGATGGTTCTTGTCACAAATAGCTTTTCCATAGCAAAGCATACCTTCCTCAACTTTTTCCTTTGCGATCAGCTTCATTACGGAGTTGCAACGAATAGCTGTTGAGCTTTTAGTTTCTTAGCAATAAATGAAATTTTATGATAAGGTATTATGCCTTGCATGTTACACTAGTTAACTAAAGATAACAGACAATATTACCACCCTGTGAGCCATTTCACACGGACTAGTCGATATGGATCCCTTTACAGATAACTACAGCGAGACAATCTCTCTATACAACTTAAATTCTTGCCTTATTTATACACGCGTTAATTTATACCGGAGCATTAGCTCAATTTCTTCTCTTATATGATCATCCAATATTTCCTTCAGTTTGTAAACTCTGTCACCGAATAGATTTAGGATGCAGCCTATGACTTCGGATGGCTCAAAGTATCGTTTCAATGCGGCCATCCATTTGACGCCTTTCTATTATCTAATTAATAATATGAGTTGCAGTATAGTCGGTCGACCAGGATCGTGTCACTTGAACTAAAAATACATCGAAAATGGGTTTCTGAGACCTTTGGGGGCACTGGGTAGCTTAGTCCGGCAGGTCTAACGTGTTGAAACCATATATAAGCTCGCAAGGCGTCCTCCAAAAATGTTAAAGGCGATGTGAGCAGAGTGTTGTCAGATCCTGCTTCTAACATTTCCTCGTATTATAAGAATGTGATAGCAACTCTGGTAAGGATATTTAACACCAGAGATTTGGTTAATCGTTTTTGTAGTGGTACTTGAACGTCATTTCCATCCCTACAGACACGGGCCACGTTAATACACTTATAACGTGTTTTTGCAGTTAATCCTATCGCTGAGATCTTGCAAAGATTAGGGTGTCGAAGTCTATTACAGCCGAAACCTTCCAGAGCCTCCCAAAATGTAGGTGTCCGCATTTTTTTCCGGCCGCGCGATTCCGACATCTAAATCGCTGACAACGATTGTTGGTTTTTCTCCGTTTCCGGGTCGACAGTACCTGACCAGTGTTTCTACCGTTTCATTGATGCCCTCTACCCCGGAAGGACAAGTATTAATAATAATATTGATTCTTGTTCCATCAATAAATCTCCAGTTATCTTTTGTGAGAACTGATTTTATTGTACCCAGACGCCGATTGCAGAATATAGGGGCATTGCCTTTCCTGGCGTGACCACTATAGCCGACATGAGTGACAGCGCCCACGTTGATGTCAGGGTTAGGGTATCGAGCGTCTTCAAAACATAACTAGGCAGTAGAAGTACTAGGCAAGTCTTTCAGAAGGAATGCTTTCGCAGTTTCCACTATCATCTTGGCTTTCAGCGTCTCCTGTCTCTGGCATATTCTTCGCTTGGCTTGTTTGGCTTTGTTCAAGCACTGGAGAACAAGTAACATGAGATTTGCTAAAGTGACCTCAAAAGGCTTGAAATAACGTGTTAGAAGGCTTTTTGCAACCTATTCAAAAATTCGCCGCCAGCGAGTTTGTGGTTGATCACTCGAGTGCATCGATTGGGCGAGCGTTACCGGCGGTATTCTATGGCTCCTATGAAGACCCCAGGAATAGCTTTTATGCGTCTTGAAGAATCTGGCCAGTTTTAGTCTTCATCGGTAAAGAATCTCTTCCTTGGTGGGCAGGCAAATATGCGCTTTCTCAGTTTAGAATAAATGAAGGTATGCGGCTTAACTATGGTTTTCATAATCTAAATTAATAGAAGTGAGGCTACAAAAATCGGTGCAGATATTCTGGCTGTTTGCGCCGACGTTGTGAAATGTCCGTATTGAATCCTAAAGGCAATCATACTCTTGGACTATCAACTGTAAAGATAACAGTCAGCAAATAGTACGTCGTACAGTTTTACGATTACACCTCTACTACAAAAAACGTATTCGGGTAAAGCATTATTATTATTTTGAAGTTGCAACGGTAATCTGAACATCCCTGTGTAGAATTGTATTGTGTTGTCACAGTCACATAAAACATGGTTGTGTAGGTTTTCAAGTGCCGCGTTTACGTAAAATTATGCTAGGGTAAGGATAATTTTTTTTTCTATTGCACTGAGGAAATGGCAAAACGCAGTACTTATTGTTAACTTGTAAAATGTTGATACTGTTTGAACTTTTTATCACCTCACGATACAGTTGCCTCAGATCTACTCGATCAACGTTTCACTCTGTACTCGTAACAGACATCTATGAAATGAGTTCAAGAATCGCGAGAGTTATCAGCACTAAACTGTTTCAGTAAGGTATTTCACTTAAAAGAAAAAGGTTTCGAGCGTGGCACATCCTTCCACCACTAATTTAGTTTTCCGTTATTCAAGTTGGGTAGATGGGAAACGCGTCATCGGCCTCTGTCAGAAGATAAACGCTAAAAGAAGGAAATAATCGTATTATATGTTCATAATTAGAAGGTTTATTTATAAGAAAGTTAACGGAAACGCATTTTATTGCCCACACGCATAGGATGACCCCTACTCCTTTTCCTATTGCTTTCGGACTGCTTAAGCATAATGTGATTAATATTAATAGTAAATCATTATCTTGTACAGAAATCAACCATGAAGGCAAATTTTAAAGTGTCGGAAAACTTTTCCCTTAAGACAATTGAGTATGTGATCATACTTATGAAAAAAATATCTAATAAAACGTAGGTAATTTAGTAAGCCAGTTTCATCTCGACAGCTTTTTATTCAAGTACAACATGAGTGTATTAATAAAACTTGTTTGTCTTAATTTTATTTTTACAGTGCTTACTTTTCGTGTGGTTTTCGTGAAATTACCATGATCTGCAATCATAATAGTCACTTCACTAATCCGCGAAGAGTGGTCCATGCAAGCTAAACTCTTAGATAGACTGTGGTCTTTTACTATGCCACCACATTGTTCTTTCGAGCTTCGTGTTCATTTCTATTGTCATGAAGCATTTCTTTAAATAATAGGTCCTTAACCCGAAATTATTGCTATTAGTATTAACGCAGCCCAAGTGCGCTCTGCTTAGAGCGGCCCACCCTAGTGAGATTGCTGCAGCACAACAACGTCCTCTCCCGTTGCAGACGACAGTGGCATCCGCACCACAATAGTGGCCTTTGTCGTCGAATATTTTATGTCTGACTGTGTTACTTTTAGCAAACTTTACTAATTGTGTTTTAATTATTCACTCTGAATACTTTGTAATTTGCAGAGTAGATAGTCCAGTTTTAGTCTTATGTTTCTAATCTGTGTTTTGTGGTGTTAGTAATTCGGTTCTCATATGAATTATTGTATACGAGCAATGTCCGGAATAGTTCAGTATTTCGCCGGTGAAGATGATAACGGGCACCGATGTGGATACTGCCGTGGATCTGTTTCAAATTTCAACAAAGGTATGCAAGTACGCTTAACGAATATACGAACGATATGCAATACGCTTCTTTACGTTAGACTGTCAGATGCGAAAAAAACATAATATCTATTTTGCAAAAAAGCATGCATGATTAAAAACAAGTAACGAATTATTAAAGCCATAAACTTAGTGTCAGCTTAAGACATTAATGCGACTAAATTAAAGTGATAATTCAGTTAACAATAAATAATCTGCTATGCTTTACTGTCCAGTTACTATGCTTACTCCTCCTAATACAACTAAACGTGGGCAGATGTTTATGTAGATTTGAAAATCAAATAGATTAAGTCGTGTAGCCAATATTATACGTGCAATATCTCTAGGATGGTATTGCATTTAGTATAGCAATTATTGTATTATTGTTTTTCACAGTTGATCCACTTGTTAACTGTGAAGGCATGTTACAGCATGAGAGCCGCCTAAAAAGCTTATCCACAATATATTAAATGTATAATTACCTCGGCTGCAACCTAAAATATCTTCTTTTAGTCGGCTTAGGTTAACTATAACTAACAACTTGAAATAGGAGTTCAAAAGTCGCAGGCGACAAGACAAAGATGTATAACAAACTTAAATTTAAAAAATCTTTACCGTTGAGTCTGTGTAGGAAAAAGAGTTCCCTGAATGAATGATATGTTCGCCAAGTTTCATGGTCATATTGTAGGAAGTGACCCTAGCATGGTCTGGAATAGGCCGCTTAATGATTTCAATATGAAAAGAGTGGATGGACTGTTGCTGGGAGCTATAGAACTGAGCAAAGAAATCTCACTTGTAGTGAACATTTTACTTAATGATTTTTTATGCTGCTTTATGCAATGAGTTTCCAAGCTGAAACTTTTTAAAGCACATATTTTATAGATTTTCATGAGATATGACGAAATTACCGTACGTATGACGCGTACCGACAAAATTTTCTTCTATACAGGTATGTGGGCGTACGTTCTTACACCGCAGCACTACCAAGACCTTATCGATCGTGGTTGGAGACGATCTGGGAAATACTGCTATAAGCCCTGTATGAAAAAGACTTGTTGCCCTCAGTACACAATCAGGTAGTGTATAACTTTACAGATTATTCAATTGTTAATAAGTATAAAAAACAAATTATGTATAATTAAAATTTTATATTGATATGAGGAATTTGCGCTCATTTCTATTGCTAAACAATTTTATGTTAACTTAAACGAGTGTAGAACATATTTGAAAGGAAGCTTCATGGGAAGGACTATAGGCTAAAATTAGCCATCTCAGTAATCGATGTCATTGCGAACCGAATTATCGATTACAGGTGCGACGCGTTATCGTTCAAGCCAACAAAATCACAAAAGAAAGTGATTAAAAAAATGCATCGCTTTCTGATGAATGGGCGACAAGACACAGGAAAAAACGTCGGTGATGCAAACGAAGCTTTTGAAGGTTCTCGCGTGTCCGGCGGAGATCCGAAAGGTGACACTGATAATGCTCAATTTGATGGTGACTACAGGGATTTGGAAGAACCCCAAATGAGCGGACGGGGTGTCGGTAGAATCAACGACAAAATAAAATACGACACGGAAATCATTGGTTGGTGTAAAACCCTAAGTATCAGTTCCTCTCTTCGCTTACGCTATTCGTGAGATTCAATATCACCGACTTCCATCTGTGGATAATAATTCTTTAAAATCGGTTTGTATATCATATTCATGGCAAGGGCAATGTTGAGGCTACACGTGAGAGACACACAGAGTGCATGCATAAAATTGGAGGGGCTAAGAAAATCTGTCTTATGTTACTACCACCACAACTTCAGATAGTCGTATGGCAGATCGGATGGAAGAGTCGAAACAAAGTCGGCCCGTTTGTTTATCTCAACCAGAGATAAATACAGGAAATATGTCGAAAACACCTAGCAGGCGAGGTCCGAGTCTAAAGAAAAAGGACCTACGAAGGCAGAAGAGGGCTGAAAAGCGGAAGGCGGGTGATCCCTCTACTAACGTAGAAAGCTCGCAACCCAAAAATCGTGAAAAGACGCTCGATGAATGGCTGACGTTACCACGTATGTAAATATGCGGATTCGTATTATTTTTGTTATGAGCACCGGAAGCAAGTAGTTACTAACACCAATGCATGGCGTATTAACCGAAACCGAATTCCAAGGGATCCAGTCGTGCAATGCCAATGACCCTTCTTTCTTGTCGTCCGTCACCTAAATTCACTCACTTGTGGCTCAGTTTTGCGATCACATTCTTCGAAAAGTGATCCAAGTGATTTTCCAAGAGAAATCTTCTTCTTTTTTCTTTTGTTTTGTTTTCAAAGTAAAAGTAATTTAACTACGATATATAAACAAATTCTATCTACTTTTTAGGATAGTAGCTTCTCTTTGCAATATTTATAAACATCTACCGCGCTTCACAATTTTTTTACTAACTGTCAATAACAACACTTAGGATTTTTTTGACTAGGATTTTTTCTAATTCGCTATTTCCAAATGTGTGGTTTAATGATGGCTTGGTAAAATGTTCCTAACTCAATAACGACCATTGTTAGAAGAATTCTTACAGACATAATTTTCATTGTTTTCGTCGGGTCTATCAATATTCTTCTAGACACGTTTGTTTAAGCGACGTCTTAAAGGGCGTGCGCCCTGAAAAAAATATTTTCGGGTTGGAGAAGCCGGACTTAGTTCATAAAACCTATATTCAAGTCGGTCGCAGCTTTCATACAGGCCCTTAATTATTCACTAGTCATTTTTGAGATATTCCTCCTCTAATCAATAAATCACTCATTAATAGTAGCCGTGAGTTAAACAATATTAATACGTTTAAAGTCGTAAAACGTATGTTAAATATGCACGTTATAAAAACATCTTGCATAATTAAGTTTTGGACTAATAGCAGGCTTGCGGTCCTAAAAATTCAATGGTTTAAAAAATATTATTCAAAACCTGTGAAAAAGCTAAATGTTAGGGCTCGTCTAAACGACCTAATTGTCAGCAGGACATCTCTTCTCTACTATAGCTGCTAAATTCCACACTATCATATAATATCGATTCTTTGGAGCATTTTGGTGAACTGTTAAGCCATTTAAATGTAAGTTTTATTGTTGGGGACGTTTCACTTTGCCTCACGGAAACATCCGTGAATTTTTCGTGAGGCAAAGTGAAAAAAACACTAAAAATAAAAACAACATTCGTGAACAAAAAAGGAAATTCCCAGTTTGAACAACATTTCTGAAAACAACCTGCCTCCGCTGTTATAAGTTTACGGTTTTGTTCTAAAAGGAACTGGCCCCCTTCTGGTACGAGCAATTAGCGGGTTAATGAACGCTCGTTACGACAGAATTTCTCTGGATTTAGAAGAAATATTCATGTATATATAAAATGAATCTTCATCTTCAAACTGTCCGGAAACTTTTGGGACAGAATGTCTAGACTGTATCGTAGAGCTGAGTCGATCCGTATGGTACGATTCTTTACTATCGGCGGTTTCATACACTATATATATAATTTGAACATTACTTGCTTTGGAGGATAGGATGAGATATTTTTTTATATATACCTTTGAAGAATTCGTATTCTTTAGTATCTAATAAATTTGTGTTTTTGTGTATTTCAAAGTGGAACAATCCTTCATATAAATTGTAATTGGTACCTAGTGCATGTTGTTATAACCTACTATTTTTTCTGCTTTCAAAAATTATATTCTCATTAGGCATTTTTTTGCTTTTATCCTCCTTGTTTAAAGGCAGCATATAAAGACTAATATTTCTACAAAGGTAGCTGATTGTGCGCATAATTATCTATCGTCGTTATTTATGTCACAATGCGTTCTATCTTAGATGGCAAACATAAACTGGAAATTCGCCTGGTACGAACAGCTCCATACAGCCAAGAGGCGAAGACTTCAGATGAGGCTAGTCATCTCGTTTACACTCTTTATCAGATGAAGGTCCACGATTCCACTCAAGAAAAATGCCGAAAGTCGGACTGGAAGCAATTTCTTATCGACAGCCCCCTATTAGTAAGTTCTGCTTTGCTTAGAGTTTCAGTATGAAGATTCATGTTAATAACGGCTGCTCACTTACAATAATGTTATTAATTTTGCTCTCATATGAGGTGTTCACACTATACCTGTAAGGTGGTGGAAAAGTTAGTATATGCATTGACATGGCTGGTTCTGTTTTTCGTTTCTTTGTAGCCGGGTGCAAATCATCTGCTGGGTTCGTTTCATCAACAGTATTGGCTGGATGGGCGTTTGATCGCTGTCGGGATTTTGGATCTTCTTCCATCATGTGTTTCGTCAGTTTACTTTTATTATGATCCAGAGTTTTCGTTTCTCTCGTTGGGTACATTTTCATCGCTATGTGAAATCAAGCTAACGCGTGATTTGAATCAGACGCTACCGACACTCAGATATTACTACATGGGGTTCTATATTCACAGTTGTCCCAAAATGCGCTACAAGGTAAGTACGTAAACACTATTATTCATGCACATGCATATAATGTACATAAACAGGGTCACTTCATTAGTTTTTTCGGTATCTATCATTAGTATCTATTATGAACATGGAGGCGGGTGGGAACAGCTAACTAAAATGGAGCCACAAGAGCCTTTGGTCTCAAAATATTGGAGCATTAAGAATAATTGAAGCTTTTTTGGTGGGAAAATTAATAATAGGAACGAAACGTTACATTAGTATATTAGGAGCATGGAAATAGATATGTTTATTAGAAATATTTTAGTACATAACAGCTTGCTTCCTTCTACGAACTGATTCCTATGTGTAGTGCGATTAAGCCTTAATTAATTTATTCTAGGGGAGGTTACCCAATTCTGACCTGTTATGCCCTGAAACATATACATGGCATCCGATTGCTCGCTGTCTTCCTATGCTGGAAACAAGCAAGTACGCGAGATTCGAACCAAATAAGACTCTGAGTAAGTATATTTTTCATATTGATATATACATACACAAGCGTTTCCTACAGGTATATCAAAAGATTCACGTGATTTTAATCAAAGTTTAAGCCGTGAATTTATTTGGCGATCAGTTGCGGGCTAGATGAACCCAGATGGGTGGAGCATGAGGTCGAGGACAACTGACAGTAGGGCGTTAAAAAAAACAGTAGTCTTGTAATAGACTCCTGAGACGCAAATAGCAGTAACAGTTGTTAATACTGATAGATCAATTTAAGCAAACGCAGAGTCTAGCCGCCATCGAAAGACTTATAATTGGCGAAAGCATGAAATCGATGCCTAATTTTTACTCTGAGGATTCTTCTGTAATAGAACGCCAGGCCGAGCTTTGAGCTTCAAGCCTTTAGGTTTTTTTTTGCTGAAGCAACACAGAGATGTTCTTGACCGTTTGAAAACCGGCTGCCATTTGTCATATCTTAATAACAAAAAAATGTATCGATCAGTTGGGTATGACAAAATCGAATACCGTTTTTCTTTAAAAATGTATTGACCTTTTGCGGCCATGCCTGGGCTAGATATTTGCTGTCGAACCGAACCAAACGGTCTCTGTGCACTGCTTTTACATATATCACTACATTTGCCGTATACGTATATTATAGTTTCATGTCGAAGGCTCCTGCCAAAGTTCTTTTTTACGAACAATAATCGGGAGACTTGTTGATATATTTCTAAGCCTATTTTCAGAATCGAATTTCCAAATCGATTCAACCTGTATCTTAAGAGAAAACTCAGCAGGCACACAATATATATATATATTACATAGAGTCTCACATCATATTGTTGCGTTTGATCGGCCGAACAAAACATTAATTGAACAAAAATAGCTCATCCAACTATCGTAACAATATGAGTTGCTCTGGATTCGAGGTCAGTCGAAAACGCACTCCGTTAACCGGGCCATCAAAATTGTTTCATGTATTGTTTAATGTGGTTTTAGGCGTAAAACACAACGGCTTTATTTAGAGGATATCCCACAAATTTCAAAAACCTTTAGTGTCGTTCTGTTTTTAGCACTCTGCTTAATATAATAATTTATTCAAACATATATATGTCGTTCAGTTTGAAGAAATGCAATCTAAGGTACTCTACGCCCTTATACTACAAGGGCGTAGCTACAGTTTAAAACTTGTCCACAAGTAGAATTACGCAAAGTCACAAAAGTAGTGCCGATACACTAGGGCCTCCATAGTTTCATAGCATGCAGCACCTTATTTATCACTCGTTAAAATATTCTCGACGATTTCAGTAAGCCAAGCAAAAACTGCTACGTCCATTTCAAGAATCCAAGTAACTATTTTGTTTTTTGATTGAGTAATACCCATTAAGCTGATCGTGTGAGGTGCCTTACTGCGTGACCGAGCGCGCATACCTTTCGTAGTACTGTTCTAGTAGTTTTAAAAGCCGAGAAGTGTGAGAAACTCTTGATCGAGTTTCGGCCGAAGAGAAACCTATAAGATAGTGTACTGCAGAAGCGTTTCCAAGAGCGCGTCAAGATGTCGCCGATTCTAAGGGATTAATACGCGTCACCTTTTTATTAGGATTTAGGCTTCCGTAGCAAACACATTAGTACGGTTCCATCATTTTTCTTTACTAGCACTACTAAGGAAAACTAGGAATACAATAATGGCGTTCGATGGTACTCTCTGTGAGCAATGCTCTACGTCTTGTTCGGTCACCTTGCTTGGTGCATGGGCTACGCTTTTTGTGTGGATGAATAAGAAGCTCGAGTCGCTTCTCAAATGTGTGGACCGTGAAGTCTATGCGAGACAAACCAGACAGTTAGCCGAATATACGCAAGAAACAACGTATAAACGGAGCGCTCAACCAGCTTCTCTAAGCATAGGTGAAGTACATCCTAATTTCGAAAAGGTAACACAGTTTCTTATGGATTCTGGGCAGTGAACTGTGTAGGCAGATTGAGTCTTGTACTTTCTAGGGTATGCCTGGCTTGTTGCCTACAAACTTATAAGCCATCAGGCGCTGTCGAAACAAGGACATGAAAAGTGCCATACGGATACAAAAAGCTGTCCATTTTTATTTTAGTCGAGGGCTGTTGCTCGCTCTTGCACTGGTTCACGCCTATGCGGATTTTCTGTTATTTTCCACTGAAGCTTATTAAAATTTCTAGTTCAGGAAGGAAATCATTGCCCATGAGAAATTATAGTACTGAAGGTTTTTGATAGCTATGAGCAACTCCGATGAGGTGCCGATGTGTTGCTGCGGAGACTGACCTGCAGTTTTGAGCACCCGGGTAAGCGATGTGAATTGCAACAGCTGCAATTCCGTTAACAAATATTTTCTACTTCGTTAAATTCTCATTATGCAAATCGAACTCATACGCAAGACCAACTCAGGCTAGCAGGAAATGCTGTCTTAGTGTGGAATCGTCATATGCTTTTTTTGTGCAAGCACATAAGCCAACGGGATCCTTCGACGCCGTTTCACGGTGATCAGGCGAAAACTCTGTTCTACATAGTGTCCTATACCGGATGCCATAGCCAGATGCAACTGCTCATTACGCTACCCGAAGGCAGTTTTTCGGATCCATCTTGCCAGACATTAGAAGCACTAAGGTTAACATTTCTGCCGTATTTACGTGCCCTTGGAGCGAACCCTTACAGGGCGTCTGTGAATTAGCCATGTTTACAATGCTTGCAATACTTTTTCGTCACATCCTTTTAGCTCTCACAATTGGCGGTATCTCTCCCAGGTGAAAGCCGACGTATTAATCCTATCACAGCCGTTAAGTAAAGTAACACACAGGTACTGCTAGCGGAAAAGTGACAATAGAATCCGTTCACCGCACGCTAATATGTGCCCAAGTCGCAAATAAATTATAATATTCGCAAAGGACGTAACCAGTAACCCGTTTCGTAGCAATTACATATACGTATATATTAGATCGTACCTTGACGGTAAGAATAAGAAACTAACAGACAGCACAAGAAAATTACTAATCATCAAAAGTGTTTGTTGTTTGACATTTACTAAATGTAAAGTGTATCTAAAATGCGTTTTTGCAGGAGACCCGTTAATCCCATCTTCGATAACGCAGACTTCTATACTTTACGAACAAACCGGGATGACTGTAACCGAGTATTTTAAGCGCAAAAAAGTTAGTCATCGCGAACATCAGCAGATCAAAGAGTACTGCGAGCTCGTAGGGTCAAAGTTAATGAAAGAACTTTACCTTCTTCGATTACCTACGGACTAGATATATTATGCATTTTAAGAATTATCGAAATTTTCAAGTCCTACACTTGTGCACTGGGATGTAGTCAGCAGTTAAAAAGATTTTCGGTCATTGGACGACCATCGGCCTATATTGCCTCATCGCTTCAGGCTTTGGAGTCGCTTGGACGTCACCGCCATGGAAACCGTGAGATGGGCGCGTGAAACGGATTAATAGTTAACTACGGACTATATAATAAGCTAGGATTGGATATTAGGCTACGCCTATTTGCGGGTGGTTACACCGTAAGCTACTCCAGTTATTAGCTTATACAATAAATTCAAAAATGTTATTTGTGAGCCGAAATTTCTTGATTTTCGTCGAAAACGCTTAGATTTATTTTGTCTTTAAAATTTTAGTAAGGGAATGCCTTACAGTAGGGAATTTTTATTATGTAGTAAGTGAAATGATAAATGAAGAAGAGTAGGATCACAAGAATCGTGCATTTTCAACCACTTCCTACGCGCTCCATGCTTCGACTATCTGAGCAATATTCAAAGCACCTCGAAAATATGCTTTATATATTGAATTTATAAATACTGCTCGCTTACTTCATACAAATAGTATCTAAACCGGATAAAACATTGCTCATCGTAAAGCAAGGTACAGGCCTGTTTCTGGAGGTCGGTAAAATTGTTTGTCTTAATACTCCATTATAGGTCCTTAGTGTGTAAGGCGCTATGAAGGTTAATACGTAGTTGTCATATCATTGCCTGCTCTTTTCTATTATATTGTATATCTACCCTCGTCTTAATATAAAAAATGTAATCTCAACGTCACTACATAATTCATAGATCCTATTATATCTAATCGATAGCGACGATGAAATCAATTCCCGAGCTATTATAAAAACGCAAAGCGCATTAGGACACTAACTGATAAATATGACGAATTTCAGTCGACTGCAGGTAGTAGTGTGCACGAATTTCAATTTTCTTCTTTCATGATGAATGTGAAGGTATTAAATACAAATATTCTATAGTCAAAAGCTAACAGTTCTGAAATATTTAACATTTTCAGGAATGCACGATTTGTTATTAATTAAATATGCCAAATAGTGCATACGCTAGGCAACAAAGGCTACTAGGTATAGTCAGTATATAATAATGAAAAGAGGACCCTGAAAAGTATGTCAACTTAATTAAAAGCCAAATTGAAGACATTAATTAGAGCAAGTTATAGACTGTTTCACATTATCGTGAACCATAAGCGAGTCGGTTTGAATGGTTAAGTTTTCAACTGCAAGATCATAGCATTGACTTTAGGACGTCATGTACCTATACAGTAAAAGATGCCTTAGACAGAGTGACTATAAACATATCTAATAACCATTATTCACAATTGATAGATGTTTTTTGCAAATGAACAGGAAAATGCCTCAAAGACCCGAGTGCGCTAGTTTATCTACGTGAATTCTAATTTTAATTTTATTAGTCATACTGAGCGTGGGTCTTTGTAAAGTAGTCTGATTTATGTCAAATTATAAATAGCAAGCACATTTTGAATCGTAGACAGCGACTGTGAGTTTTATTTACGTTTATGCTACAAGTGATAGAAGAGTTGGGCATCTTAATTATAAGAATTTCCTCAATTAATCTAATAAGTCGCAAATTTTAAACTAAAAACGTATTCCAATTGTGCGGGCCAATTTTATTTCGAGTTGTTCCCTCTTCCTTCTCTTTCCCGCTGCCTACTAGATAAATAAAAATGCGTCCATCCGTCCAGTTGCTAGTCCGGCTCGAAAGGCTGCCCTCGATGATGTGTGGTCTTCCCTGTTGGTTGTGGTCCAAAACAGATGATCTTTTCCCGATGCAGGAGGCAAAGAGTGTGTTCCCTAAGGCACTCATCCTGCAGCAGGCAAACACGGGAGCCATTGTAAAAACTAAGACGCATATTCACGATTTGCCAACGTGTTTGATCGTTATGTGAGAACAATTGTGAGTGCAACTGCCTGTGCACACGGAAACAAATAATAAGAGAAAGCTGTCGTGACAGAAAGTTAGATAAGAACTGATTCGGACTTGCTGCACTGTCAAAGGAACCGGCGCCTAGATGGCTCTCAAAATTTTGTAGAAGGATATCCGCGGCCTTAGCGGGAAGTCAAGGTAATAGACTACGCAATCAGTAGTTCCACATGAACAGATATTTCCAAGTCTATCGACAGGTTTAACACCCTTATAAAATCGCAAGCTGACTCGCTCTAAATGACAATGTGTACCGGAGTAATAATTATACGTATTTTTGGGTCTTATAATGTGATAGTTGAAATTGTAAACAGCAGTCATTTTTGCAATGAATAATGCTCGTGCTTAGCCATTGACGATCAAGCTATATCATGTACCTTACTAAAAAAATGGCATTTTACGATAAAATGGTTAGTATAGTATTTGAATATAAATAGAGGACGTTCTCTGGTTTCATTTTTTCAGTCTCGATTTAAGAAGATAAAGGCTGTGAAATGAGTCATAATAGACGTGATGATGCAGTCCCTAATAGCGATTCGCCAAGGGTAAGTACCTCCCGTTGTTGAACTGTTTAACATGATACTTCTAAAAAATGCTACACTGCGCATTTGAGAAAATTCTTTACTCATGTAAAGGCTTTTTTTCGTCTTCGACTCTTCATAGTTATATTAGTTAATTGTTTCCTGATTTAACGAAATAGAATGGGCGAATCTGAGCGTGGCAGTTAAAGACCGACTGCGCTGAAACACTGCGTATCGTCGTCGGGCTTTCTTGGCCAACAACAACCTGTTTTCTAGCAAGATATAGATGAAAACGGCGTCCGCTACAGTCCCTAAGATCTTCTTTCTACCATGAAACGTTTCTTCGGGGTCTCTTTGTTAACGTACTTAATTTTGAGACTTACTCAGTTTCTAGCACAAACCGCCTGACACGCCGACAAGTTACAGAACTTGAAGGCGACAAATTAAGGTTATCTACTAAATCCTTCGCATCTGCGATAAGATCGATAATTAAGTATTTTTGTCAACAACGTCATTTTCCATGCCGTAATAACAAAGAAAAAATTGATATATTATGGATAGTGTCTATGATCTCCTTTAGGTCGACTTATCTGGCATTTTACCGTCCTGTTAACCTTACTGAAATCACAGCTCCTTTAAGCTGTTCACTATTCACTTCCGGGTAAAGTTGACTTGTGTCTTGTCCTTTATTAACCGCACGGGTAAGGCAAGTTGTTTACGTCTGCAACTCAGCAAAATACTCAATAATCCCACTTTTCGCACATGATTTTTTTCTTTTTTACCTGAATTTTCGGATTTTTTTTAATCAGTTATGAATACATTATACTCTGTAGGAATACATAAATATTATAAGCTATATTCCGAGTAATTGATACTTGACAGCTTAAATTTTGCTTTGTTCAAAGCTTTTTCACTAGCTCTTCGTCATAATATTTTAAGAAAACCGTATGAATTATTCATCTGGACCAGTTCGTGTATGTTTTTAGAAGTGTACAATATGTAAACTACGAGTTTTCTTTGCGTTAAAAGATGAATTAGTCCGTATGGCACCCAGCTTTCAGTTAACAAAGACTGTCTACTCTCATATGAGTATACCACATCGATTGTATTGTAATTTGTATTGTAACTGGCAGCAGCTAAAATTTTGTTACGAATTCTTCACTGGTAATCTATGAACATTCATATACGATTAGATTTAACTTAATCACTGTGACCTACATTTAGATTGGTACTTTGCACCTAATATCATTGTTGCACCACAGTGCACTGATTGCAACCATTACTCGTTCTAACTTTAATAAGCGTAATTTTACGTTTACAACATTAACATTTTTTTCTCGATTGTGGACTTCTATCTACGTACTGCCGGATGATCTTGTAATAATAGCTTTTGGCATTAAATTCAAACTTCAGGATTCTGCAGGCGGTATACTACTGGGAATCCGTGATGAAGGGTATGCCTTTCTCACGGAAGAAGCTGTTGCACAGATAGCAAGACGAGCCGAGACTACCGAATCGTTTTCAGAACTTATACGAACTTTAGGTAAATAAATATAAAAATAATAAAAAAACTTTCAAACACTTACAGCCAATATTATTGCAAATTAAATTATGATGCTACAGGTTGGAACAATGAGATCATCAATCAAGAGGTATAGACAGAATCAAAAAAAGACAAAAAAATATTACTTTATCTTTGTATTTTGAGAAACCATATTTTATATATAAGCGTTCTTCACGGATGAGTGTGAAAAGTGGCTAATTTTATTCAAATATTTTTATTTTTGGTTCATTAATTAAATATTTTAAAATATACTAATCTAATTTTATGTATGTATGTATGTATAACGTAATTTTATGTCGCACGATTTATAGACCATATATTTTAGTAAATTGAAAAAATTTTGTAAAAAATAAATGAATAAATCGTCTAAAATCTAAAAATAAAATCTATAAATATATATAACTATAATGAATGGAAGGTGCTTGTTAATAATAACTATTTTATTGTATCTTCTTAGATGCAGCCCTGTAGTGAACGATAATTTAGCTTTACGTAACTGCCTTGCTCCTTCTTTACATGACAGGACGGATTTATTCGGATTATTGTGCATTGAAACAGTCCTTTCAACGACCTCTGCCTACGAGATCTTCCTTGACAAATTTATGTTCAGAGGATTTGGCTGGCGCTGGTAAAGAGGCCATTCGGGCACAAACTGAAGATGAAAAGGACGTCGATTCATCTGAACCTTCACGTCGGAGGTTTGTGATATAAACGGTTAATAGTAATGCTTCATTTCGTTTCCGCGTGCGTTATGATTCATGTCTCACTGTTTTACATCGATATCTGCTGCGACAGCACGTCATTTTGACTGTCTAAACGTTTCGACCACTCGTGTAATTTCTCTCTTACTAAGTAGCAGCATGTTGAATTAAACCTGGGCCTATGACCCTGAAACCATATATTGTTAACGTTATTTTTGAATCGCGCTTGGCACCCTAAATGAGAAATAAATTTTCATTTTTAAATTTCAACTTCATATTTTTCTAGAGAATCGCTTACATCGATCGGATCTGATTTGGAAGACGCTGTTCTAGAGCAAACGGTCGATGTTGAAGCTGTCCGGAGAAGCTATGATATCCTCTTTAAACTCAAGGATAAGGGTAAATGTTCTTGTGATTAAGGTTTACATGTTTTACGTTTATATGCATTCATTCAAAACTACCTGTAACATACCATGCTGTACCAAAAAAGCAGATTCAGTATCTCCTTCTGATCCAGTTAGTGTATACTGCTTTTATTGAAAAACATCATTTTTTGTAGAGGACTATTTTGACAATAATGGCAAAGTAGGAAAAACACTTTTGGACTCAACAAATCACGCTGCATTGAAGACAATCAGTAATTTTTAAGACAACAATTATAAATCAACGCATTCTACTTGCCACTCGCGTTTAATGAAAAGCCACTGAATTCGATCATTTATTTCTTTTTATGTGTTCTTGCAGATGGCAGTATACCGGCAGTGCGTCCACTGACAAATACGCTGCCTTCTTTCTGTCAGTCCCTGGAGTTAGATCTCCGCACCGGTCGGGTGTCTCCAACAGAACCAGGATTTTCATCCATGATAATCCTCCTGCTCGAATTACCAATGCTTGAGATTCCAGCCCTTGCCAATGTGTTACCCGATCTCTGCAGTCTCATAGTTAGTATATTTTGGAATCATAAAATGTGCTTTCTTGATTAATGATAAAAAGTCTGGGATTATTTAGTAGTTGGTATTGAGTAAAGGGAAATATTTTTTTATGATCCTAATATATTTTGTGCAATATTGATTAAAACATATAGTATAGCAATGTCAAAATAGCCAAACTTCTGTTAGTGAAATAAAAATAACGAGAGCAGTAATCACTGGTATCATGCTGTATTTCAAAAGAAAAGTATTTCTTATGTGCAAGTTCAGATCACATACCTAGAAACCTATACGCGTAATATATTCCACTTTTTATGCATTTTTCACGTAAACATATTTTTTATTCCTTCATATTTAGCCATTCCAACAGATCTTATACGGCCGGTTACTCAAATTATTCGTGTATGAATGAACATACTAGGATAGATGGAAGTAGTAATAAACTGGAATAATAGCTACATACCTGTATCTGCACTGCCGTATAACAATCGGACTAAACAAGCATCAGGACTGTGAGTTCTTTATGCATATTGAATTTTTATACCATGTTCGTGTTTGGCACTTGAACTTAATGTATTCAAGGGCTTCGGCGACTCGTGTTATGAAGCCACTGAGCCCTTTTTATAGTTTGTGTAATGTCATGATTAGAATTCAAATTACAGGGCTTTACAATACACAGACATCAAGAGGCAGCCGTAAAGATTAAAAATGAATATACGACAGTTATCTAAAGTATGATTTGTGAAATACTGGTGCAATAGTTTTCGAAGTGGTTTCTAACAAACACTTAGTGACAAGTTATAACTAACGGCTACAAAACTTAATTTCAGGTGAAGTTACCTATTCCTGCTCAAGCTAAATTAGCAAGAATACTAGCGGTTGTATGGCGTGATTCACCGGTTTGTATTATTCCTGTGTGGAAGACACACATATTTAGATATAATCTCATTGAGGGGGTTTGGGGTGCTGAGAGTTTCACCTTCAATGAAACAAGATTTTTTTAGGGAAACAACACATACTGGATGATGTAATTAGTAAAGAGGTATGCATTTTCAATCTCAAGACGTAGTATTTTGGTTATGGGAAATTAAGCGATGGGACAAAACACATACCAAACGTAACGAAATTATTCAAGTGACTGCATGAGTTTCACTTTTTCTGGTATTCTTACAGAGTCGTTTTCAGCAGCTTGTGTATACAGTTCAACAGCTAATAACGACAAGATCACTAGGAGCAGTATTCCGGGTGGACTACATAACAAGCGAAGACCAAGTTGTTAGTACTTAACTTCAGCTATTATTAGAAACTAATTAATCGACTGGAACATTCCATAGGAGGAGTAGCGTACGAGCCTCGAATAAAAACCTTGTCGTGCTAGTATTTAAGTACCGAACAATGCATGCCTACCTTTTATAGTCCCAGCAGCGTAACTACTCATTTCAGCAGCCGTTCTCATCAAAACTAACCTTAGTTCGATAAACGAATTTATTTGTTCGGTCGCTTCGTCTCAAGATCTGCGACGCCACGCGTTTCCTGCGTGTTCTCTTTGCTGTGGATTTGTTAGCCGGAGATATGGAACCTAAGCTGAGCTTGCCCTCTGCGTCGTCTGGTCCTTTGAGGTCTGACGCAGACACTCTAGCTGACGGTTCTGTGGGAAATAGTGAACAGGTAAAAACATATCACAAACCGATGCCGCAATTAAAAATATACTAAAGCAGAAGCAATAGATTTATCAATTTTATGGATAAATATAATCTTATCTCTAGAACTAATGAAATCTCAATACAGCTTTGTCGTGCATTAATTTTACGTTTATTCATTTAAGTCACTTAACTAACACACCTCATTGTATACGTAAGAATAAAGCCTCGGTAATTTCTGGGATTTGCGTTTTTCATAGGATGCCCTTCTGCTGGTGGCCGGTCTTGAGCTTGAAGAGTCGGAAGAAGCGTCAGAAGATGAAATGCTTTCATCTCGAGAGGCTGGCGCAGATGCCCAAGGTAGTGCGTCTGCTGTCGGGGAGATAGTTTTAAACGGGACAGCAGAAAGATTAGCGCAAGCCGGACCAGTTCAAACTTCAAACGAAGCCAAACGGAGACGAAGAGGGGCTCCTGTTTCACGGGTCAACGGTAGTAATAGCGGCAGATCGGCAAAAGGTGGCCAAGGCGCTCAAAGTCACTATAGCACTTTCAGTCAGTCGGATCCGCTATTATCAGAGTTAGGTATGGAAAAGGCAAAAAAAGGCCGATTTGTTTGATGACTCTATAAGGAGTCACAAGTCACACGCTTCTATTTTCTAATCTTTCTGTATTTCGCAGTCATATATGTATATATCATAATATGATGAGCTCAATCACTATGACTTATATATTATGTTGCTTAGCTGGTTGCCGTGAGTAATATCGCGACATACGAACAATACAACTATCGATGTTACAAATTTATATTCTCATCTGAGCACGAATCACAAAGGTTAACCAAAAGAGTAAGTATCACCAAAGTGCACAGCACGTTCAGGTTAGGACAATTCTTTCTTAGAATCTTTGATTAGTGGGGACTCGAGTGTGCGGTCCTGCATAAATTGAACACCACAGATAACACTGCCACTTGTAAAATCAGTTTTTAGTATTGAGCTTTCTTAGCTTAAATATTCTAACTCAGCTTTGAAGCAAACTGTGATCGACTTGTTACTCAGGCATCGATGTGTTGGATTGCCGGAAGCCTCTAATCGACCTCGATGAATTCTATAATGAATTGCTTTCGGAACTACTCAGTATCGAGCACGACTACAACAACTATCGCGAAGGTACGTGATTTTAATACCAAACGAGCGAGCAAACTCATCGCAATATATTTAGTGTATGTATATATGTATGTGTTCAGTCTCCATTTGTCAGAGTTTTTACGATATCTTTACCTGGATACCTAAACAGGCTCACGTATTGTATAGTTTGATTCTACGATTCGATAAATAAGGGATATATGTTACCTTACGTATTATTGTTTGATGCCATTCTAACACCTGAGACTCGAGAAAAATGGATAAGGAGCCTGTTATGTGTTACCAAGGGTAATTAGCCAGACGATAAAGAAAACAAAAACTAATTGTAGTTCTGTTCGAAATGTTTCGTTTACACAGGGGCTCGAACAGATAAATTTTCGTTTTTGTCTTGTCCGTTCGTGCTGACTCCGACAGCACGGATCCAAGCTCTATATTTGGACAACCGCATGAAGATGAACGACCACAGAGCACTCGATTTCTTTTCAGCTCTCATGCACGGCGATGAATTGAATCCGGTAACTGGCTTCAATTCTTTTTTTTTTGAATTCTAAAGAACGTCTTAAGCTGGCGATTCTGAGGTTACATTACCTAGCAAAATGATATAAAGAGATAATTTTTTATATGTCGTCGTTTAGGTCCTTAAGCTTCAAGTTCGTCGTGATCATATCATTGAGGATGCGCTTAATAATCTACAACTTAATGCACTCGATAACCCTGGAAATCTTAAGAAGCAACTTGTCGTCGAATTTGAGGGAGAACAGGGTACGATAGTGCAGCTATATTCCCAAACGAATTTTATAAACTATATTCATGATATACTCTGCATTTCCATTTGTATTTTGCATGTGTATTATAATCCTCTTTCATAATATACAATTTGTGAGGTTCGCCTTCATGTACGTTTTTCAGAAAAGGTAGTGCGGTTTTACTGTAGGCCCATTGCGTCATTTCTGAAATGATGGTTGTTATGAACTATCACGAAGTATTTCCAAGCACAGCTCGTGATTGCCAGAAAGCTGATGTGTGTACTATAGGGAACTGAGCCACTTTGTAAAACTGCGTCGTTTGTTGCCTTGTAGCCATCCTGTAAGGTCCGAATATATTTTTAAGATAAGAAATAGCTTTCTTTGAAAGGTTTTAGGTTTTTCATCCAATATGCTTGTTCGTGATTTTCCCCTCTTTTTCTAATTTCTATTGACTACAAAACCCCGTGTCGAGACCTTCATATGACAACTTTGTATTGAAATTTTTTGGCCATTGTGAACTTTAGGCATCGTGAAACAAGAGCCATCCAACTAAGCCCGAATTATCATGTGATATTCGTATATGACGTTTCTTTTAAAATATGCCTGTATTTATTATTTACACAAGTGTATTTCTTTTTAATTGATACAAATTGAACTTTAAATGTGAGGTTCTGAGATTGTATGTTATATATATATATATATATATATATATATATATATATATATATATATAACGTACTGAAGAAAACTAAAAAAAAGCTTACTTTATTTGATCATTTTATATAATAAGCGATAACAATGCCATTACCAATATTGGATCGTAGTGATGATTATTTCAGTGCTATACCAGCGTGATCTAACTTTGGTCTGGTAACTTATAAATAAGTTATGAATCAGACATGGGATATATAAAAACTAACTTTAGCCTACATGTTTCATGTATTTCGTAAAATCTTGGCCATGAGAACTTTTGTCAACGACTCAGCTTGTAGGCAAATTTTGCCAGTAAGCAAAAATGTTTGAGTCAAATTTCGCGATGGTCTCGCATAATAATTATATCATAAATTCTTCACAGGCGTAGACGAGGGTGGCGTTTCGAAGGAGTTTTTCCAGTTGGTCGTGGAACAACTATTTAATCCAGATTTCGGAATGTTCACACTTGATGAGGAGACACGAAGTTACTGGTTTAATCCAACTTCGTTCGAAGCCGATGCTCAGTTTGGCCTTATTGGTACGTTTGTAAATAGCACCTATCAACATGATCGCTTATGTAAACGAAGTTCTATCAGTGAGTTTAATAAACATGGAGAAATGTTTCGTTCTCTATGATAACTTTATCATTTTGTCGTTGAATTGTTTATTTGAAGGCTTTAAATACCTTATTTTCTCGCTCGTTACAGGCATCATTCTCGGATTGGCTATCTATAATAATGTCATTCTGGATATCCGGCTTCCGATGGTGGTATACCGGAAGTTGTTTGGTGCTCGAGGAACCTACAGAGACCTAATCGATTATGATCCTAGTCTTGCCAAGGGTCTTCATCAAATGCTAGTTTATAATGGTTAGTGCTTGAGAAGGTGCATCGGTTGCAGTTTTTACTATCAAATCATTGAAGGGGTACAATTTATGGATTGGTTTTCCTATGGCAGACATTAAAACCTGGCCCTTAGCTTTGTGCTACTATCATGCGTAGACGTTCGTTCATGAACTAACACGTTTTCTATCCTCCCTCTGACTAGAACCGAACATTACGGATGTGTTCTGTCAAACGTTCCAAGTAACTTATAAAGATGTGTTTGGTGCCACGCTTACCCATGACCTTCGACCGAATGGAGATAGCATCGTCGTTGATCACACAAACAAGGTAACAAAAAAGATTATGTGGTAATAACAGACAGAGTTAGTATAAAGACAGAGGACGTAAAGACAGATGGTTACGTACCACTGGAAGGTTCCTTGCTATCGATGTTTTATTCGGGTCCCAAAATATTCCAGTTATTTTAATCTTCTTCCATGAAGGTCAATAGGCCATCGAAACGGCCCGGGATAAGTGTGAATTGTACGGCGAGGACTTTATAACTGACAGTGCTACTCAAACGCGCCTTGTGAGCAGCATCTGAGTATAGCTTTAAAAAATAGCATCTTCTACCTAAAGAGCGGTTTCCACTCGATTTTCTGCGCTGGAATGCGCTGAGTCTTTTTTCGTGAAGTATAAGAGGGGCCAATAAGGGGTGTTAGAGGAGCCAATATCTCTTAGTTAAGGAGTGCTCACCGTATATAGAACCAACCGATTACATCGTTTCCGTAGCTCTTCGGCATTGTAAGTGCCTTCTTCCGTAAATTTTTTCATCCGATATGCCTGTGTTTGGAAACCAAAAATAAGGTTCAATTTGTAATACAAGCGAAACAATTGCAACGAGATTGTACAACAAATAGAGCCTTTCCCCATATATAACATGGGGTTCATCAGTTAAGTCATAATAAGAAAGCCGCACGTAAAGGCCAATAGAACTTCCATTACTATATACATCTGTATTTGTAGATATTCGTACATGTATAGGAACTTAGTACACAGAATGCTCCCAGGTCGAGCAGGAAGAATGTAGCAAAATGAACGCAACAGCACAGTTTATGTATGACACTGCTTTTAAATTAGACAAACAATTTAAGTCCTTCAGGTACGATGAATACCATTTTCGATATCCGAGACAGAAGTTCAACTTATCCAATTACGTAAGGTCTAAATACTCAGTTTTACTCATAGGTTTCTCATTCACTGTTATTTACACAATCTTGTATGTATAAAAAAAAAAACTAATTTGACTTGGGAATAAGACAGAAAACGCGATTGAACAAGAAGCAATATCCGTGAAAAAGAAAGTTTCTCTTTTTGATGCTATGCGACTTCCTTTGAAGAACGCTTCTATTGAGAGCCATTAAAGTGTAACGGCTGTCCTTATGAGGTCAGCTCCTTATCCAAGGGCATACTTAAATATTCTGAGTTATTCTCTCTCGTGAGTAAGTGTTCCATTTTGTATTTCTTCGAATAAATTAAATATACAGGCATTCAACCATAAATAAGTATACACTTGAATTCGTCACCTGAGATCGCCCAAGAGTAATGCCATTCATGTATTCCATTCTGTATTAGCTTTTGCGTGTTCGGTAGCGATTCCTTACCTACATGGCATTTTATAGTGGGTTTTACAGTAGCAATATTGCTCGCTTCTCTACGGTCTATTTGCATGCTTAGTGCAGCTATGTCAACTATTATGTTCAAGCCCTGGTAGAATGGGGTTAATTCCTTTATTTCATAATATGTACAGTTTTTACTTGGCAGAAAAGAGATCAATAAGATATAGATCTGATTTTTGGCGTGTTTTATTGACAGTAGTTTTAGACAGTGTATGAATATGGATATGAACATGGATAACCGCTGTACCTGGTCTTTAAATCACTTACATCTTCGAGCAAAATGTATCGACTCTGAAATGACCGAGTTCGTTAAAGATTATGCTCTAGGTCAACCTATGCATTAACCGCTCTCAAGCGTCTCATTGAAGCGCGGCAAAACGTCGGTGCCAGATAAGTGAGGAAGTTCATGCGGCTTTTTCCTAGAAAAATCAGGCTTTCTACCGGTAGCAGAGAAGATGAACGCATACCCGCAGCAAAAAACCGCTAACCAAAATTTGTCCCAGTCGTCGTCGCTCTGCATAGCATATATATACTGTTAAGCTTAGCGAGAGGTTTGTCGGGTGGTCACGAATGTTGTGATTCGAAACGGGTACTGCTTGATGAAAGCCATAGCCGAAAACAGTGCTTCGTCATCGGAATATTAGTGAGTGTCAGTTATTGTCAAATAACTTTGTATGGAGTGCATCGCACCAAAATTCAAAACTGCATTTTTTTTTTACCCTGAAATCGATGATCTCTGATAACCATTCGGCTCCAAAAAAAAAATTGCCATGAGGCAAGGTGGAATATTCTGAATAAAAATCAGATTGAAGGGGTTCGGAAGTTCACCAACACGTAAAAAAGCCATTTCTTATGATCCGTAATATTTAAAACAGAATTTAGCGACTGTTTTCGTGAATATTGATCCTTAATTGGGTCATCCAAATAAGGTCTCATGGTTAGCCTATTTAAGAGTTGCAGCTCCATTTTGCACCTCTCAAGCTTATTAGCCATTTCCAGCCTTTGCGATTTTGGGACGTTTGGATTGTAACTAGCTCAGAAAATACTTCCGGTAGATTGTTTATATAGAGTATACGTAAACGATACCTTATTGAGTCCTCGCGTACCAATATCGCTTGACGCACAAGTGCTATAAAAGGAGTTACCTATGTATCACAAAAAAAGATCCTTTAAAAATGACCAGTGAGCGGTTTAGCCCCGAAGTAAGATGTTTATTTTCGTCTAGGTGGTTTTAGTAATAGTCTACACAGAAGAATCGTAATTTAATTTATCCATATACATATATATATATATGGAGAGAGAGAAAAGAGGAGGGATAGATTCTCATTTTGCGAACCTTTTTTTCTATTGTTTCTTTGTAAATAAAATCGAATTTATTAGAGAACATTTTATGGCAATACAATATAGCTATTGTGTAGATGGGCTTTTGAAGTTCCTCTTTTCCTAATCAATCTGTAATCAATAGATATTCGTTTCTGATAAAATGTATTCATGATGAAAAGGAGATAAATAACAGAAAAGTAATTATCGTCATGTTTGTCTTCATTCCAGGTGGAGTTTGTGGAACTTTACGCTGACTTTCTACTTAATCGATCTATCGAAAGGCAATTTAATGCGTTCCGACGAGGATTTGAAATGGTGACTAAGGACAGTCCTCTGACCAAGTGGTTCCGGCCTGAAGAAGTAAGCTAGCAACTAATAGCAGAGGATTCGATGAGTCCATGTGTATATGCCATCCTGTCATATAATGTAGAAGTATTTGTAAGATTTTACTAGAAGGAAAATCCACTTGCGCAACTTATTCAAAAGTAGAGTGATGATATTCTATCTCGATTATTTGAGCTTTGATTTGTCAATTATCTGATGAATTTAAGTACAGTAAGAGCATTTTGGTTTTTGAATGGTTTGAATGAATTTAGGTTGAACTTCTAGTGTGCGGTCAACAAGATTTTGATGTCAACGGTCTTCAGCAAAGCTGTGAATATGACGGTTATCAGCCTGATTCTGAGGTGATATACACCATTCTAAAAATTTTAGTAGCACTGTATTATTGTACAAATTGTTGTGTAAAATCGCAATGACTAAGGCTTTGGGCGTTTACCAATAGAGTACTTCAACATATAGATTTAACATATAGATACAAAAAAATGTGTATCTGCAGTAACCCAGCTACGTCACGTCTTCTTTCTCAAAGATAGAGTAAGATAAACACTACTGTGTGTTCTTTGCCATATACGAGTCTTACCAGCTAATCTACTGGTTTTTGTATGGGTTATTTTAGGTTATTCGATGGTTCTGGGAAGTTGTTCATGAGATGGCCGATGATGAACAAAAACTTCTGCTTCAGTTCACTACAGGAAGTGACCGGTATGCTTACCCGTGGCTTCACGAAATGCGTTAACTTCTTTGACTTCTTAGAGTAAAATGATGGGTTGATCAAACATATTCATTCCCGATTCAGACATCTACCGATCGAGCAACCATATATATGTACTAGTAGCTGGTACTATGAGGTTTGTTCTTCGGAAGCTTATCCTTTTCACTACTTAACTAAATTATTCATCAAATATATCAGGGTGAATTACTGTAGCAGAAAAGATGTGCATCTTCATAATTTCAGAGTGCCCGTGGGTGGCCTTGCCAAGTTGCGAATGTCTATTAATCGAAATGGCCCAGATTCCGACCGTCTACCATCGGCCCATACATGCTACAACGTGCTGCTTTTGCCCGAATATTCCAGTAAGGAGAAATTACGGGAACGACTACATAAAGCTATCACCTACTGCAAAGGATTTGGCCTCATGTAGGCATTACTGACGAAACGAAAACTGCGAAATATATGACCCATTCACGCCTAATGCAAATGATCATATCAAAGACTATACGGAAGATAATGAAAACAAAGCTATTGCTATATCATGCTGTCCGCACGACGAAGTATATCCAAAATGGATCGTCAAACAAAATACGGTGCCGCGCACCCTTCTGTTGTAACTTAGGTAGTGTTATAAAAGATTGTAGGCAGATCTATGGATCAGAGTAATGTCGACTCACGTAACATAACGGCACAGGCTACGAAGATAACGGGTGATTCATAGCCACTGGTGGAAAGGTTCATAGAGAATACGCTGTAGTAGTCAATATGGTGTACGATACAGATTACTCTAACGCAAGTTACCATGTTAAAGGAAAAAGAAAACACGACAAGTGAAACTTTAAAGTTGTTTGCTAGTGAATGGTGAAGAAATCGGATGATTATCTAATCCCGACAGTAGCTGTCGATTGATGGGCAACACGCGACGCTTATGTGAACCATTTTCTACAAGCCTCAACAAAGTGGACAAATTTTTTATGCATGGACATAACTCAATTATCGATTTGTTATTTAGGTAACTCCATGTCATTAAAAGATAGCACGCCTATCATTAACATGTCTGTTGTGTTTGTTTTTAAAGTATCTACCGAGACTAGAATTTTTGTAATTCTAAGTATCATTACAGGGTTGTAGGATTATTCAATATAAGATTTCTTTATGGGAAAGGAGAGTACAACCAGCGTACATGTGTCTATTGATTATTTCTAAAAAAACAAAAAAAAACAAAGCACGAATTAAAGTTTATTTGCTATATGTGTATGGTGAAAGCAAACGCCCGTCACTAATTAGACTTTATCGCACCTGCAGATTTTAGAGCCAGCTGCTGAAGAGTTTGTTTTTGTAGCACTTACAATCAATGAAGAAGCTAGTCTGTAATTACTGCGGTTTATTGTGATGTTTTGCTATACTTCGTCGATGATTTAGTCTGATTATTAACGTATAAGGGTAAATCAAGCTTCGCCCTTACCTTCAAAATGAAACAGTTTATGCCGGTTCAACAGCTCTTCATTGTTTCATGTCGTTACTTTTATCCCTTCCTTTTATAAACTTTGTTTTTTCGACACCCAAAAGCATTACAATCAATTGATCTTTGTATTGTGTTCAACAGATATAGCCTTTCACTATAGCGAACAATGAAGGAGCCTTCCGTTACCAACTGCTGTTCAGGATAAAAGAAATTACTGCTGAATTATTTTCGATGATCTCAACGATTTAAAATTTCGCAGACAGTGCTAAAAGAGAGTACGCACTGTATACTGGTCGAGTTAAAAATTGATTATTGATATTTCATTGATTTAGGAAGACGTTTTATTGTGAACAGTACTAAACAAGAAAACCGGCACTTAATTTGAATATTGTTAGTGACGATTGAAGTAAGAGATACAATATGTACCGGTTATGGCTAAGCACTGGTGCCGAGCTTTCCATGGTTAAATTTATGGAAAATCAAACGATCAAGACGTATAAAAGCCTTTCGTTGCTGAGAAGTTTTAGTGGAAGTGTGGCGTCTTATGTTTTACCATGGCAAAAGACGCGTCTTTCTCCCATTGTTTACATGCCTTTAACGGAGCAATAGGACTCAACACTGCGATGAAGTGTAGCAACAACTACGAATAAACGTGTAAGAAATGTCTTCATGCAGGCAGTGTTAAACGAAATATTAGCGTATAGCTTGTTATCTTAATAGCCCAAGAGCATATGTGCTGATAATCACGCTGGCTTACTAAATAGAAATAAAAAGACCTGACGATCTAAAAAAGACAATGCGAAACCTGTAATAATTTTATGCGATAACAGAAAAACCGTTGCCTAAACTTAATACCCATTTAAATCAAACATTCAGAACAATTTCGCCATGCACATATGAAACATATCCTGTAGACATCCAATCGATAATAAGCTTCGTTTGCCCAAATATTCATTTATTGGGCCACACTTTGCAGATGCCCAACATTTGTATAACTTCTCACATGAAACCACTTGCAAGCAGCTATCGGTCACATTTCTCTCTTTTCGAATTTGCGAATATTATGATGACAAATGTTCGCGAACTGAATATTGTGCCTGTTGCTGTTTTGGCATATACTTGAATATTTCATCAGACTTGACGGGAAATTGTTGAGTAAATTTATGCAGTTACTTAAGAAGAAGTTTTTATCGTAATACAAGTAGCGACCTGCTCAGAAATTTCCAAACGGGTAGAAAAGACTGAACTATTAGAATTTATTCAGTAATACCACAAATTAATCTCGTTCGCAACATTTATACGAGAGATCACAAGATGCAGCAATAGTAAAAGTAGAAGAAAAAAATTGCCGAAAAACTTTTACGGGCCACGATGTTAGGCCCATTTCTACTTCGATTTGCAATTTTGCAACGATAGTACAATTTTACATCACTAAATTTTTTCAAATTGATCCTGTGAAGATAAGGTTTATGGATGCTGTGTAATAAAAAGTAATAATCGAAAAGATCCAGTAAATTTAGACATCTATTTTATAAGATGGCTTCTGGATTTCGTTCGACTCTTTCAATTCATATGAAGGTATACAGATGAACGGACCTTTGTTACTTCAAACCTTGGGATATAAGCCTAAACAACGTTGCTTTTTAATATCCAGAAATAGTAATAACAATCTATAATTACATACAACACTCTTTTTTCATATGCGTGCTAGTTATTTTAAATACGCTCAAAGCACTGTGAGGTTAGTTCTGTTGCTGTTGTTGTTCGAGAAAGTGTTTTCAAAAATTTCACAAGGGTTCCTGAAAAGTTTACGATTATTTACGCTTAGCTACGCAAGATTGATTATATTTCATGTATCTATACCTGCATCTATTCGTGTAGCTCTAGTATTTTGTCTCTCTGAACAAATAGACCTAATCACCCACTAATTGTTTGTGTTGTTGATATGGTGGGGCAACTGATACAGTTTCTAGAATGTGTACAGAATAAGCGTAAATCATGTTGACTCCCTAAGTTGTGTTTAACGACAGTAGACGTCAAATGAGAAACATTTAGGTTTTGTGACTATGATCGTAGGGTCACATTAGGTCGATATGTTTATCAGTACGTAATAGTCCATGTGATGTAGGGTTTTGCGTCCCGGATGAAATACCGTCAGTCCGATGCTCACGCTTCAACTAAGAATTCTGTTCACACAAATCAGTGTAACAATTTTATCGTGGACTTCAATGAGAAGATTGAATCACCGAGCTAAAATGTTCATTGTGGCCTAATGCTTAAGACGGTATCGTACACTACACCGTATGCAGGCTGTAATTTCCAAGAGCTTTTTGCACCGTCTTGAGAAAACGTTTGAAGCAGCTCTGTTTGTATTGATTGCTTCACGTTTTAGTTACTCAAGAGCCTGTAGTATCTAAGAACACACTAGCGAATTCCATCACCCCGATTTTTCGCCGGTTGAAGACTTCCTATGGCCGAGACTGATTAAGCTTGATGTAAGCAAACGACACAATTATTGTGAAAGAAGTTGCCAAAACCTGCTTTCCCATTCCATACCGCATCTGCCTTGTTCATGCTATATGAGGCTGGGTTCTTTCCTGTACAATTTTTCTAAAGCAGAATTTTCAGAACGAGGCCTTCCATAAGTGGAGAGCTAAGCAAGCATAGGTGATAAGAAATGTTAGTCGTTTCGTTCAATATATGGAAAAAAGGTTGGTGGAAAATGTGTTACATTTTGATCCTGTTCAGAAGTTCCGAAATAATTACCCTGAATAGTATATATATTTAAACACGAATGACGAGCATTACCGTTTGTGATAATGTCCTGACGTTATGCCTATTGACACGACAAACCGGTGCCATTTACCCTTCCCCCAAACCTGATACACAGTAACTAGAATGACCCTTAACAGTTATGATTGACGCTATGACTATTCGCTTCTATATCGCTCGTACTGTCAAACTTATAAAATCGAAAAATGTTCTATATTTTATATTTTTCGTGTTGCTGTTGAGTGTGCACGCCCGATCAGGTTATTTTCTACGTAAGGAAACTTGATATACGTATTTGTCCCGTAGTGGTCCCTTGTATTGAGTTTCCTTTAATCAATGCACATAGCTCTAGACTTGCAGGGTAGTTACGCGAATTAGATGCCGGAAATTAGCAAAGATGTACTTGTTTCTTTACAATAATGGTAAGATCTTAACGCCAGTTCCTCGCTTGAGCTGCGTGAATATCACTTGACCTCCTTCCTGTTAAAATTCCTAATTAGTCATCATAGTGGGACAAACGATGTTGTCCATCGTGGGATCAGTCGTGCCAATACATTTCTATGATGGAAAATTCCACTGTATCTTGTAAGCGGTTTCGCCAAGGATTAGTCATAAAACGGGTCCTAGAAGAATCAAATTTCTCCTTAAAAGTCCTTATAGGCACATGTTGTTGATATACCCATGACAAAGTTGAATCAACAATTTTCTGCACTCAACGTACATTTACTGTCTTTAAACTTACGAAGTTCCGCCACGAAATTTTGAAATTGGCAGCCATCGGGTGAACTGTGGCCTTACATGGACCTGTGTGTACGCGATTTCTATTTAAACGACCTGTCATCATTATTTTATATTGCTAGATATGAATCCTCTACTTCGCCAAAAACGCTACTTTGTACTTTTGGCTAATTGCTTTATTACAAAATATGAAAAATGATTAACAACGTTGTTTTATTCTATTGCCTAACTAGAGAAGAGTAATTACATGAGCCTTATATGCTTCTATTATGTGCCAAGGCTACGGCATTTCTAAGCACCCCTTGATGGAAGTAGATCGCTGATTTTATCGTTGTTACAGAACCAGTCAGATAAACTTACCTTCCACAGAAACTAGATCATCTTTATTACGTACAAGGTTAGCTAGTGCAACTATTTAAACGCCCCCAAAGTGCTGTTCGTAACGATAGCTTGATTTCCTGCAGATGTGTAATACTAAACGATGTCCATAATGTATATCAGTGTACTGCTGAACAGTGCGTTGTCGTTATCTTGTGATGCCTTCAGTTGCTGCTATTGTGTATGATTGTTCTCATTATCATTTTTGTGGCACAGATTTAAGCTCTTGTTCCCGCCAAAAAATCCGCCGAGATGAATCTTGCTGGATATATTATCTAAGGTTTCTTCAACTTAACCAAACGGCATAGTATCCAATCTATCAACGTTAGATTTTGAACCAACGAAGGTTGCGTGTTTATGGACACTATGACAACCCACCCATAACTACAGAATAAGAAGCGTTTCTGCGCATTGCGTTGTTTATAGTATCTAGGTTACGTATGCGAAATCCCTATTGTATCCTCGGAAATAGTGTGTGTGTGTGTGTGTGTGTGTGTGTGTGTGTGTGTGTGTCTGTGCGTGCGTGTATCAGCTCATTCGGATGAACAAAAGTTAATTTCGTATCTCATATCTGAAATGGTTAATTGTTTATAAGCTTCAAGCAGGTGCTGACAAAAGGGCGGATAACTATAATGATTGGTGTAAGTTCCTATTTGAACTTTACTCTTGATTTGTACATAGGTTAAACATATTCCTGTACATTTTTTTCAGGTTCAATTATGTATGACGTGGATGTAGGTCAGCTTTTATCCATAGACTAGAATGATTACAAGACTATACTAAAAGATCATAGAAATTGTAATGATCCATGTAAGATCAAGCGCGGGAACTGCTTATTACTGCAAAGGGTAATGGGGTAAGATGTAAACATTAATTGACATAGAAAGTTGACAATGTTGCAGGCTAAAAAAGTAACCTTAAATATAATAAAGGTTTGTAGCAAAAAATGGAGTTTACGTTTTTTTCTAGACAACTAATAACAATAATAGTTGCCCATTATTTTTCAGATCTGTTAAGGAAAAGTCAAAACAATGTAGCCTGTGCGAAACCACCAATCACAAATGTTTACACTGCCGCTTTGAATATTAATACGCCTTTTTGTGACTGACACCAATATTTTCCGAAAACTTATTAATGCGCATTAAGAGTTGCTAAAAACCTGCTAGTTCGAGAATAAATATGGTCTAATTATGGATATTCTAAATAATTGTTCAATTTGAACCCTAATTGTCTTTATTTCAAATGCTAGTACGCATCAAGCGTTCTGTTTATGCAAAATGAATAAATCTATCCATGATACACTCTTCCACTGCTTCAATATAATCTGTTAGAGCGATGTTTGACAAATGCGAATCGACTTGTCTACATCAACTGATCACTTACCATGTAAGTTGAGCATATTGGTGCAAAGTTAACTCAATATTAGAGCCTAACATCGCATTTCGTTTTTAGTAGATAAATGATATTTTAATTAATTGACTTACACAACATTTAGATCATCAGAGAGTCATGTTCACTGCCAACTTAAATGATGGAAGCATTAATAACTTGAATGCATAAAACACGTGGCTCCAAGGGGCCACTTAATTAAATCAGTGCCCTTCTAATGCCTGAACTCTAGCGAATTCTACCTTTTTGATTAACCTGTATCTAATTTTTTAATATCTATGACAAAGAACAATATATCGAAGATGGTGACACCATAAACAAAAGTTATAAAAATCATCGATTTTCTTATTAAAGACCCACATCACAAAACGATATTTATCTATAACAGTTGACTTCACAGTGCTTTTTACTCCGCTAATTGCTAATCTTCTCGTTTCATCCATTGATAACATTGCACTCATTATTATCATACTTAAAATCGTACATAACTATATATATATATGTTTAGTTTTATTAATATAAACATACCCCTTCTTTCCGATAAAATATTGCATATCTTAAAGTTCGTTTTCGTTACATTTGTGCATGTCAAATATTGCATTATAATGTGCTTGTGCATATTTATGTTTACCTTTATTTGTATAGTAACGCCGTAGTCGACGCTGCGGGCGATATAAACCATAAGGGATGATCACGACAATAATATCATAGTATTTATCATATGCAGCGATCATAGACTACTTAATATTGCAGACGAATTACAAGTCTTCATGTTGGCAACTTAAAAAGAACCGCTTCAGATGTAATAAAAGTCTCTTTAATATCTCTATTGTTTCGCCAAGGTTTCTCAATATTTGTGATCAGAGAAAGGAATGAATTAGTACATAATGTCGACTCATATGATTTTTAATGAGCACGTATGATTTGGAGCCTACGGTTCGGCTGGAAATATAATAGAATTGGCACTACATTGCCGCCTGATAAATCAAGATATGGCCCGATATGGAGAATTGCAAACTGTTAAATTTCACATCTGATTATTATGCGCAATTCTATGAACGGCAAGGAAAATTTTGGTTCTCCAGACCTACGCCTCGTATGATCTTTCATCCGAGCAAAGGTGGTACCTCTTGAGCGGATACGACCAGAGACGTAAGTACGTACGCAGTAGTGAAAATAGTTGAGCCATAAAAATTTATGTTGAACACATAATACGCCGGTGTCATTTTCGGTACGCTATAATTAGAGGATATTGTACTTAAATTGCTGTCTGTTGCTTAATGTCATTAATACTCTTTTTTCTCGCGCTCGTGTTCTTTCTATTTATTTATTCGTTAATCTAACTTCGCCTTCGTTTTTTATCAGCAGTCATTTTCGTCGTCTACGAAGGCTTAGGTTGCAGAATCTGCATGAAGAGGCTGAGCTCTGTAGATACTCTGCCAACGCCCCTATGAATGGACATCTTGTTTCGGCAGAAGCGGACGAGTTCGCCAGCTAAATCGCCACACAACCATCCACGTTCCATCGCCTTCGAACACACATCACCCAGCTGAAAAATAGACGATAATGTATGTAGATAGATAGCTTTTTAAAATAAAATACCTCAATAATTAATCACGTTGAAAATCATACAACGTTCGAATATAGCAAGCCGGAATCCTTAGTAGCTTAGGTAGAAAAAATGATGGTTCGGATCTTGGATTTGACAACTTCACAGTCATCAGTTGAAGACTACAGGTAATTTTGCGCACTACCATGATATGCCGGGACCATAAGAAGTATCCATTTCCATTGTTGAATGCAGTAAATCTACATTGAATATAAGTTAAAATTAAAGATACGTTGTTTTTTTTCGTCTGCAGCTAAGCATTAGGTAAATTGTGAAAAACTGAATTAGTTTCAATAGCGTTTTAGCTTAAGCAGCTCGTTCTTACGTGCTGTAGCCTGGACTCCCCATGAGTATAAATAACGAGATGTGGTAATCCAGCGACAGACGCCGCGAGCCACAACGACAGCGCTTCCAGTTGAGCGTCCGTCTCCGACTCGGCGTCAGCTGTCCAGCGAGTACACGCAACTGGAAGCATTCCGCTTGGTCCTTCGGCCAACGACGGGGAGATCTGGAAAAAAACAGGCCGCACTCTTCTAAAGCAGAAAGGCCATTTTTCAAAAATGTGAAAGAAACTACGCTCTCTTACCATAACACGCGCCGGCCAATTTAGCGGTTTCCGACAATGTCACTTTTATTGACAGCAGGGTATCTCGAACGTATTCAGTTGGGTTGCTAGTAATTGCCCTCCATAGCAGACAATCATGTTTCTTCACTGTTGTGCTGAATAATAATAAAAAATATAGCCATAGTATAATATTTAATAATTTCAGATTGCACGGAGGCAATAAATTAAATGATGCAACTACGGTGTGTTAGGGATACCTTTTGGTTGAGTTCATTGTTCCGTTGCATTTCATGAATCCGAGAAGAATCCTGGCTTTCGGTCAACGAACGTGGCCTATTCTCCACTCTTACCTAGAGGGGACAAAATGGCACAACACGATTCCTTTACGTCTGTAGGTGATGTCCAGCTTTACTAACGATGGTTTCATTGTACTTTGTTAGATTTTGTACGAAAAAGAATTGTTTTTTAATATCTCGCTTTGGATTAGTTATTACTGCTATGCAAAACCACATATCGTAAGGTATAAAGTACAAATGGAATTAGGTTATTGCTCTTGCTTACGCATGTAAACAATGACTGTATAATCATTATGCATATTCTTTTTATTCATCATAAACTATGTTTGTTTGGAGCTAATATATTCTGTTGATCATCTGTCTTTTGTTGTGTAATTATACTAGGCCTCAGCTTCGGGCCATGACAAATAGATTTAACCGCATATTCAATATTTAGTATACTACATAATAGTGTTACATCATCATTCCAAACTCTTTAAGTTTATATACCACGCGTTTGATGTAGTCGAGGTCTTCTTTGGTGAGTGCGTGTCTGGAGGCCATATCGCATTCAGCGCTTGGGCTCCGCTTTTTTCGAATTCTGAATTTTGCCTATTGGACAGAAGACAAACGTTTCAATAAATCAAAGGAGATAAACAAGTGCAAGATGTTTTATATAAACTGTGTATACACGGATCATTCAATGAAGGATCGGTGCTAATAGTATGACGCTTAGCTAGTCATACCTTATACTCTTACCTACTAGATTTAAAATTATCATAAAAATAGAGTAGTTTGTCGGCGATTTGGTTTTCTGTTTGAGAGAAATGGTAGTATGACGTTCCCTTCACTGCATATTATACTTAGAACATAAACATTGATGGGACAACTTCTTTTACTTATAACAGGCATATCCAGTAGATTGCGAGCAAACCCACGGTCATCTTCGGCTGAGTTTTATATTGAAGATAAGTATTCTTTCGTTAGAAAAAAAATTGAAGACGAATTTCTGCTTTATTTTTGAGGGAATCGCATAGTAAACGACACCAACGAAATTTTTTAGTTTTAGTGGCATCCCTTTTTCCAAAAAAAAAAAGATACTTTTACGACGTATGGCGTGTACGTGAGGTTTTCGTGATATTTTCTTGAAAAAAAATTTCGTGAAAATTTCTTCCCTAACGATCTGATTGGAATGATCTTCAGAAAGACACTTTTGGATAGTGTCGATTAACTCTCGAGTACTATTTCTTTCTCTAACCTTAATTGTTCCTTGTGCTATGCTGAAACAGTACGCTTTTGCGATGTTGTACATAGTCAATTTGGGGTAGCTTGAAAAGTTTGGTGCGGGCTTGTCCCACATATTGAAATTGGAGAATAGCTAATTTTCGCTTAAACAGTGAAGGCAACATACTGTTTTCCATAATAATGATGTTGTTCTTTTTTCTTGTAATGAGGATAGTGGATGAACAGATACCCGTTACAACATATGATGCGACAAAATTTCCCCGAAATTTGCTGGACCATTCTTTATATGAAGAGTGTGCATATATGATGATAATGGTCCAAAGGAATTGTATACTTGACTACTATTAACAACTCAAAATCACAATGAAAGTTTAAAAAAGCCTTTGAAGGAAAACTGAAAGGAAAAGGTGTGCTTGTTCCGCTTACCTTAAAGGGGACCGGAAGGTTTGGGTTGACTCCGTCAAATGAATATGCCTTTGGCACAGGCCTTCCCCCTATGCAGATTGATAGAACCGAATTTCGAAGTCGACAACCACTTAGATCCGCCTGAAGAAACACAGAATAATAGGAAAATTACATTCAACGACATAGATAGGTTGACTGTAAACCGCTACTTTCATGAGACAATTTATATTCTTGCTTGTACAGCTTAAATTTGCGAAACGTTTACATGGCGTAATTCGATCAATGTATCTAGATATAAATGTGTACACATGAAATTTATAATCTATACGCTTAACTCACGGACGACGCTTCCAGAAAAGCTTAATGCAAACTAAAGTTCGTCCTCACCGTCAAATATATACATACGCGTGTTAAAGCTGTAGGCGGTATGCAATGGCCGTCGGCTGGGGCGGAACCGTCAGAGCGATTGATGCTACTTTTTGTTCGATTTGCGCGAAGATCACCTGTAGCAGTTGTAAAACAGCTGGCAGCTGCGCTTAGAGACAGATAAGGCTCCGAATTGGCTCTCCGAAAAAGAAGCGGCGAACAGAGCGGATGAAGTGGGTTGAGCATTGGACTCAACAGTTCTGGGTCCTCGACAATGTCTTCCATTGAACTTCCACAGCAGGAACTACACTCACTAAACGTGCAGCAGAAAGTATCAACGCGTACGCAAAAATAAGGAAAAATCTAAGCGATTCAATTGAAATAATATATTTCCGTGCTTAATACTTAGCGTTTCATGCGAACGCAATTGTATTGAATTGAGTAGTTAAAGTTGCTCGCAAACACTTTCAGTCTCTCAGTAAACGTTGCTTGCTTCAACCGAATGCATATATACTACATAATTTTTACTTATTTGCAGAGAGAAAAGGCTATGTAAGTGAATTAATACAAGCAAATCTATAATTATGCGTAGATTTATTGCTGCGTTCTAGAACGAATACTCGTACTCGTTCAGCTGGCATAGGGGAACTGGGCTTTGGGCAGGATGAATACTGATTCTGCCGTCATTCGCGGAATGAATGCACTGAATTCATTATAGAAGTTATACATATCGTAAGCTTTGTAGATAGATCGTATTAGGTATGTATGTGTTCGGGTACGTAGACGTCTAGCTAAACTCTGACCTGCCGTTAAGTTTTCAAGTGAACGCAGTCGTGCCTATCTCTCAACAAGTGGACTTCATTGGCTAGGTATTGAAGCAGCGTTTAATATCTATCCTGAACAGAAATGTCCCGGCAGCTAAGTAGACTACCGTGTTTCATGCGTTCCCAGCGCCTGCTTTTGATATGTACAACACACACTGGTACAACAAAAAGATAAAATTGCAGATAAATTTGATGCTTCCGCTAGACGCAATCTAGCGGTCGAATACTTTCAGAGGTATATTGAAAAATAAACTTCATAGAATTAATAGTTTATCGTTACTAGAGTCTTTCCGGATACCTTATAAGTGGGTCAAAAGCATATGTCTATAGTTAGTTAAGAACCCCTTGAAAACTACGGTTTATGAACTTTAGTTTATATCCTAACTGCATGAACTTGTTAGACCCAGTAAAAAATCGTCATCACCTGCCCTTCATTATGTTCTGGTTCTGATAAATTATGAATGGTTCTTAAAATGTATTATTTGTATTATTAACAATGTACTCAGATGATATAACGACAGCTGTCTGAGAAGACAAAACTGGTTTTATATTAAGGTAATTGCCATTACTTGTTGAAAAACGAGAGTCCGTTCTGACAAAATTTTCTAAAGACTGAAAGTAAATTAGTGTTATGTTTCCTCTTTCGAAATGAAACGTTATCATTATCAAATTAATGAATTTTTAATCACTATAGAACGCAAACTTGCGATTTTTCTAGAAATTTAACTATATGTATATGAAAATCTTAATTGATTTTAGTAGACTTCATTGAATCAGATTTTGCCATATATAACAAAACTTAATTGCCTTGTTTAAGTATACCAATACAAATTTTTAAATATACACTTTTTGCTTCAATCTTTAAACATAACTCATTCTACTAAGACGGATTTTTAAAAAATCGATAAGGACCTGCAGTAAGGTAGGTGTGGTTTCCAAACGCTGGAGAACAATTTTGCACCGTTTTTTTGCAATAAAAGATCACTTACTTTTCGATTTTATATTTTTTTTAATATTTTTTTCTATTCTAGAGTATTTGTTTGCTTCATATGACAGACTTTCCTCTCGGTGAATTTTAGGACAAAAGCAACAGGTATAAAAGCGCCGATTTATGCCAAATTCTACAGAATTTTGAACTGAGGAGCAGTATCAGATATAGCTTAAAAGCTTAGGAAAATGTACGCAATAAGTGTCTCTAGCCCTGTAATGAACTCGCCGCATCTTCAATAAGGAAGACCGCTGTAAACCATGTTGTTCAGAGGGCAAAAAGAGTTCCGTAAATCTGTCTAAAAATCATTGTGATTAACAGGTCTCGATAATAAGTTGAAATAGTGAAATAATGGCAATAGGCTTTTGTCATAAGCCTATTGCCATTATCAGTTTTTTCTTACCAAAAGAGGCTTTACCTTGAGTGTCTCCGGTCGAGCGATCGATGAGTGTGTGAGCGGCTTTTGCTAGATTGACCCTGAGTCACCCTGAGGCCACCTAGCTGACGGTGGTAGCGCCGACCTCCGCCTTTAAGGCGGCCTCCATTTGTGCAAGTGCAGTTATTAGAGGCCGAATCTACGCTCATAAACTGTGAATTACCACGCTCAGCCCTCTCCCGATAAAACAAGCGACCTGCACTAGATGCAATGTCAGAGTCCGAACGACGAGAACATCCCGATCGCTGTTCTAAGACAAAGCCTGCGCTGCCCGCAGAGTCCTGAAAGAAAAAAAAATATAAAGAAGAGAAAACTTGCCGCTCTTAGTTCTTCTAATCATGCTCTAAGTTTTCATCTATATCTATCTGAAAAGGGTGCATATCTCTGCCCCGGTATATACGACGCGGTATCAAGTCACACTTGCTGCTCGATTCATCAAACCGTGATAAATCAAGAGAATTGAAATCCAAATTGAGGACGCCTTGAATCGATCGCTAGATGAAGCAAAAATAATGAACAAATTCATTCAAGAGTAGGTAAAAATAACTAAACCATAAAAACATCAGTAACCGCCTTCTAGTTAACAAATCTGAATAAAAAGCCGTAATGGAATTTGAATTGAAAGAACACGTGAGAATAGGTAAAACTTCAGAGATCGAATCAAGAAGGTTACCAGCTAATTAGTCAAGTTACATTTAGTTACTAGTTGACAAATAGTGCACTGAAATTGAAAAAAAAGAAAAACCTTTGACCTGAATCACACCTAGCGTAAAGGAATACGCGATAGGATGCAAATGTACTATAATGTATTTACCTCTCGTAACAGATGTCTGCCAGGCCCTAACGGTTCTTTGGGATAGTCAACGGAAGACTGCAGAATCAATGGACCCTCCAGCTCAGAGTCAAATGTTCGACTCGACCGAGAATAGGCTGTTCGCCAACTCTTCTTTTTGTGAAGGCTTCTAACCTGTTGCCCAGTTGCTCCTTGCCCCATAGTCTTCGATACTTTATCTGGAAGAGCACGATCTTCATCATCTTCTTCGAATGACTCTTCCGCAGTGAAGTAATCGTCCTCCGCAGACACCTGACGACTGCAACGTTTAGATAATGTTCTGCGAAAAGAGAACCGTTAATCAGATCGTTCGTCAGGTACGTGTATCTAAGGTAAATATTACCATTAAATAGACAAATATGTTCATGCTTCTAATAGAAAAAAAAACGTTGTGATATTGCAATTGAGGTCAAAAACAACAGAATAGAAGTTGTCCCCAGTGTCGGGTGTTTGAAGATCCAGCTAGACCTAGCCATGAAGGACACAATGAGTATGAAAAACATAATAGCTAAAACTACGAAAGTATCAACAGATCTATCAAAAACAATGCTCAACGTCTGTCGTTTCAGGGGTGAAAAGAGAAAACTGCGGATAACGGCTGGGGAATCAATCGTTCTGTTTGAAACCTCAGTTCAGATGAGCCCGCACTTAACTTAAAATCTCAATCTATAGGAGGCTTTCTGAAGGTGCTTAACTCTGACCCTGAAAGTTTCACAAGCGTACCGAACTGTAGTACGCTGGGAGGCCTCGTACTAGCAGAAACTATCCCAGGGCATCGATCTAAAAGCTATAAAATGACAGGAGGCCCGTGTGGATCCGGCAGCAGGCGCAAGGACAAACTCTTTAAGCGACTAAGAAGACGAATAGCTTGTTATTTCCTTCCACGCTCCCGGAGCAGCTGTGGGGGAGATCATTATGGACTGGCTGGAAAGTTGGAATGTGAACGTATTTCCTAACGCTGGTGCTCACAGCGTACGAGCAGGTCCAGCACTATCTGCGCCGAATAAGGGAGGCCTCCTTCGAACGTGCTTGCATAGACAAAACAAGTAAAGGACGACGCATTTCACACTCTGCCGCCATGTAAGGCGCTGGAACTCACTAGAATGAGCTTATCTTGTACCAAGGTAAAAGGATCTTGATAGGAAGGCTGAGGGGTCACATAAACTACATATGCATACTTCGAGGGTGCTGGCGCAGGATGGATAAGTTAGCCGAAAAGATCTCTACAGAAAAGAAGTGCTGACCGAAATGGCGAGGCCAATAGTGGAGAAAGATGATGCTAACATGCCGATTTCGCAAGCAAATGAAAGAGCTACAACCCACTTCGTCAAGAATTTGAGCGTTAGGAAGCCCGGTTAGGGCGGTGTCCGCCCACAGTGCTAATGACACATATTACTCCCTCCTGCCCATCTATAGTACTCTCAAAAGAGAATCCGGGTCGATTTAGAATGAACTGTAGTAGCAAAACCGAGAAGCTGTGGGTCTAAACGGCTTCGTCTTCAACCGTTGAGGCTGAGCCCCACACTCGTCGTACGTGAAACTTTGCTTTGGTTGTGTCCAGTCGTACGCAAAATAGTAGTACGCGAACTCTTCTCAGGAAAAAAATCGTGCATAATAGACTACGTTTTAAATGATGAGGCCCGCGACGTTTTGGATAGTGAACGGTGAAGCTGGCAATTCGTATGAGTGCTGTCATGCATTCCATCTTGACTTCCATGACCCTGTGCTTTACGCGAGGGGCGGTATGCAAGAGTGCGTTGTTCCCCCGAATCCGTCCTAAACGAGCCCCTAGAATCCTCAGACTGGAGACTGTAAAAAGCAAAATATTATCAGTGAAAATTTTGTAATAGTCGAAGATCAACATTAAAATAGTTCAACTACTAAATCAATCAATGTTTCTTTGTTTTCTTACGTTCGGTCGGAGTGTACTCTCAACGCCTTAAGAGTATAACGTCAAGCAATTTCTGTATTACGATCTACTATGCCGTGCGCCATTATTACCTTGGTATGCGTCTTGGTGAGGAAACTGGAGGCGCAGAGAGAACCACCTGAGCGCGAGACATCAAAGTCAGGCTAGGAGGTCGCTTACCAATGTAGCCTGAAAGGAATGCATATTACTTTCACGATACAATTTATCTTCATTACCTGCAAATTTACTACAAAGGTGATTTCACTCCTGCAACCTTAATAGAACCTAAGGACTTTTGTTTTCTCTAGTCTACAATACTGAGAATAGAGGTATTAAAGAAAATTTGCTTTGCAGGCGTCTTTCCGCCGTGCCACCACACGTTAGCTCATTTTCTCGTGTGCGTCTTAGGCTTTCAATTAGAAAAATGTAAACTTCACTTACCCGGAAACACTGTGGTACTGGCGGAATTCGCCACTTTTTCTTCCAATGGCTGTACTTGAGGAGGAGATCTAGGCAGCATTAGCGGCTGGCCTACGGGTCGATTGAGCAGGGTTGCTTCGGAGTCGTCGGCGCCCTGAAGAAAATGCAACCTTTCCATTTAACAGGGCACTCAATGGTAGGTAAAGAGCTTTTCATTTACCATCATTTAAAAATCAAATAAAGAAAGAATCGTGAGATTTCACTACGAACTTGAATGCACCGCTTCAAAGATGATTAGTAACACCGATAACCTTAGACCTTCTGTAGAATTAGTCCAAAATCCTGTGAGAGCTGAAGCCGATGATTAATTTGTAAGTAGATAAACCTTTTAGGTAGTTATCTTACCGTACTGGTTGACCCACTAACGGTCCTCTTCCTTGGTCTGGGCGAGGGATGTTTCGGTAAGTTGAGCAATGCTTGAGTTTGTAAAAGATTATATGTGAGCAGGTGACGAGGAACACCGATTCCCGTCCCGCTGCCATTACGGACACAGGGTCTGTTGCCGCTTACCACCATCTGTCACATTAATTATCCAGTATCCGCAAAAATCAATTACGAGTAATGTAAACGAATACAATAAAAAAATTTTTACCTATTTTGTTTACTGTCTATATATGATCACCAGGCCTAGCGAGCGTTGTAACAAATTCTTCACTATGACGACATTACGAAAACAATACCTCAAGCTTAAGTTAACAAATATGACGATACAAGCACCACACGTTGCGGATGTTAAGATTATGCCTATAAAAAAGCAGGACAAATACCTTATTGGAATGTTGTTGGCGGCTTTCTCCGTTCTCTTCAGCCTCGTGACTATCTTCATCGGAGGGGGGCAGGGAAAACGAGGATGAGGTTGAACTTTGTGCGAAAACGGGAGACGGCGGCCGCTTGCTAACAGACGCCGACTCCGACGCCAATATGCATTCCGAACATCTAAAAATGAAAAAACAAATATGATATAAACAGACAATTTAACAATACGCTTAGGACTCTGACATTTAGTCATCCGAAAAAATATAATAGTTTTTCTTCCTATTCAGTGTTGGCACTCACTAGGGCAAATACAGGCAAAATAGTTGTTAATCATCGCTTGCTTTAATGATGGCATATAGCTGGTCCTTTTTTGCCTAAATTCTACATCATTTAGTTAATATTTTTCAAATGGAATTATAACGGCAATTTTCAGTCCGTGATTTTACTTACTTCACGGAGGTTCCAGCAAACTCGATTTTATCGGACATATCACCGATAACACCCTGCGTGAAAGGTGAGCTCTGACTACTTTTGTCGGGCGAGCTCCCTCCAGCCAAAGTCAGTGGAGAAAGGATATGCGGACATTTGTGGATACTGCTGCTACCCACAGATTGATTTTCACATTGAAGGCGTTGTTTCAGGTGTCCACTATCAGTCGTTTGAAGACCTGAGCTCCGCGTTTCTCCGACACTATAAAAAGTTGTGTGCGGCCCCATTTGTAACTGCTGAGCAGGACTCTGTTGGAAAGACAAAGTAGGTAACGGGGACGGTGTGGTCCACCGTGGTTGCCCTCCGGAGCATTGAGGGGCTACCACTTCCGTCGTTGTCGTTCGGTCACCAACTGAATCTTGGTTCACACCACTGCTAGCACTTCGGGTAGCCTAAAAAAGGACTCGCGTCAGACCATGCCATCTCAGATGAGAATATTTTTCATTTGATCAAATATTTTTTTATTCTACATGCTTCGAAATATACGTGTTACTTATGCACAATAAAACGTACTTGTTGTGTTAGGCTTAACTAACGGTACTTTATAATGTGCGTGTTATTGCACTTGCTATTTAAGAGCCAGTTATAACTGCGCTCTATTAAACTTCCGAAATGATGTATAGTGTATGAGTGAAGTTAAATTCGGACTTGCTTATGGTGCGACTGACTTACTTGTTGGAAAGCATTAAGGCACTTATTGAGGTTATAAATTAGCGTCTCATCAAGATATTGTCTGTAGAGAAATTCTCGATCAAATGTCATGACATCTAGAAGTCCTAAAAGTCCCAATTCCTCGCATGACTGCAACGTATGCACAGAAATTGTTATTCTAGGTTATACACATCGACATATAAAGAAAGAAACTAATAAGATGGACAATTTCGCTGATACTAAAGACAGCCATAATATAATAATAATAAAGGTAAGTCAGACCGCCATTGCTTGCACTACAATTTTTTAACGTTTGTTGAACTAATAATCCACTACAGTTTCATCTAAAAGAATGTCTTTAACTGTTACATCTTTACTGTTTTGAGTCACATCTTTAACAGTTATTTCTGAGCACCTTCTATCTGCTCTACAAAGTAATATTCTGAGGCAAAGTTTAATATAGTTCTCTACAATTATATATTATTATATCGCTTGTAGCCCAATAGATTACCTTCATTGACTCGTTTACTGAATTATGCAGATTTCATATATAGAGAGACTATAGAATTAACTCACGTTAAGACGATATTCTTCCGACGGAAGAAGAGGAATACCCCTGTGAGATGTCGACTTCTGGATAAGGTGGGTCGTTTCCAGTTTTCCAGGAGTTGATGCCTTGGATGACCCGCCTAATGTTTGTTTGAGCTTGCTTTGTACCCTTAGAAGTCGTAACCCCTCTACTACGAGGACTTCATTCTCCTTCAGCGCCTCACAAAACAGTTGCAGCACAGAAAGTTCGGGATGTTCCAAAAGGAACTCGTTTTCTATAATTCAAGTCGAATAATTTCTTTTTATTATGATCGCCCTAAACTTACCTGTAGGTGTCCAGCAAACATATATTATGAAATCAGCTGCTATGGCCATGTGTATCCAAATTACAAGCTATGATACTTGGCTAGATGTCCTTGGAGAGTACGCTATTCTAGACGTAGCTATAAGACATGGTAGCACCAGAAAATAATCGTACAACCTTCTGTCTTTCAATTTTCAAAGGAAGGGGGTGGTGGGTCCCTATATACAAATACAATCAAAATGTTGTGCATTTCTAAAACTTACCAGCACATTTGACATGTTTAAGGACAGCAAGATTTGCGTTCACAGGCAGTACACGGTAAAGATACGGCTCTGCGTCGTCCATTGAGGCAACGTGACGTACCGTTAAAGGACAAAGAGGGGCTGTTCCACATACCCATTCCGTGAGCGGTGGACAGCGCACCAGAATACTGTAATAAACGTAGCTCTTTTAAAGAGGGGAGAGAGGTCACGGTTGAATTAGACCGCCAATCATAAAACAAACAAGATTCGGCTAAGTAAAAAAAGTTATCTCTAAATTACTAGGAGGTTTATGCTTGTTTTAGTTGACCTATATATCTCGCTTACCGTCTAGTTACGCGAATATAACCGTCCATTTGGCTGCGTACTTCTTTGAAGTACCGCAGCAGGTTGGTTAGAAACCGCTTGTGTTGATCTCTGAAAAAACAGGATAGACAATATAGTGTAACTTATACATTTCTAGCCTATCAACAAAAAAACAAGGCGTCAATACATTTCCGTCATCAATCACCTTTGTCAATGCTTTAAAAATATATATATATATATATATATATACACATATATATATATACATCCTTTATTTTAAATTCTGTGTGGAATCTTTCATCTGCTTCTCTATTACCAGGCTTTGCTGGTAACGATACGCGTCTTTTTAAAAACGCATATTGTTATTAGCAAATTAGTTATTAGTTGAATTATTATTAGTAGGTTTTTTTTACTGAAAAAGTAGTCAAAACGTAGGTGTTAACGTTATGGGGATGGTTCTTAAGAACTCAATTTCATTATTCTAATTATCTAGTAGCTATTATTGCTTCAGCGCTCTTAGAATCTTCTATTTCATAGGGACATGAAAGGCAGTTTGTCCCATGCTGAGATTCTGCCGTATGAAATAAAGTTTAATGTCAGTACCGGACGTAAAGCTCGGAACATTTATTCTATAAAGGCATGGTGTACTTCAGTACAGGTAAGTTGAGATGAAGTTTAGAATTATTCGTTTCCGAGTGTCAATAATTGCCAGTACTCACGATGTGAGGTATCTGTAGGTGGAACATCGATTGAAGTCCTGCAAGGTGGGGTGACTTCGAAGGGTTCGCAGAGGGAACGTGGAAAGTAACGAATGTGCCAGTAGTGAGGCCACAAATTCGCGGGAAAGATTCCATGAGCCCTCTGAATTATATCAAAATGACACATTCATCATACACAGATCCGCAGATTCTTTGTTATTTGTGCATAAAAAAGCATAGTTCAATGTTATATCTTTATAACGGATTTAAACTGCTAAAATCTGCTGCAAACATAGTTTAACGATATATTCCTGCGAAGGTACTAAGAAAGCTGATAATTCATTCCTGATAATTAATATTTCCAATTATATTTTATTGGTATTACTCGTCCTTAACAGAGACAGTAGCCGAAGTCGCCAAAAATAAAATGGTCGTTTATTAAGATGCCCTCTGTTATCGTTGGCGTACCTTCTGCTTGCAGTGAATAGATAAAATGTTGTGGGCGACAGTCCTCGATTCTTCGGGCGAAGTCGACGACGGTAGGCAGAATAACATTAAGTAGTTGTGAGGTGTCTTCAAAATCTTCGAGGAATGCTTCGCACAAGTCAAACCGCATCTCGTCCTCAGATGCGCGGTCTTCATCCACCTGCTCCACAGCGGCGCTATTATAATATCAAGGAAATCGCCAGATTAGTTATGGTAGCAGGCTTGCTTATAGCTTCAGTCGGCCTCACTTTATCTCTTTTTCGAGACATTTGCTACTATTTTTTTTCTTCTGTGGCTTACTTGATCGATCGTTTCGCAACTGTACGTATCGGCAATAGTCTCAAATAACTAGTTACTAACGCGCGGGGTTCTACAGGGTTTTATCCTAGACATGTTCACATTTATATGGATGCCCTGCCTTCTACATCTAGCCTCGAAAAAATAGATTGTATGTTGTGTGCTTAGCGGACGATACTTTTTTAAGTACATTATCGTTTTTTACGCGCTCTAAGCATTGAACCACCGTATGTACAGTCCAAAGTAATGCCATTCGGACGATCTTTGAATTATTAAGGTTCGCTCAATCATGGCTTTCTTACTGTTTGACAGTTGTATATGTTGTATGCAAGCCTGTTGCCCGACGCACAAATCAATATAGGGGTCCATGTGAACGAAACTACATCCTATTTCCATCACCACTAGCCTTGTAGATATTCTATCAAAGGTGACCTTGAGACGTCACTAGTTCAATAAACTGAACGCAGAAACTTCATAATGAATTCTTTTAGCTATAAAAATCTTGAATCCTCTGGCACTCTTTATCCTTGCTTGAAAATGGAAAAGTATTCCACTTAGAGTTACTGAGATTTAGTTACAGAGTGGTTGACGTTAATGTTGTTCGTTGCTTTCACACAATAGATCTATCACACGAAACTTCTACGTTATTCTCGGTTGATCTTAATATTTGCAGACTGATGCGGTTTTTAGCCTTTTATATTTGAGCAAAATCGATTTAAATCGTGGAAAAATCAGAAATATATCATGTGTTTAGAAGGCTAGGTCCTATGTGAGTACAAGGCCTACAAGTCGTTAACTGCTCTTATAAAGCATTTGACACTACAATTTAGTCCCGTACTTAAGCTCATTAGCTCGCCAGGTGATAATTGCGGTTGAAGGTTAAATACGATCCAGTGAAGTTAAACGTGGCTTTTATTGATTCGGTTAGGTTCTTTAGTATTTTTAATAGGTTTGCCATTTTATGGATTACATATACGACATGGAGTAACCACCTCGCAACAAAATCAATAAATAATATACGAATATTGCGTAATAATATTGATCGGCTTCAGAATTTATTGCATGACGATGTCTTTTTCAGTCTATAGATAAAATAGTTCAAACGACTTACGAATTTTCCACAAGTCGGAGAAAACATTCCACACACTAGAATACGAAACAATTTTCTTACATATCAATCAAACGAATTGGGGGGGGGGGCAAAAGGGGTCACCAAAATTGAAAAAAATATATTTATTAACTTAAGAGAGCCTCGAACATTTACAAAATACTTTGCTTTTAAATATGTCGCTCTGGATGATGGCCATAATTCGAGCAAGATGAGCATTTTCAAAATATCACACCTTCAGAATAACTACCGAAAAACACTGCAAAAAAATGATTTTACTATTATCTAAAGTTAGGGTCACATCGCATGGCATACCTTCATCATTTGCATGACGTTCGTTGGCTAAATCATTGAGCTTGACCCTGAAGAGGTTGTTTTAGGGGTTGTTTAACTCTATACTACTTCAGGAGCTCCGTAGTAGTCTTGGTTCAAAGGAATAATAATAAGGCCCAAGTGGGCACTTACGGCTTACCAACACTAAAGACAATTACGTGAATTATATTCCAAAAGATTCAGGCTGATCACGCATGGCAATTCCTATGAGGCAAAAGTCTGTTTGATGCGGATCTACAAAAATCTATTAGAGGTATGCCTATTGCCATATGATGACCTCGGCGCTCATGCGTAAAATACTAAACATCAATTAGAAGATACCTATAGGGTATTTTTTAATGGACAACCTGTTCTGCTATCAGGAGTCATGCTGTTATAGTTGTTGCTGATCTGAATTCCGGTGCACACATTTCACCGAAAATATTTAGGGCCTTCACTGGCAACATAATCTTTAGTAATTTTGTAGATGGAAATGTTGTATAGAAATTTCTTAATATCATATGCTCTGTACTGCCCTTATGTTCTAAAAAATCCCATACATGCTCTTGAAAAAGAACAATTCAGACGGTTATGTATCTGCTAAACAGTAATGTTTCCTTGGCAGCGACGTGTTCAGCGGCTGCTGCGTTTTCAGGCCATAGTAATATGCAGGACCCAGGTTTCACAATGATTTTACCACGCGTAATCATATCTTTGCTGAATCGTGTACTTCACTTCTTAATTCTTCAACAAAGGTGCGTTTTAATTAAATTAAATCATCTGGATGGACGTTTGTTATTAAACTACATATTAATTATTTAGGTTATTCGACAGACGAACCTGCATATGCGGTAGATACTTCGCAGGACGCTGATCACCTGCGCTACGTCACGACTCCTTCGCAACGCCGATATTTGCGCCTGCACCTCTGGCCAGAACGGCAACTCGCACGGCAGTAGCACATGTGCCATTGAATGGCCGCCACGCCAACCGGAAGTTGAGCTAAAATCACCGCAATGCCATTTCGTTACCTGTATTGCATCTCGTTAGAGGCCAGTACTAAAGCCGCGTCATGAAGGCAGATCCCTGAAAGATCTCCACATCAGGTTGTACCCGTACCTGCATGTATCAAGCATCAGCCCCCTACAAGAAACCAATATAGTCATTATTATATCGCGCCAAGTAATAATAATAAAAGATTACATTTATTTTATATGCTAATTTGTCAATAGTATTTATAGGAGGAAATGCTTCACTAATTTATTTATATAGGTCAGCTTTAAAACTTAAAAATATATTATTACCCTGAATTACCGCTATCCTGCATAATACTTGATTTAAATCAGCTATGCGGGTAGGTATTTCCCTAATAAAACGTTTTGAATCAATCATTTAATTAGTTAATTTATTCAATAAGGCGAATTGTGCAAAATGATTCAAGAATGAAAAATCTAGCCCGTTTATTCTTATTTACTCTACCGTTTAGTTCGACACGGCGTGTGCCAGCTTAGCAGGCAAAATATTGATTATGTACTCTAGCAATACAATTTCATTCAATGTCTTATATATATAACAGTAATTAATGTGCGAGCTATTTTAAAGAAGATAAATTATGGTATCTTGTTACGTTTTATTCTAAATTACAAGCCATTTAAATGCCATTAGAACGTATTGAAGCAATCGTTGTATACTTGATCATCTTCATTCACATTCAAAAATAAATTTATCTCCTTTTAAATTTATGGTGGGAAATCTCTTGAAAAAATAATTTCTTAAAAAACTTTCCATGCTTTGCTAAATTTAATTAGAACCGTACTGCAGGGCCACCGTTTGGCGCTACCGTTAACAAGGAGAACATTACGATAGGCGATGTTACGAAACAATGACTATCGTAACATACCTCACGTCTAGTGAAGTAAATTATATATGTGATGATAACTAGGACAATACATTACAGGGAAAAAAACAACAACAATGCGTCATTGGATAGACATCGACGGCCGAAAATTGTTGAATCAAACGAAAGCTCCTATTTAGTCAGTCGCGGAAGATTACCGACTATAAAACGTGAAGTGCTTCTGCCTGTTTTCGGGCCGCGATGGCCACTGAGATGGTCGTTGTAACAACTCATCTGTGTAACTCGTACAGCGATACAGATATACGGCGGTAAACGTATAAATGCAATAACCTGCATGTACAAACTAATGACGACAGTGAATTGCTGAGATTTAATATGACTGTTCCAAGTTACCCAGATACCCAAATTCGCTATTTTCACGTAGGAAACCATACAACGGTTTCATCACGTTGTGAGCTTTCCGTTGACTCCACGGTCTTCAACATAAGGGGCTAACGACTGCTAAATCTTGTCAGTACGAAATTATATTGTAGTAGCACATTAGCATGTTAATTTCTACCTCTCGTGACGGAGAAACCTTCATTACCATTAATTCTAAAGAATTTAGATATTAGACTCGAGGCTTAACACACCTGTAGTACATTACAGAATAGTGTTGCAAGATGGCCCTCAAAGCCGAAACATAAAATTAAATTCAGCTACTGCAAATAATCTTTTCTTTGACTTATTTCAATGTATGTCAATGCTATGTCTCTGACTTGTTGGCATATCAAATTTTGTGAGTTTCATAATTAAAGGGAGCCAAACAACTCATCAAACTATAAATCTAGCATAGTCACTTTTACTAAAGTAGCTCTGACTCAGAACGACCAAACAACTGTACAATCTTTCGGTGTTCACTAGATTTTGCACTACCACTACGTCATCCGCTTACCCAGTTTGGGAAAGCATCGCGTTGAGATTCGACAATAAGCTCGAGGATGTAAGCAAGTGTAACAGAAGCATAAAGCTACATAGGCAGCATCGTGGAGAACTAGATTGCTACCACAAGCTGCAACCTCTGCTGTGTAATGTAATCGAGCTAAATCATGAATGATACTTGGACATATAATAATATATATATATATGTACTGGTATATACGGAGCCTGCACGTATCGTAATCTTTGTTTCAATGCATAACTATGCTATATAGATCCCAAAAAAGCTTACCAGTTTAGCGTATGCGTGTGCCGTGTGTATATTGCTTAGAGAGGCATGTGTATGTATCATACTATATATCATGGGTATGTGTGTGTTTACTTGTGTAAATGTTTTTGCCATTAAAACGGTCAAGCGACAGTCTTTCCTTCTATTTCGCTAGCGTTCGCATTGAAGTGGTAAGCACGTGCTCTTTGCCGAACGTATGAGTGGAACACTATCACCACTTGGGTTACCGCTGTGGCTGCAGCTACTGCTTGCAAACGTTGTCCTGCCGTTTCTGAAGAGTTCCCACAGCAATAATGACAATATGACGGCAGCCCTTGTCATGCAGACAAATCTATTAAAACGCATGGAGGATTTGTGATGCTAGTACTATGCGTATGCTTTATCGACTCTCTATAGGTTTATTCTGTATTAAGAGCGCCACTATTGAGGTGGCCAGTTGAATAGGCTAAACCACAGACAAGGATTAGGCTAAGGTTCACTATAGTCGTATATATGCTATCGTGCAATCGAGAATAGACCTTCCCGCTGAGAAACTCTTTGCCCCGATCAGCCTCGACGCACGGGCCATTTATTCAGCAGTGCTACCCGCTTCATGACGGCTATGGACCGGCACTTCAAACTTCGCTGCAATGTGTCTAAGCAACTGAGTCTCCTTCGGTCCTAGCTGGTCTAATGCAGCCCGGGTCTGTTTTAGCTGTAATAGTTGCGCCTACGACTGTTGTTGGGTGTGCTCTCTTGCTGATGCTTTTATATCCCGGCGACAACAACATTTTTTTTTACTATGACTACGACTATGCATTTCTGATTTCCCGCTGTTCACTACTTGCTGCTGTCTGCCACTCCTCACGTCCTAAGCACTCAAAGGCGAGTTTTGCCACCCTATATATATTGGATTGCCAGAAGGATATGATGAGAAAAAATATTATTTTCGAGGCAAAGTTTAAACAAATATTTTTATTTATAAAAATGTATTTAGAAAGTTATCATTTAAATAAATACACGTGCTTTTGCCTATCACGATAACCTTCTACTATCTTCTAGTTATACCATAAAACAAACCGCATTGAACTTTCGTAGTTTTTAAACGAAAAAAAGTGCAAGCGACTTGTGCATCCCTCCACTGAAACTAAGTTAATATTATCAAGGAACCTATAAAGAAACAAAACAGATGATAATTTAACAGTGAAGCGCCAGGGCTATACGGCTGATGTATCAAAATGTCCCATTCAAGCTCTCTCACGGAAGATTTTTACCTGATAACTGAAAGTGTACGTGGTCTGGCGTGGTAGTGGTGAAAGACGACGCCCCTTCTATTCTTTAGTTTGGTCAATTTTTTTCAATGTTTTATTGTAATCTTGTGAGTTGTTCAGTAATGTGCGAATCAATCGTTTTGCCGGGGGCAGCAACTTATAATGCACGATTCCTTTAGGATCTCACTAAACACATTCAATCCATTTTTGTCATTAGTCTGGACTGCGCACAGATTGTGGACCACATTTTACTTTATAATTTGCCTATCTTTGTCGTACGTGATCCATTTTTCATTACTCGTGATCAATGATCTTAGAAAGGGCTCGACCCCGCCCTGTGCTGTAAAGTATCGCAGATAAAAATACGATTTGCATCGATTCGAGTCGATTCACCCAAACTCTTTTGTCTAGCCAGCTTTTTCTGAATTTTCCAAAACTGTTTTGTGGTAAGTTTAATGTTTAGCTCCTTGGCGATGTCGTAGCTACTCATGTGTCGTCCCTGCTCAACGTCCGCAATAATCTCGTCAACTTTTTCTGTAATTGGTCGACCACTGCGTAGAACATCTTTAATATAGAAATTTCTGGAACAAAAACGATAGGACAATCTTTAGACCTTTTCCGCACGGACAGCAAACATTTTTTCATACCCCTGGCCACCGTGTGTGTTTTTATCATAATAAAATTGTAAAATATAGTGAATGTGCTCTGCATATTTATTATTATTATCAACAATTTTAGCACATTTACTATTGCCAAATATCAGTTTTTAAACGACACCAACGCCGATCCGACACGAGTCTCATTTCCTATGCTAAGTGACTTTAAAGCTATCGAGTCAGAAAAAAAAATCAACACTTTTTTGACAATTAGCAACCCACATAGAATAAAAGTGCGATGGAATTGGTAAATAAAATTGAAACATGTCAGTGCTGTTCCCTTTTGCCCTTTGCCCATTTACTCGCACCCTGACTGACCTAAATGTAATTACACACATGAACATTAAATAGAACGAAGAATCCAAATCTACAATAATAATACTAATTATAATAAAGCACAGTATTCATTAACTGACAAGATCTAGGTGTATTGGTATTAGGAAGTATACTTGCACCGGGCTTTTTGCCCATCGTTTTTGTCGACCTAGTTTCAATGTAGTTTATATATAATACGTCTATCTTAAAGTTGCACACTCAGCGCGCGCTTGTGCAGCAAATAGGAACGATAGCATTTCATCGCGCTTCTTAATCTAGCGACTGTCTAAGCGCTGGCCCTTCTATGCTAGATATGCTAAAACAAAGAATTTTATTTTCCAGTAGGGATTCTGCTACACGAAGAGTGGCTAAATAACTACATCTCTTAGGGAAATAAGTTGTTATCTCTAGAAAAACTTAACAACACATGAAATAATTGATACCAATCGTAACGCAGGCTGTGTTGCAGATGATTCAGCTACCCTACATTCGTAGGTAGCGTTTTGGTTTCTTTGTCCCAATAATGTAAGTCGTTCGCGCTCCATGGAAATTATAATGAAGTGATACCCTGTAGCATACAGAAATGTGCCACAGTCGTAGAGTACGTGCCAGTTTTAGGCACGAACACAAACTTCGTCACCTCATCGCAACTATTAATTGTTCAGGAAATAAATTCATGCTAGTCCCTCTCGCGCATTACATAAGAGTAGAGCCAATTACAATGTTAGAAATATCTTTACGCATAGCTTTTGGTAAAAATCCAGTGCTACTGATGTCAAATATCTTCTTTATTAGTTATTCGTTAATTAATAATCCGTTGTTTCAAAAATTTCATTACCCACATAATCTAGACATCTCGTATCCATAGTATTTATGCAAAAAACAAAGGATAGGTTCTCCGGATCAACGAGTCGTTCAAATAATGCTTCACGTGCCATGTAACAACACAACTAAGGACTGCAAGATCTCTTGTACTGAAGGTACTGTTCAGATTGACGCTTCACCTTCAATGGTAATCTTTTTTATTCATCAAGCGAAAACCAACCTCGAACATCATCCTAAAAACTAATTGTGGCCATTGTAAGCTGGCCATAGCTTACTAATATGGTAAGCATTACTTTTTTGCTGATAGGCGATGTTTAGCTACAAGGGTTTTTCTTTACGTTGGAAAGTTTGACAATGAAAAACAATTTTTCTTAGCAGCTCCCATAATCATTCTGGCATAATCTGGAGATCCTCCGCATAATGAACAATTGTGAAGAAACTGGTTTTAAGAGAAATTCTAGAGTAACCGAACGGTAATCCTATCAGCGCGGTAAATACGGTTTATTTGATACAACGAACAGCAATCTATATGCATTCTGTCTACTTTCCACTTACCATTATGTTTCTCTTGGCGACGTTAGAATATACTCGCTTGCAGATTACCCGCGTCGGCAAGTAGCATGAGTATTCTGAATGGATATTTGTATCAAGATTTCACGCACAGTCGATGATATTTACTATATTAGATTTGCAGCTCTTCGTAGATAGCGGCTCTATGTGTTACGCGTACGTAAAAGTAATCACCATCAATAGAATGGGAAAGAACGAAACGCCGCTAATCAGGTGGATTAATCGTTTACGTAGCACATGATTCATTGATTTAGTGATTTCGTACTGAGTTATAGCAGCATTAGCGTTTGGTGTAGCTGTCCCGAAATCCCTAGCCGCACCAAAAGGGTCCATTAACCAACATTCACTAGAGAAACGAATAACAATTATGAATTGCCATATCACAGCCTGCTTGTGTCTGTGGGTGAATTCTATTAGTGTTTTTTTTGCGAATGAAACTATATTGGACGACAAATAAATTCTCTTTGTCGTCTAAGTTTCGAGTACTCGTTGTGTTTATCTTAACGGTGGTAGTAGTGGCTCTGTGGTGATCGCGGTAAGTAAGTGAGTGCCAGTCGAGGTGTAAGATAGCTAGCAAAGGTTACAAATGTTTGCCAGTCATTTCCCTTGTATGCTACTGTGCTGATATTATTATGCAGAAAAGAACTGGAGTTCTTGAGGGCCGTATGAGAAAGAGGCAAACAACGACCTCTGTTCCAGCTCGCATAGCAGACGCGTTGCCTATGGAAAGGGTACCACAATAACAGCCGACCCTTCATTCTGAGGCCGTGGATTGCGAATACAGGAAGGGAAGCTGGGCAGATATTGAACCTGCTCACTGTTCGATATTGATGAGAGGTCTGCAAGCAGACGACACAGGGTTCCGCCCTTCGTTACTTTCCCTCATTAGGCTCTCCAATACGCTTTAAGTTTATTATCATATGAGTTAGCCTGAAAGAACCCATGCTAAACTGCAGCTACCCGTTGTGGAACGGCATCTACACTTTTGTATACGATGCTGGGCTGAACGGCTCAGCCGTGCAGTAACATAGCTAAACACGGTCAGACAGAAAACCATCTATTTAATAATCTTACAGATGCTTTTTCTTTTGCCGGTTCCTTCGGGTAATGTAATGAATGTTTCGGGTTTCATAACCGCTCCGTAAGACGTTAGTTATTACTTCAGACGACTGATTTCCAGCACGAAGGGAGGTGTGTTTACGCTTCGATTTGAACCCAAAACACCTTATGTACCCTTAGGTTGCATAGGTAAATACGTTGCCACTGGATTTTCATGGGGACCATCCTTCGAGTCTTGTTCCCTGTTAAATACTCAGACACCGTATCTTCTACGCTGTGAGTTGAGCGGCCACCCCCTTCACAACCGCATCGGTCTACCACGAAGATGAGACCGAATATAACAAATATGTATGTATATATATATATATATATATATGCAATCTTCAAAAGCACAAGATGAAGAAAAGTTCTTAAAAATCATGCTTTACCTCCTTAATTCAAAATTGTCGTTAGCTAAATCAAAATAGGAACATGTGCCCTGAAATACATAATGGGTCTTAAAAGCAAAACATTACATACGTTTTTCCACAAATGGTTTTGGTTTAAGTAAGCACAAAGCGTTTGCGGAGGTAGGACAACGACATTGGTAATTCTCTCAATTTCTCCTGCTGAAAGCATGCAGCGTAGTATCGAAGTGCACTAGCATACATATGTACCCCCATATTACTATTCAGTTTGTACTACAATGTTTAACTTACCTAGATGTTAAAAATCAGATATGGTGATAGCGTACTCGAAACTCTTGGTGAGTTATGATAATAATAATATAATCTATATAATATAGCTATTATAATAATAACTAATATAATATAATATAAAAGCAAGAACAAAAAGAGGTCAAAGCGGTGAAGCGATCATTTTACGTTATATTTACGTGTACATATTGTAAGATACCATTTAGGTCTAATGTTAATGAAACCTAATATCGTTAGGAACAGCATTAAGGGTTAAAATGATTGACTTGATAGTTCAAGTGAAAATTAAAATAACGAGATATTTGGACGTAATATTCTACTAACGATCTAATAAAACAAAGACGTTTTATGATTTCTATAACTGTACTTTATTTTCCTTACCTATATCGAATATGTTCGTTGGTATTATAGTTATCATTTTATTAGAGCGATAAAATCTTTCACACGGTTTTAATTCGTTTTCATTGTTTTCTTTAGGTTGTTACCTCATTATGCTTATCCTGATAGGCTAAAACAATTTCACGGCTCAAACTGACTAATGCTCAATCGTTTGTGCGTTCCCGCCCGTACAGTCGGTATCGCAGTCTGTATATCATATAAACTTTCTTAGTACGCTCATTAATGCTTCTTAGTCAATCTAGCTTTGAGTTCTTCTAGACCCTCAGCAACCTCCTCCTGGAACTTTTCTGTGTGCGGCCAGAATGTAGGCTTGTCAGGTCTAAATCCCCTTTCTGGGTAAGCCAACCAATAGTCCTCCATGGTCATGTGCTCCAAAGGAATCATTTTCTTCATTACGGCTACAATCGCACATAAAAATTCACAGTGTATTAGTTTCTATTTAAAATTATATAAATCAAGAACTCTAAACCCTTATCATCATATAAGACTCACCAATGCGCTCCTGATGGGATTGGATCCTAAGCTTCGACTCTGCGATGTCCTGCTTTGCCTGTTCATTTGCGCGTTTCGTTTCAGCTTCGATCTGCTGTATACTCTCTGCATCAGTCGGGTAAGGGATCTGATGAAAAGCCATACGGTACTAAGAATTAATGACGAATAGCCCATATGTGTTAACTTGAGAAACCTTACAGTGGCTAAGCAGAACGAAACATATAATGCTTGTATAAAATATATGTAGTGCTCACTATCTCGTGAGCCGACAGTACCACAACTATTTACACACCGCTCACCTTTAGCGCTTTGTACTTCTGCTCAAACTCGTCGACCAGCGCAGTATTGGGTAGACGTTTCCGATAGACCGAAAAGTCAATTTGGGGAAGATTCTCCGGAAGAGCGTACATGTTACGCAGGTAGGTTTCGCTTTTGGCCTTCGGAACATTATTGAACGTTTTAGGATATATATGAGCAACGTCACATTAGTAGTTACGATCATCCGCTTCTGTATAATAATTATTGATCTCAGAGATATAATCTTGATAATTATCGATTTTGGTCACCATCGTACAATGTGCTTGCGAATAGTTATAAAAAAAAAATTAAAAATACCAACACAACATTAAGCTAACAGTAAAATTAGTTCTATCAGTTACTATAATATTTTTAACACCGACAACTTAGGACGGTCACAACAATAGCATTTCTCTAGATTAAGTCGCAAGTTAAAAAAAGATGTATCACATAAAACAACCTAGTATTAAACTTAATTCTATTTTCAATTGAGTAAATCGTCCTAAAAGAACTCGTATATGATATGATTATTTGAAAACAAAAGATCATACACACAACGTGCACATGTCTCACCTTAAACGTCTGGAAGTTCGCAAGCTCGTCTTTAGGAATGTACTCCAAGAATTTGCCCCAGTCAATGGCGCTCTTTGCGATGCGACGAGCCATTTTCTTTATAATGAAACGGAAATAAGGATTTAAAATAGATATGCGTGAGACAAACTGTGAGTGATATAATTGAAAATAACGGTTACTGTGAAGGTGTTTATGTAGCTGAATAAAAAAACAAACATTCACGCTCATTTAGACCGATGGTCACATTTCTACAGGATAAGAGAACACTATTACATAACACCTTAGTAAGCTTTGGATACTAAGTTTATTTCGCTGCCATTATTTTCATTTTCTCACATTACCGACATGTCTACTAAGCCCAGGGATGTTTTAACTGGCCTTTGTGTTCAAGCCGAGTAGTACCTTCAGCATGAAACGTACATTCATATATTATATAAATAAACATATCATTAAAATAGCAAGCCAGGTAAATAGTAATAATAGTAACAAAAACAAAAAGAGGAAGAAGGAGAAGGAGAAGAACACGTTGCACTCATATAATGTTGCATTTGACTAAAGGTGAAACGTTGGCAAAACGGTTACAGTTGTCTTTGGGGTGTACGGCATACAAATTCATACTCTACACCGCATGTCAATATTTTTGGGCATGATAATTTTCACTGATTTGTAGTAAAAAACTTAAAGGCGTCATTTATATTTCTCAACTGCATGCTAATTGCACAAATTTTGTATACAGCTTTACAGGATAGTGTGATCACAGTGTCAAGGGTTTAAAAAAAACCTTGAACTGGTCGTTGGTAGTGAGCGACAATCTGTGGGTGAAATCCAGATGGTTACGAAAAACAGGCCATAATATATAATATTCCAGTGGACATTACATACAAATCGATCATGAAACTAACTGGTCCAGGGTAAAATCAGCATTTCCATAAGTGCGACTTCTACTGCGCCTTATCAAATCGGCCCGTTAGAACTGATCAATCTATAAATAACCTAGATGCATTATAAACTTTGGGATAAATGAATACCTGGTTGATAATTGATCTAGATCATACGAATACCGAACTCTAGATCTTGACAATGGCATTATTATTAATTATAATATTATTAGCATTATCATCACTTCTATTTCACTTCTAAAAATTAGGTGTTATTATTAATAGCCAACTTGCCACAATTCTAGTTATAGTGTGCTATGTTATGCCATTATTATAAAAATCCATGGAACTCAACCTAAATTAGTATTAACTTGCTAACATACAGGCCACAGATGGTTTAAATTTTAGTACATATCAGAGTATTATATGAAAAAAGTAGGCAGAAAGAATGTTGCCTTTTCTCTTAGCGCCCACTTGCTAGAAGCGCTATTAATGCATGTTTTTCATAATGAACGTTCTCTAATCTCCTTTAGACACAGCTTATATGATTACGTCTATGAGATGAACCTATTATAGATGCCATCTACTCATCTAATCTTGAAAACATTATGTAAAAGTCAAAGTCACTCACTTAACTGTGGACGAGCAAGGTGAACTTATGTTCCAAGGGTTTCACGCTGCGTCGGATTCTACCAGGTACACAGACAGACAGCCTTTAAGGTAGACATCAACGTACGCGACCCAGAAATCAGTAAAGCCGGGTCTTTATTGTTAGGTTAAATTTATCTACAGAAGTTGCCAAATATACTTAACATATATTTATTGAGCCTAATACAAAAATACTATTCAGTATTCTAGAGGTAATGATACTCTCAAAAGAGAGTTCGAATGTATACGAAGTGTTTGTGGCCTGTTGTTCTGAGATAGCTTCTAACAGTCCTGATGTCAACAAGCAGATGCGGCTTGCCCTCATTCTTCATATGTCTATGAAACAACGCTTAAAAAATGTGTTCCTGATTTTGACGGACGTATTGTTGTGGAGAGGAATATATCATTTGCAAAGTTTTTGCCCGTTATTGTGTGAATCTCTTAACATGTTTTATCCTGGTCAGTGTGCTGGTTACCGAAGTTGCTCAATGCAATCAGGCTTATTATGGACGCAATTGTTATAGGCAACAAGCCTACGCCAAAGCTACAGTTCGAGTAAATCGTTCATTTCCATGCGATTTATATATTTATATTTCTTTAGTCAAATAGGTCATTCTTTTTCAAAATTTTTTGTCAAAGAAATTTAGTCAAGTGTTGCTCGTGTGAAATTATTTAAATTATTAAACCAGCAACGTATACTCTGTTAAAGCTCTCTGAATAAATATGAGTGTGAAATAACTTATTATACGGGGAGATAAATATGTGCCACTGCAACTCACGCACATTCATATTCAATTACGTGTTTCATTCGATTTCCAGTAACGTTAATGACATTTACTACAAAGCTTGCGTTATTAAATAGAAAAGAATGTTACTCGATTTTTTTTATTATTTTCAGGCTTTTGGTCTTGCTTGTAATACTGGCACACTTCGGAGTTGTGGCATAGAAGTACTTGATCGTTCCAATTACCAAAATGCCGAAAGTGGTCTCCCGTTCTATTGTGGTGACAGATTCCCGTGATCAGGAAGAGGTGGTGGAGAAGCCGCTTAATGTTTTCTATTGTCACTGCGGGGCAATCGCATTGATTCTTGGTTAGTAAGTACCGTTAACTCTAACTACTTAAACATTTACAATTTGAGGATTTCCCTCGCTTTAATTTTGCAACGATTAGGTAATAATAAAAAGTATGAACGGAAAAATAATCAACAACAATGTAAATATCTAACGCCAATATCCATTATGAATTCGTTGCCTAGATTGCGCGCTGGAAAAACTTCCTCTACGGCCTCGAGACGGAGCGCGAATCATTGATGCCTCGAAACACGCACACAAGCTTAACTGTGTTCCCGATGAAACAGTGTACCTTAAGTGGTAGTGAATTTCTTACGAGTTATTTAAATTATTTTGATTATTGGGTTTCCTTCATCTTACATTATGTACGCGCACGTCGGAAGTTGTTATTGGAATTTATTCAAGATGCTAGTAAACATGTATTCAGGTATAATATTGTAAATCGAACCTGGATTTCTTCAAAAGGAGCAGGATTTGTTCAGCGATCGAATGTCTCACCAGTTCTGTTAAATACTAGTATTGCAAGTTGCAAAATCAAAATGTGATTAAAACTTGATCAATAATTAACACTCGATAAATTAGAAATAACCTGGTTATTTCTTAAATATCACATCTTTACAGCTTCATTAAATTGTGCCGAATGCAATGAATGTATCCTATTATTTTTTGTTATACTCCGTTCTGTAAATTATGCTTTTAAGCTGAACTCTTTTTACCCTGCTAATAGTATTTAGCTTCAAATAGTATTATATGGCCACGTATATATGTAGATAAAAGTGCTTATTTAATAAAAGCAATTAGTGCTTATGAAGGCTCATATTGGAAATAGGTTGGTACTGGGATGCTTACTTGTATGATAATACAAAACGAGTCTTACTAACTATTCTGGTACGCGTGTTTCCTTGCAATAACAGGGCCGAAGGAATCGAGGTTCAGTTCCGTCGGCGATGTGCGAAGTGTTCGCTGCCACTTCTGTATTCACACAAGGGTTCTTCGAACGTATTTATATTCAAGGTGAAACTAATTCAACTTCAATGATTCAAGTTTTTCGTAAGCTCGATTAGTAGTTCGATTCTAAGTGACACCCTCCACGAAGTAGCTTAGGAGCAAGTCCAGTTAGTGCCAAAACTTCATCGTACTGCCGCATCGATTGGTTACTTGTTCTACTACATTCTCAATAGAAGATATATGTATAGTCGTCGCCATTGCGTCAGAGCCTGCGTGTCGGCTAATGACATGTTGTTATTACAAGTTCTTAACTCTATAATAATAATAATAATAGTATTAATAATGAAAGATATTGCTTTTTTATGCCAATGCAATTTCTACGAATGTTGTCAGGGTGTTCTGACTCGAACGGCAAATGCGGTAGCAGCTGTCTCAGCAACAACAGTGGCATCAAATCAAGCGGCGTTAGGCGCGAAAGAAGAAAACGAAGGCGCTGAGGATAAGGTACTCGTGACAAAGCATACGAAACACATGGGAAAGTTTAGTTCGGTCACTGTTTCAACGATCGAAGACGAAGAAGATGAAATCGAAGAGGTACAGACTTAGCATAGTCTTACAAAGCTGACATGTTTGAATTATCACTATTATATCCTTGTCATCGACGGCAAAAACAATTACCGCTTAGACAATATCTGTTACCTAGATTCATAAAAAAAAAATTCTTTTAAAACATCATAAGCCTTTAATATTATATAATTGTGACGGACGCCTAAAATAAGAAGGTGAAATAATGCAGCGTTGGGTCGTAGCCCGAAATCAATGGATCTTCAGAACTGTAGAAAATATGTACATTAATTTAGTTAATTACTTTTGTAGCGCGAGGTGGCTGATTCATATGCTTCCAATGCGCGTATTATCGAGAAGCAATTGCAACGTAAAGCTGTGCCTGGACTGGCAGCGAAAAGGAAAGGCGAGGAAGACAACTTCTCGGTAGGTGCTCTACTTATCGCTGTATTTATTTCTTACCTGTTTAGTGAAAAAAACATTTAGTAAATTTAGTTACATTGTAAAATATCTTCCTCTTCGGGAAACTTTTGATTCCAAGTCAGTCTATTTCGACCGGTAAGTAGTAAGATTACGCCCTTTAATTGGCTCAATTAGTCACAGTTGTTTTCCTAAAATTTATTGATGTTCCATTTGTAAATTAAAGGTGTCCCGAGAAAGCTTTCAAATGATAAACTTTGGCTCTCTCAATAAAACTAATACGCTTTACGAGAAAATATACCGCACCTACACCCTTGCCGAATTCCGGTTGCAGGGTGAAACCGTTGTTTGTCTAAAAGACAATTGAAAATTTATTTAACTAGTTTAAAAAATGGAAATACTTTTGACTGGGAAGCATAATACAGCCTTCATTTATTTCAAATCAAGCCAGAGTAGCATTTGTAAAATAAAGGCATAGTAAGTATTTTAAATTATTTAAATAGTAGTCTTTTAATCAATTAATTAAATCGTTTTTGGATTCTAGGAGACTGTTGAGAAAAAGAAGCCACGAGGAACGTTACTTAATCTTTGAATTAAAACATGAACTGTTTTGAATGTCGGATATGGCAGCTCGACTGAAAATATCATCAATTCCATATATTCTGCATATATACCTGTAAATAAAAATGTGTTATTGAGTGTGTCTTGTGACCCTCTGGTCGTTGCGTGTTAGTTAGAGCTAGTTTAGTCGTCAAAAGAAACAAAAATTGAACAAGTAGCAGTTCATGAGATTTATCTAACAATAAGGAACGTTACCATATCGTTTCCCTACTGTTAAATTTCAACTTAAGGTTGATACATCGTTATCGCTAGATGGCTAATGCAGCCTTGCTTATTTGAAATTAATAGTAAAACAATTCCCCCAAAGTTAGATGTTGTTCTTGAGGTAACGTACTTTGAGAACGCGTAAAGGTCTGAGTTTGAAATTGGACGTTGGCCTTCCCCGCTTCGTGCTGCAAAAGGTCAGAGCAAAGCAATATAAACATAGCTCCAATTTGCTTGATGATAAAATTGACCTGTGGGTTAAATGCCTATCTAGATCTAGTCTGTGCCCGTAGCAACATCCAGAGTATTTTACTGTTGATAGTAAAGATAGTAAATCGCTCGGCTCCTCTAGATGATAAAACGTATGACGAAACAGCCTTACTAACATGTCCAAAATCTAAGGTGTTCAGATACGCAGATTAGCCGCTATGATGAAATAAACAAATAAGTGCTTCGAGTTTCGGTCCAGTACTATCGCTAAGAACACTGGTGCTTCAAATGATTAATGGTCCATTCTAGCGCGACAGGAACCGTGCGCCTTGCCACGTCTTCAACCTAAACATTTTTACAAAGAGTCCCAAAACCATTACGCGGCATTACATGCTACGAACTGCAGCACCTGTGCCTTCCAGGCGGCGTCGACACTTTAAACAAGGGCATATCAATGACCTAATCATACGTATCATACGTGTATCACTGATTTCCAAAATGTAGTTTAATATCTTTAGGTATAAAATAAACTGCTAAACCAGTAAATTTCCTTGACAAAGGTTGTTCGTCATAAAGTGCTGTTGTTAAACAAAGCCGAGCTGCAAATAAAAAGTGAAATCGCTACAGCCGGTAATAAAAATGTTTTTCCTTATTTGCTCAATAGTAAAACACCTGCGAGATCCCGTTTCTATTAATAATATCCTTATATTTTTGATCACGACCTCATTTCATCATTCTAGCCAAACTCTTCGACGGATTTGATTATCATAATTTATTTACACATTTGTCAGCTACGTATAGAAATTATACAGCTAATATTAATAATAATTATTATTTGTATATTATACTAATAATAATTATGTACAATTCAAAAAATGTTTGGCTTTAATAAGAAATTTTTAACCGAATGTTGTATTTTGTAATCGTGCGCAAATTTACTTCGTAAGGTCTACAACTACTGAACTGTTCAATTTAATATTTACACGAAAAGGAAAAACACCAGTTACCACTTTATTCATAATAAAGTAATTAATTAGAAATGGGTGTCCAACAGTGACTAACAATCCTCTAAACTTTTTTAATGTCTAGACTGTTTGATACCAAAAAAAGTGGCGATTCTTCCTTAGACCTAATAGGTATACCTCTTTGGGACACTGGTTCGTTTTATTTTCTATGAACTGATTTGAAATATGGCGTCACAAATCGTGTTTAACGACTTCAGAAACCTATATTTTCAATAGAGCTTTTTCCTTGGCGTAGCCGTGAGTCACACGGAATATCCCTGTTTTATCAACGGAGTGCTGCTTTGCTGACAGGACATATCGCTAGGACAGAGCTTGAAGTAGAATACTAGGAATAGTAGGACTCTCAGCTTCTACTCTTTATATTCTGAATTGATAAGAAATCAAAGAAATGTTTTCATACGGTTAATCTGTTCGACCTTTACCGAATTGTCAGCACCGGCTGACGCGATGTATACAAAGTGCACTGGCGAAATGAATGTCCGGCTTAACTTAGCTGAAGTGTTGTAATGCATTAGAGGAGACAAAAAGGTAGCAAATTTAATCCTGTGACTGGTACAAATATATATATATATATATATATATATATATATATATATATGCTACTTCATTTAAGCGATAAGAGGCTATTTTATAGCCTATAACATATTTTGTATGTTAATTGTGTGCCATGAATCGATGCGTATTTAAATTTGCATGCACCAACAGGTTGGCATGCTTTTCAACTACTGATACGATTTAATAATTAACATATATATAGCGAAGTGTGTAATTTGCTGGGTCGGCACATAGTTGTTTGTTGCCTTGTCTAAAACATAGGTGTTATTCGTTATACGTATAGAGATCGAATCATTTGCTAAACATCTTTTCTTTGTTTCTCTCTTATATATCTATATAAAGTATCTTTGTTATACTAGTTTAACTAGTACGTACAAATTACAGCTCCATATAGCATTAAATCAGTGAGACTGCTCGATAATCGAGGGTATGGAACATCTCGAGCAAATACTGTTGTATCCTCAGAGACTACTAGATATAACGTTTCTTTCCATCTAACATTCCTGTTACTCACGAGACTTAAAGTCAGCTTTCCCGTAGGACTAATCGATAGCTACTTAAAGAAGCATTTGATTTTGAATCGCGCATTGTTGGAATCGATGTGTGGGAGTTATAAATGCTACAAGGCGGCTGAAGTTTCTGTTCGCTTCAGCCTTTATTTGAAAACGGGACTAGACAATTCATCACTAGTGCAAGTCGACATATAAACGTATACTCTGAGTGACCAGAATCTAGCTGATAAAGTGAATGGACATGGGAAATGTTGACATCACTAAAGGACTAAGTTCAATCTGACCCATATCAGCAGATCTACTGCTTGGCCGTAGAATAATTGCATTTTAAGTCTGTCGAGCTGCTGGATTGGTCTCCGACCCGTTCACTCCGTCGATTTCCCCGCTAAGGTAAAATCTGTTTGTTTTAGAGGAGGTTACTGTTAGGATTTAACCTTCATGTTTGTCCAAGTTTTTATGCTGCAGCCCACCGCCGTAGCCACGATTACTGAGTAAAAAGGGGCAGAGGCAAACACAACAAGCCGGATGGAAAGGCCGACTTAAAACTGTTGAGTTTCCGACAAACACTTCTTATTTCGCGCTTGCTAGATTAAGGAATAACTGCTGCGACTATTCATCTGACCAACATTGTCGATTTCTAGAAATCACAATCACTTTGGCTACTAGAGACCCAAGTTGTTAATTTTAAAAACGGATTTGAAATCTTTTCCCACGTTCAATTAACTGAAGGGCATTTACTTTTTCAATGATATTCAAATAAAAAATCTACCAGTATAAAGCGTTCAGGTGTTAGATTGAATTACTTGACTCAATATTATATGATTAAATTTATAATCGATTCTGAGAGAGAGAGAGAGAGACACAGATGCAGAAGTGAGATCCATTGGCGTCTTATAACTGGCGCCTGTGTATTGTTTTTTACTGTTAGTTTAACACACCTGTTTTTCTACGTTACGTTGTGACCGGAAACCATTGCTAACTGATCTGATTTTTATTACTCGGCAGTACGGGATGGTCAATATATTGCAAGTAAACGATAGTTCTTCATTTATCGGTAACGTAGAGACGATGATGATCATTTGAGTCAACATGAAAGCAATTAGGACCTGTCCGTGTGGTTTAGTTAACTGAATGATTTTAGGCGATTTCTGCCACGGAAATAGAAACGTGGCCGATTCGAATTCGACAAGTTTTCTATAGTTGGCTTGAGCCAGTTGCTTCATGCAGAATCTGAACAATGGCTTTAGGTAGCGGTCTTTCTGTAACAGAATTTTCTTGTCTGTCTTTGGAAACAATTAGGCAGTTAGATAAGACCAGTACAGTCTGAGCTAAGTTAGTTTGAAATACAACGTAATATGTTCGTACGTTGGACCGTTCCTGATGTAGTTGCCTTCATGTTGTTGGTGCCGTACTCTTACGGTGCTAAGTGAACCGCTCACGGTGAAACGGGCAGTGTGGGATTTCAGTGTAGCAGATGTAACAGCACATGACGCTGCGCTACCACATGATGAAACCGGTAGTATAGATGATCGTACAATGGAAAGTCACAATTAGCAACCAGCGCCGACAAGTTATGATAGGTTTTCATTTGTCACCAGCGTTTATACTTATTTGATAGGTAGAATCTGATTAAGAAGTCTGCGGAGCGATTCAGTCGTTGTTGGCCGTCGAGTTTCGGTGTACAATTTGCAGTGCCAGCAAGGTACATAAATCTTCTAAAGGAAAAAGCCGACTGCGTAAGAAGCGCATTGATTAATTCTTTTATAATGAGAGGCTGATGCTGTACACTGTGTCAGACAATTTTGGTGATTTGATTACAATGGTTAGATCGGAAGCACTCACTAGGCATATGAACACAATTACTGGCTTCGATGCCTCACTCACTGTAGAGGTGCCTTCAAGCAGTACAAGCGTTTGTATGAGGATTTCAAACATGTGGTGGATACCCACACGGCACATAGTGACGAAGCAGGTGATACCATCGAAATGTGACATAGTGCCCTATGTGAAGCTATGGTCGGAGTTGGGAAGTGTTGCTCGTAATACATTAATGAAATTTTGGATTATCCGTGGGTCAGTTCCGTGCATACAGTGAGACGAAAATAATGTTGAATCGTAGACGAAGTGATGCGACAGGAGTTCAGTGATGATTATTAGAGTAGTGCTACATAAACACAGATTAGTCATTCCCATCAATATAGCCGACTGAAAAAAGGAGACAGTAGCAAGCCCGATGTCTTGGATAAAACTTGTGGATTCATGGTTCCTACAGCCGAAAGAGGTGAGTTATGCACCGTACAAAGTTACTGTTCGGAGATTTCTGGCAGATTACTATACAGTCAGCGATGAAAAAAATCGTTTACGGCAACTTGATGTAAAAGAACTGGTACTTTTTGCATGAAACCGTTTGCATGAAGATTGCCTACAATCTTCAGTGATTTTGAAAGCATTGAGCATGACAACCGTATTTAGCAAGATAATTTAACAAAACCGTACAAGCTAGTAGCCTATAACAAAACCTAGTGTCTAGGGCGTTTTAGCTGTGCGTTATCGAGAAATATGCATTACTGTAAATACCTTGAGGATCATTTTTATCCTAGACATTAAAGGTTCCATGTTCGATCAGGTTTTTTATTTAGCTTAAGTGGTACAACACTTCAAATGTGGAGATATCAAAATTATAGTTAGAGTCGGGTTTGAAGTTCTGGGTCTGGAAAAAGCTAAACGCGACCCAAACTCTTTTTGTGCAAAGTTAACGATGGGCAATTTGAAGTGAATAAATTACAATACCGCCAGTTCGGGCAGATTGTGGTCAAAACGTGAAAATGTTTTTTAAAAAGCGAAAGCTAAAGCCGGAGGTAAACAACGAACAAAGAAACTGTTCTTTGTGGAACAAGTGGAATTAACGAAAATTACTTTTTCACGAGCTTCTCAGGTAACCAATGTGTTAGCTCAATTTAGTATCACGCACAGCTTAATCACTTACGTTAAAATATCGAAGAAATGCGTACAGCAATGGTAAGTAGGGAGCGAGTCATGTTTTATCATGATGACAACGTCAACTCTTACACATCTCAGTGACCTGCAAAAGTTGCACGGATTTACATGGGTTATGCTGTTTAATGCCGACCTTACCAATCTCAATTTCGATTTTTTCCGACACCTGCAGAACTTCCTTGATTGGATGATCAAAAAATGATCAATTTACCACAAATAGTGACAATGAATACTGGAAGAATGGAATAGAAAAGCTGACAGCGGCCAATATTCATTGACTGAAACTGTCTTTTAGGTGAAAATTGTTTTTTATTGAAATTAGCTACGGTTCTGGAGCGAACTTATGGCACGGCCTAATATGAATGTATATGCATTCCGTTAACAAAATCAAGAGCTGTATTTCAGTTGAACCACCTTGGATGTAGATGCGCTTGAACAGGCCTGGAATCTAAGTCCTTATCGAAAGTATGCCTAACTAGAAAAAGAAGTCAATTACATAATGCCTTTAAAAAGTGTGTGATATTATAGAAGAAAGAGGCTTTGAGTTGGAAGGCTATTAACGGCCATTAGAAATAGCGTTTTTCGACCTTAAACCAAAAGTGAATATCTGTGATTTTACCAGGCATTAACCCGAAGTTTTAAAATAAACAACTGATGAGACTGTGAAAAAAACTTTAAAATTCAAGTGTATTTTTAGGAAAATACTCGAACGAGCAGATTGTGAGAACACAAAATATTTATTGACTACTTGATCTTTTCACATTTTCTAATCAATTATTGTTATTTAAGCAACTTGTTAGATCAGATAAAACCAATATGTGGCATTCTTTTGGCTGTGGGCGCCAAAAGTGTTATGAAGGGTATCACGGATGGAAGTTACTACTACAGGAAGGAATGCTCCACTCTGTAAGCATTTTTTGGTGCCTCCTTGTACCAGGTCTTACAATCTGAAATCCCGAATAAACCACTGTGTCATTTAGATTAGCCTACGTCGAAGGCCTGAGTGGAGTTGAGTTGGGTGGAGGTGAGTTTTTAAATCTGATTTTGATGCTAAGAATGGCTTCAGGCACTGGGTGGCTTCCATTATGACAAAAAGGGTATCTATGCGTGATTTTGAACATATGAGACCTGACGTATCCACTACGGCAGATATGTCCTTTTATCTGTGTTCGCTCCATAGAAGAGAGTCATTTAGAACACGTAAATCTAACAGGTTAGACATTCACTCAGCAATTCATACTCTGCTAAGATAAGGGTGCCCTATTCACTTTTAGCATTACAATACAAATATCCGGAACGTGTTTGTTGCTATAGACGGTTGCATGCAGTGAGATCTTATTTACAGTGAAATGTTAAATAACCATGTTAACTCTGTGATCCGCTACACGCCATGTAACGTCCAGTGAACGCATGGGTAGCCCACTACAATATCTATGAGCCTTCTCATCGATATAGCAAGCGAAATGCTTCTTTGTCCCAGGGTAAATTCAGTCGTCCCACGTTATGTAAACAGATCATGGCCGAATTGTGCGGACTGGAATGGAATTTGTACCGATGGATACAAGCTTGAGTCGCTATGGTTCACTTCGCCATTGAGGTGCAACGCGATTGGCTTCCTCTAGTGAATAGGCAACATTCCTGAACTCTGTGGAACTGCACCCGGAATTATTTACTCCATAAGCATTTACCAAAAAAAATACATGGATCAATAGACCTCACGCGATAGTCGTCCACTTCCCAGGCATTTTAGCCGCTTGCAACTATTAATAAAGATTCTATGCTTGCCATATTCATGTCGTCGAAATTGTGAGTTGTGCCATTAGTTTGGCAGAACACGTCACGCTAAGTCAGGAACTTAGACATAAGTCAAAGGGTTTGGTGGATCCGGATTCACTAAGAGTATACTGTTTTATCCAGCTGATCAGGTCATTGTGATCACCCTTTCTCCGTGATATAGTTAAATATGAGACATACATATGTGGATTTTTGTGGATATGAATATCTACACATACACGCACTCAGCCATACGGCTCCCCACAGATACGAACGTAGGGGTCGTGGTAATTGTTATTGCCCAGGTAAGGTTATAAGCAAGATCCACGATCTCATTGCAACATACACGTCAATATCTGTGTTTAAGATAATTATTTATTCTACTTCAACTATGTATGAGGAACTTACTGGGCAATACAGATACTACTTTGGTGCTGGCTAAAGATTGTTATATCCAACAATGGCTGAAAGTATAAAGGTAAAAAAAGTAAATCCGATAGTGTTTCGCGCTCGTTCACTGGTGTTCGCCAGTGCGTCGCCGCCAAACGTCTTAAAATATTAGATTTTTTTTTGTGGAATATACCTTAGTTGTTTAAATATAGATCTGTTCACTTTACTTGACTTTTTCCTGTTTAGACAATTCCGTACCCTTTGATGCGAATTATGCGCCACCGGAAGCTAAAAGAGAACCGAGCTGTTGGTCCTATGAGAAGTTACAATTTCAAAGGAAACAGCTTTATCTCAGTTATGATAAGAAATGTGTTTTAATCATATCGTGACATATGTTAGTAAAGCCAACACAGGCAAAGGGTGAGTTGTCCAAGCGCTATAAGTGGATGTTCCACTTTATTGTGCCGTATTGTAGCATCATATTCCCTCTTCCCGGAGGCCACCGCCATATAGAGCCTCCCTTCTATTTAGTTGTCCCCCTCACAAGAGCGACGGTTCGTCGCCGCCTCAACAATGAGTCTCGCATTGTCACTAAGCTTCTATCGCCACTGCGACTGCTACTGGCATCGCCAATCACCGAACCAACAGACATACAGACGGACACGCGAACGACGGCGCCGAACGTGAGCGTTGGCTGAACGGCTATCCACAGAATAGCACAGGCAAAAGGAGTAAGCGTAAAGGAACTGATTAATTAGTAGTGAGTGAGTGGACGATTCTAATGGCCCTATGAAGAATGCCTGCGCTGGCGTTGTGGATGAACGCAGTTTACCACTCCTGCGCGTCATCAAGCAAGCAAACCAGCCGCTGGTTTTGCTACAGCGGTTACTATTTAGACGACCTATCGTCTGTTGTATCTATATTTCGCAAAGAGTTGCCCAGAACTATGTTTCTATAGCGCTGATTCGATTGCGATTAGCCTGAGTGCCGCCATTTGTACTGTTATGAGCGCACTGCGCTTCTTAAGCATATGAGACTTATGGCGATCCCTACAGCGATTTGAGGATTCGTATTTGATTGCGCTGTCTTTTGAACTGCTCGACCTTCTCTAGTATCCACCACTTTGCCCAGCACCTCCTCAATATCTGGTATAGAGTAAGCAATAGTTAGTGCTATTGCTGTTATGTGCGGAACGCACGGCGCACATCGCGACCCAGCGCGGGGAGCATAGAAAATCGAACGGTATAGCACAGGACGGCGCAGAGCAGGATGAATCTGTGCTAGCAGCAAAGCCAATCACCGTCTGCCCGCTGCCCATTGGCGCAAGCAGCGCCGTCGTTAGGGTCGCTACCATCGCTACTATTATTGCTGCTAAGGCTACTGGTCATCCCCATCACCATTGAGCCTCCATAGACACCCAGAAATATCTTTTACCCTGTCTTACCTGCCTCTCGCCAAGTTGTCTTTCAGACGACCCAGCGAAACCTGCCCGAAAGCCTGTCGACCGGTTCGATATAAGCAGGCTTGCTTTCTTAGCGTCCAGCAGGAAAAATCGCACTAGCAGAAATATCCATATGTAGTATCAGGCAAAACGTTATGTCTATTGACAGTGCAATTCTCGAGCGACCAATTCGATAGCCCCGAAACGTTCGAGGCGGATCCGTTAAAATACTGCCATAACCGTCAGCAGTATTCTTCTTTTTCCTGCCTGCCGCTACTGCCTGTTCTTTCCTCTACCTTCTTGCGCTTAGTTTTCCTAGGGATCATCATCATTATCACCAGCAGCATGAAGCAGCGGCACTAGTTGTTAATGACAACACGGCGTCAGCCTGTGCGAACGGAATATCATTCATCACTGCATATTTGTATCGACTATTTATTTTATAGTAGCATTGTTGGTTACCCATGGCTCCTGTTGCTATCGCCGATCCCCTGCTATCGTGCCTGTGACCAATACCGAAGTGCAAGGGCTGCGACGGCCCCAGCGCTGAAAGACACAGAAGCCAAAGAAAGTCTGCAATCATTGCTGATGGTGTAACTTGTTGTGGTAATCATATCGTACCGTGTGTGTGTGTGTTTGTTTATCTGCCCGTAAACGAGCAGAGGGGTTTTACCGTCAACGCTTGTTCTAGCCTCAGCTGCCCGTCTGGATGCAAAACTATCTCTGACCAGAAAAGGGAGACGGATGTGGTACATAACACGCGTTTGTTGCGGCCATCGTACAGAAATAGGTTTTGACCAACGCAAACTTCTGCTGTATCTGTGCAGGCGTTTATACGGCTAGCAGAAGATGTTTTTAATAACCAATGACTATTTTATGAACTAGGTGCAGATGTGATTGTTCTACAGGAGTCTATGCGTCATCACAGTTGAAACATTATTAACTATTGTATATATACGTTAGATGGATTACCGTTTCAGAGATCGTTCTTGGGGACGAATGTAACGAGTGTGCGTTAAGTATCGCCAATAAGTGTTCGATTATAGTTGAGAAAGAATGGTCGATAGTAAGTAGTTCCCTAGTATTGCAAGTTGACTTGAGTAGTGTTAAGAAGGTTCGTTGTGGACATATACAAACTATTCGTTGTGTAATAACGCGTTGCGGTGTTTCGCGGATACAACCATTTTTCTCCTGTATAATAATAAGTGAGTGCTCTTATCTTATACAATGGTCACTTATAGTTCTGTGTTCGCTTCATGGCATCGTCGTGTTAGTTGTCATGGGTTGTTTTCACTGGCACTAATTATATGATTTATCATTTTATATAATAATTATATATACGTATAATTATATATAACGTACGCACTAGTAAACAGCTATCTTGGCCACGGAATAGACTAGATGTCGCGTACAAAGGACGGTCAAGAATAGACAACGAGTGATCGCAATTTTTATCTATTATACTATATTACTTAGGTCGGTTACTTTTGGCGGGTTACTTTGATTCTGCTCGGATATCTGTATGACTGTAGAAAGTTTTTTAACGAAGTTAAATTGAATATAGACGATCCTGTTCTTCTTTTGGGACGTCAAAGCTTTCGCTGAATTAAAAACCAATTCCTTCAGTAGTGCACTCCATATAATTATTTGTGTCAGCCGTGTTTTTAGGCCAGGTGTGTAATGGGATTTTTATGAACCACAAATGTGGGCCGTACAAGCGCATGATTCAAGCAAAGAGCCATTTGTTTGTCGATGGATGTAATTCAACCGACTGACTATAGTACTTTCGTTTGCTTTTTAAGTCATTAGCATTATGTTAAGGACACTATTACTTTCTTGCCATTTATCGATCAGATTTGTTTAAGAAAAAAAATTATTAAGTTAGTCAATTTTCCTCAAGAAGAAATAGAAACTGTTTGGTTTTTAACACGTGTCTCAGGAAGAGCCACTAACTAAGCCAGATCTACGCCGTTATGCATACACACACACACACGCACACACACAGATACGCCCAATTATGCTTACTGTTTTTCGAAGTAAGATATTGTTCCAGTGGCTGATGATGATGAGCGCGGTCTGCAGCCTTTGCAGTTATACACCGCTATATGGGTAAATACATAATAATGAAGTAAACGGCTGAAGTCGGATAAGATAGGCTTGTAAGCGTTTGGGATAATATAGAGATGCTAGGAGGCCTGACGCTATCTACCTAGAGAAAATAATAGTAGCACATCCAATTTTTCGATCCCTATATGACTGGGACGGGCGAGCTTGTCCATCGTCTTGACGTCAGCGAAAGCAAAAGAAGATGTAACTCAATATCTAAACAAGGCCAAAAATGGTCCAACGAATGCCGTAGATATCCGACGAGTCTCTTTTAACGAATAGTTGTTATTAACTAATTCTTCTATAGTGTTAAGTTTGGCAAACTGACATGTTTGCACGTATATGCAAGCACATATAAGCCAATATATATAGAGATCACAATGTGGCATTTGCTTTAGGAGTGCACGTTATTCATCGATAGATATGTATTGGAGTGGTATTGAGATCTGTTAGTGCGCGATGGATACCCATAAACATTCGTTATGATTATCCAATAGTTTTTCTCTAGTTAAAACAAACCGACGACCGATTGGGTCTGTGTGGAAGCGGCAGCCCAGCGAATCAATGCGCTAGTACTAATAGCATTAGGAAGATAACGACTTTGCTTGACTACAAAACGAGCGTAGTGTGACTGCTATCGTTGCAAAGGCAACGGTGACAAGGAAGAGGTTTTAGTGGGACCACCGTAGCTAACCGCTGAGTGCGTTGAAGTTATCGGCCAAAACCTTCGCTAGTATACCTAAAAGTTTTTTATTGAAGCTCATTAGTTGATACTTTTGACTCTAGAAAAAAAAAAACCTACTTCTCAATTTCACACAAATCAACTAAATATTATAATCATGTACATGTCAGAATGTAATATGTCTTACCATGTGAGTTGACCAACGATTCCTGGCTGCTGTAGCCATAATACAACGATCAATAGCGGTTTTCGCGATTGTTTAATCATTTCAAAGTAATTTCGAAAATGTATTTCGCAATATGGTATTATGTGGGGTCTATTCTACGGCGTGGAACATAGAATCATTTTTACGTTACGTTTGCTCCTAAAAAGCGTAGACATAGATTTTGTTCTTCAGTAAATAATATTCAAACAATAATAATAGTAATAAAAAAATATTTGTTCGTACAGCTAGAGCCCAGTTTTGTTCAGTAAAATCGGATTATATCTTAATTTATTATTATGATTATCTCACCTACTTTAAAGAGGATCTAATAAGGGAAATTATCTATTTCTCTCGATCAAAACGCTTGAACACATCGTTTTCCCAATAAAATGTCCCTATTGTGTTCCTGCTGCTTTTTGGAATAATCCGATTGACAATAGGCAATTTTTACCACATAGGGACATCGATAATAATGCCGCTGTACTTATTCAATATAACCACAATCGATCATAAGTACGGCTTCGATTCGATCTTTAAACTACTAGTGGGTCAACTTCGAAGTATTTCTGCCATAACTTACAAAGAACTTTTTCTATAGTAATCAAGCGTACAACAATATTGGACGTAAACTCGTTAAAGTATCGCCGAACTACGCTACACACGACAGATTCCGACAGAATTTAGTTTCGGAGCGACAACAGGCCCAGGACCTCAAAAATGCAAGGGTTCAAAACAATTAAAAGAGCCAAAAGGTACAACATGAAGGACAGCAACAAAAAAGACGAAGACGAATTAACCGGCAGAGAATATTTCCTCTTTTGCAAAACGAAAAAAACTAAGCGTAATAAAAATGGCTAGAAGCCGTTTGGATTAAGATTATTTTAAACTTCTTAAACCTAAACCGTATTAAGGAACTTCTCGTTTCCCTTATGGAAATCTTCTTCAGATGCTTCAGAAGCCACGTGAAAATTGGTAATAGCCTCGACCGTCAATTTCGGCCAAGTATATATGTATGTATGTATGTATGTATGTGTGTATATGCACACGACTAATACGAACTTTTCTTGATTCTGGGCTAGGGAAAGCTGTTGTGTACATGAGTATGCATAGGGATATACGGGTGTACTATGTGCATGCAGGTCGTGGTAAATGGGTTAAATTATCATCATTATTATTAGAAGAAATCGTTCATTTTGGTAGACTTCCGTACGAAATTGCCATTATAGGTTTCCATAGCAAGGAAATCCAGTGACACTTATTATTTTGCCACTTTGCTATATGAGGCCTTTTTTTCGGTGGATTACAACCTGATCGTTAGTTTTTTTAACTTCACGATAATCCCACGTAAAACTTTGCGTTTTGTGTGGGTTCGTAGGACATGGACGCCATATGTTCGGACATAGAAAAACAAATTAAGGTACTATACAGCGTGGCATAGAACAACTTCACTTAACGGCTAACTTTGTACCAGATAGAACCTAAAGCCCGGAGGACCCCAATAATATGCGCGTAGAAATTGCAAAAGATAGCCGACAACAACAACAATGCCCAAGACACGAATTATTTACATTGTCGATATGGGAGGACGTTCCAAAGTTAGTTGGACTGTATCGTGCTGGCTAAATAACATACTGCAAATTTGGACGCTGATATTGATGTAGCGCCTTCAAGGTTGCGATAATCCTTCTTCATTAATACTATCACAGAGACGATATTATTTTAGACCTGCATACAGTTTTTAAATTACGCCCTTAGTAATCACTTTTTTGATCCTAGGACTGATATGCAGGACTTTTCCTGTTTTCTCCACGGACATTAATTAAATTGAGCCTGTTATTTAAATTAATCTAAAAATACCCATTGTTTACCTTAAGAACTAAATGTTTTGAGTTTCACATTCGGAACTACCATTAGACATTTCATCAAAGAGTGTGTCTATCAAGTGTTTATTTGATATCTGGAAGCGTGTCGACGTCCGGATTCAAATTCGGGTTCTTAACTTAACGGAAACGCGTTACCCACTAATCTACCACGGGGAAAAATGCTTCTTTCTAGAATAACTGCAGATCCAACACTTATTTTTTTTTAAATTTTTTTATTTATTAGTTTGACGAATCAGTAACGGAAATAAAGTACATTTCATCCTAAAAACTGCGGCATAGTATGAGTCGAAGTCTGGGGCTGTCGCCAGCTAGGTCACAATAGGTAAATGGCCAAATACCGTCAGGAGTAAGGCTGCGTTCGAAAAAAGTCTTTATTTTTGTTTTACTTTGTTCAGTCGTACTGCAAATCATAGGGCAATAGGATCCAATATCCTCTAACCCATGAGTTTCATCTGGATTACCACAGGCGAACATGAGGATTTTCTGCATGATCTGTCACAATTACATTACTATTATCTCAATCAATTCTATGTCCGCCGAACCTATTATAAAGTGGTCCTCAAGAACCAGCTAAAAACGCTAGTTGTGACCTAAATGTGGTGACTTTCTTTAGAAATACCCAAATAAGAATGCCAGAAGCACGTGAACCTTCAGGGCGTCCTACAATGGTTTGGGTAACAACCTGAAAGGATCTGGAAGCCTTTTTTATAATTATCATAATTCTTTTACATCTTGCACCGTTATCGCAATAAAGCAAATTTCAATTATCATCTAGGTATAGTGTAGTTAACCGTCAAGGACAATTTGTAGTTAATGTCCTTTAATTAATCAGGCAGCATTTAAGTACACCTAATTTGCAGACAGGGCACGTATTGTAGTAAAAATCCTTGAAACTATTAAAAGAGATAAGAAGAGATTTATAAGAGGCATAACTTGTCTGTGGTACATCTGTTGCTGTACATTAAACACCTCTGACCACAAAAACTCGTCAGTATGTCAGTAGCATTAAGGCAGGTATTAGCAAGACGACACTGACATATATACATATATATATGTCAGTGTCGTCTTGGCAATACCTGTTTTTTTTATATATATAAATATATATATATATATATATATATATATATATATATATACAGGAAGACGGCCATTTGGTCGAAAGCAACTTCAAAGTAACGCTTTACAACAAGTTTTCAAAAAACAAGTTTACAAAATCGTTCTTTATTACAAACTTTTTTTATATTTTACAATACACCAGAAATACAATGGGTTCCCTGAGCTTTTTTCATCGCACTTATTTGCTTGGTTCAGTTATTGATCATTTACTCA